GTAGAACTAGCAAGGAATGGTGTTAATCGCTATAGAGCTACCTATATGCGATAAAGAGGTATCGACACTGTTGCTATTAGAAGCCGATAGCTAGTATATTGCTAGGGGTGTTAGTATATTAGTATATATAGAAGAAGAAGAAGACGAAGAAGTTAAACTAGGAAGCGTAGGTCTATATTAGCGCATCGTAGGTAAGGTTTGCCTCTACTAATAGGATTGCGCCATTTAGCTATAATAGCAAGGCAATAATAACGGCTATACATTATCGCACTTTTAACGCAATAGCCGCCGACTGCTAGTCGAATGCCTAAGGCTAGAATTGCTAGCGACTAGAGGCATTGTACGCCTAGCTTCGTAGCTAGCTATTAAGCAATTATCGTACGCCTAGCCTAGCTAGCTATTAAGCTATTATCGTACGCCTAGCTAAACCCTTCGTAGCTAGCTATTAAGCAATTATCGTACGCCTAGCCTAGCTAGCTATTAAGCAATCATCGTACGCCTGGCCTAGCTAGCTATTAAGCTATTATCGTACGCCTAGCACTAGAAGATAAAGCACTAGAAGATGAAGCTATAGTAGCACTAGAAGCTAACAGCCTATGTTAATTAGCATAGCAAGGAACGGTAGCTAAGCGATAGATACAGCAGGTTAGATTTCTATATACCAAATGTGTTACCCTCTTAGTTAAGCTCGTTAAGATAGGTAGTCGGTAGCGCCTCGTCTCCCTACTCGTCTCCCTGCTCGTCTCCTAGCCATCTATTACGCCGATCGACCGCATTAGCCTATATAGAGTCGCTAGTATTAATAGTAGAGTCTTCGATAGTACTAAGATTACCGGTAGCTATACGACTAGCAATAGTAGCAGCCTCTATCTCCTCGTCTATCGATACGGTACTACGACCCTAATAATACTACGTATTACCCTCGTTAAAGTCGGCTACCTTTTCTAAGATCTGCATGCCTCCGAGCTGCTAGATATTATTAGAGACGTTGCTACTAGGGTTTCCGTATAGCTTTGTATATCCATTAGAGTACAGCTTCTCGGCTCTGCTAAATACGTCGATAGAGGTGTCCTTATAGGTGTAGTAGCTGCTTAGCTTGATCCTAGTTATATTAGTTATTATAGTGCGTAAGACTCTAGATAGCTCCCGGTTTAATGCTACCTTCTTAAATATAGCCTATATATTATAGGTCGAATTAGCGTATCGGTTGATGTCCTTAGAGTACTCGTAATTATAGAGCTTAAGACACTTATTAGCTGCGACAGTATATCCCTTGTTACCGTTTATAGAGATTACACTTAATGTTAGGATTGCCTTTTGTGCTACTAGATCAGCACTAGGACCGAGCAGCTAGCGTAGGTAGGTTATTAGGCGGCTATAATTGCCCTAACGAGCACTAAAGAATAATAGGATTAGGAAGTCGACTAATCTACGAAGATAGCCAATATCTATATTACGGATAGACTTACGCAACGTAAGGAATTACTCAATCTCCTTTAGTATTCGAGATATTGTCGTAAACTGCGGATCTGTTCTAGGTTAGCCGCGCTAGGCAGACGGAGATAACGTATCGTTATATATCTTGTCGACAAGATAGATATACTAATCGCGAGTAAGTCGAGAGATAGCGGCCTCTACTATTTCTATACGATTATCCTAGCTAGCGATAATGACTCGGCCTTCATCGATAAGCTACTAAATAACGAGACCGACAATGCGAGATCGGAAGCTCGTCTTTAATAGCTACTGAACCTCGAAGAACTTAGCCTTGTCCTTGCTAATCTTATTGTCTCTATACTAAAAGGCAGCATTAGCCTTTAACGTCTAGGATACTGGCAATAGCTCCCTATCTCTATTATTGTCCTAATAGGTCCGTAGCAATGTAAGGCCGCAGTTTATTATAGTATAGAACTAGGCAGGAGAGAACAAGAGATTGTCTCGCTTGTCGTACGTATCGTCGCTCTCAACACTCTTATTACGGACAGAAAGGCCGCGTAGAACAGTTATCTAGTCGCTATTGCAGATAATTAGCGGTCCATTAGGTCCGTTTTTAAAGTCCTTATCTCGATCTAGGTCTATAAAGTTAAGAAGGATATTATCCTAGACTATATATATGCCTACAATCGTAGCCTTATTATTAAAGGATAGTAGTATAGAAAGCACCTTAGTCTGTGTCGCCGGCATCTTATCGATAACTAGCTACTTTAGACGACTAACGGCATTACTATCGTTATCGTCGTTACTAGCCTCTGCCGCCTCCTTCTTAAACACAGCTTTAACGGCTTTCGGGAAAGTATATGCGATAGCCTTATCGATATAGAATAAGGCAGTCTTCTTGCTAATCTCCGTAATCTCAATGGTCTTAGGCCCGCCGTTAGCAGTCTCGCCGTTAGCAGTCGGATCGGCTAGGTTCCTTAGGATCTGTATATAGGCTTTATCCTCGTATATATTCTTAAAGATATCGTCTAGATCTAGAGGCTTGTCGTAGTAGATTATGCCTTTCTTTAACCCGCCCTCTAGAATGTACTTGTTCTCTATAAGGTACGATATTGTAATACTAAGCATCTTATTAGTTTCACTACTCCGCTAGACTATATAGGTCTATATGCGATTAAAATTATCGATAGTCTTACTGCTCTACTTCTTCGGGTCGTTAGCTAACTCGCTAATCTTCTGCATCTGGATTTCTACATTCTTACCTATTAGGATCTGTATAGTGCGGTACGAGGGGACAAGGCTAAGGCTATTTAGGCACTCGAGAACTCTCCGGCTTGCTCTATTACTAACGAGAAAGATGCTAAGGGCCTTCGGGAAGAAAGAGGCATTGATATAAGCTATTAAGAAAAGGATTTGCGATATAATTATCGTAGTACGCTTCCGGATAACATTGTACCTGTCCTAGAAGGTTTCCTAGTACTAGGCGGTGTTCTTTCGGACATTAGGGAGAAGGTCCTAGCTAAGAAGCTAATGCTATGTCGGGGCATACTAATAAATAATACTATCTATATCGGTAAGGTCGAATTCGGCATAGCTAAATTCTAGATAGTAGGTACTAAAGAGATCCTTGCCGATAAGGGTCTTAAGCTCTGCACGTATAACACGAGCGCTAAATAGGCGTTCTTCTAGGAAGGCATCGAGGAGAGACTTAAGGTTTCTATTATACCGCTTAGATCGCCTTGTTAAGACGCGTAGTTGATCCTAGGTTACGTCCTACTAGGCCTTCTTGCCTAGCTTGCTAACTAGGAACTTTACAAGGTACGGTATAGTAATCTTATGCTTATTTATAAGCTCCTTAATCTCTTTATAGTACTTATCGCGGTTCCTCTTCCCGCGAGCGGCCGCTATAAGGCGCTCTTCTTCGGTAAGAGGCTAGTCTGCCTCTTTACTATCTTCTTCGCTAGCTTTATCACTATCTTTATCACTATCTTCTTCGTTACTGTCGCGAAGCTCGAGATCTTCCTTATCGTCGGACATCTCTTTATCCTCCTCGCTAAGGTCTTTATCTACGGATACCTTATCCTAGAAGTTACTAATCTTATCTATCCCGGCTAGTCTAACTAATTGATCTAGAGGGTTAGAGAGAATGCCGCCGCTGCTTAGATAGATTAGTAGATCGGTCTATACGCCTATAAGAACAGTCTATTCCTTAGGTCCTCTAGGTAAAGCAGCATCGTCGTCTAGGCCGGTTATATTCTTATTATAGTTATAGGCGACAGCACTACCGACTAGGTCATTATTAGATAGTAGAACCGAGGTTAAGGAGGATAGATCGTCGCTCGACATATTAGTAGCGGTAGTAGCGGTACTAGCAGCGGTACTAGTAGCTATAGTAGCAGCGGTGCTAGCAGCGGTACTAGTAGCTATAGTAGCAGCGGTCTCTTAGCTATAGTAGCAGCTATAGTAGCAGCGGTCTCTTAGCTATAGTAGTAGCGGTAGTAGTAGCGGTCTCCTAGCTGTAGTAGTAGTACTAGTAGCGACTTTTAGGTGTTTTAACCTTAGCTTTAGAGTCGCGTCTGCTATATAGTAGCAACTTAATAAGCATACCTCGGATAGACTTATGCTATACACAAAAGATATTTAGAAATAGTCTACGAAGGACCTCGAAGTATCGAGTCGGCTATAGGAAGGTTATCGATTACCCTCGAAGGCTATAGAGCGGTTAGTAGGCGTCGGACGGAATTTTCGCCTATCTAAACAATAATTACCGGCGTTAGGAGAAGGACCTCTAAGTATTAGCTAGGCGATGCGGTATATTATATGTTAAGGTGTTTCTAGCAGTGTAGCTAGCCGCCTAGCAATCTAGATAGCTATAGTCGAGTCGGCTTAGCAGAATGGCGAAAACTCAACGCGCTAACGTCGCATAGACTTGTTTAGTAGGTAGAATAAAGCGTAATTAGCAGGGCTACAATCTCCGCTATTTAGATTGTTATATTTGCGTAGTCGCGAAAAAGTAGTACGTCGCAGGCTGGTTTAGCACGGCTTGTTCTCAGGCTTATAGGCGAAGAATTATTAGGTGTGTTTGTAATTGGCTGGTCGGAAAGTTCGGAAGCTAGCCCTAATTACTAATCTATCACGTACACTCGGTCGCAGTTTGATTCTTCATGCCCACAAGCCTGATGGGAGGTAGCTCAACTGGAGCATCTCGGCAACCTTTGTGAGCCGCCGGCAAGCCGAACGAAAATTCCCCATGCCATGTCACCTCTGTTCTCCCATCGTCATAACTGAATCGTCTTTTGGTTGAGAACTGAAGAACAACAAACTAGACTTTCATGCTGCGATTGGGAGACTGTAATAATTATGTTTCGAGCTAGAGCTTTCACTGACACGACAGTCTGGATGCAATCCCATTGGACTTTGTAAATACGCAGGACCACTGGACGATCGACAGCGAATCCACATGCTCAAATATCAACTCCAGAGACATTGTCCGACAACAGGAATCTCAACTTCAAGACGCTGTTCAGAATCATGTCCTTGGCTTCAAATGATCAACAAGCACAATGGACAGAAGCAACACGACTGGAAACAATGAGCAAGTCGCAGGAAGCGACCTGCATGCTCTGATTGCGCTCACCAGGAAGTTGCATCGGCTCACCAAATACGCGGAGGGGTTATCAGAGCAGCAATACGAGATTCTCACAGCTATGCAAGATCGGGCGGCAAAGTACCAAACTGGGCTACTCGAAGATGATGCCTTGTATGCACCATATCAGCTAAGCCGGCTAGAGTACAAGGACCATGCTGCGAAGATTGCAGAGAGACTCTTTCGTTCGATGAACCTGGACTCGGATTCGAAGCCGGCGACCAGTCTACCCAAGCATTCCGCACGACGTATAGAGGTTAACCAGCGCCAGATCATCGCGAAGCTGTGTGAGTGGTACGCAAAGCGTGTGTTATCTTTCAGGAGAGATGTTAGCATCGCGGGTCATGCTCTAGCGCCACTCATCATGCTTGCGGCTTTTGAATTCATCTGTGAAATGGATGCGAAGCTGATAGAAAGCATGATCTTCAAGGAGGAATTGCGCAAGCGACTGGACAGGGTGCCAATAAGTCGCGAGTGTCAGGAGTGGAAGGATTTGAATTCCTGGAAGGCTGATGTTGTGGAAGTGGTGCTGCATTTTGCCAGAAATGACCAACGCAGATTCACGGAGACAGATTACGAGGGCGTGTTTCGGTATCTCGTCGAGCATGGTGTGATGAAAGAGATTCGCAGCGAAAGGTAGCGCGGGTGCCGGCATCAAATGCGATCAGGGCATTTGGCGAGTAGGTCACCGTGGTGGTAGCATGGCCGAAGGCAATAATCCACAATGTGCATGCGCGCCCAAGCTGTCATGTGCGAAATGAATGCATAGCCTCCGCTATCAAGCTGTGTCAAGCTCATGCGCTGATGTGCAAGCTCCCCAATTCGCTTCTTCCTCCTGCTGAATGACTTCTAGCCATAGCCACGCTGTGCCTGTTGTTCGGCGTCATTTCGATCTACCATGACATATTCACTCCCGCCATTTGTGGGTCTGTCATCGTTCTGCGGTGCTGTGGGCGGTCGCGAAAGTTGACCTGCCAGGGGACTGGGCTTTGGAGGCGCGTCGGCTGCTGCTGCTGCTGGCTGCCTGTCGTTCGTGCTAGCTCGGTCAGCTCCCAGTGAGGTTGAAGACACGAAGCAGAGCGTCAGTACCTCAGCCCTTGTCTCGCTGGCGAGTTACCCCTCGACACTCGAGCCAAGCGTTCTTCAGTCTCTCGTAGTTTCGCTTCCAATTGCTGTAATGTCTGTTCGCCGGAGGTGACTGTTTGCTTCCTGCTATCATTAGTGCCATGCGCCTTCACTCTGCATGTTGTAGGAGAGCTCACTTCTCCTCGACCTTTTGCGACAGGTGGTCCACGGCGGGGTCGGAGGTCAATGCGAACATGGAGTCAAGTTCTGCAGCGAAGTTCTGCGCAATTGTGCTAGAGAGGATGTGTTAGAGATGAGCGAATTGAGGCCATGTCGCAGACCGAGACTCACGACTCCGGGCGAGGCAGCTTTTGGTGCGGCGTTTGAGACAGCTGTTGCGTTTGCGCTGGCGGCTGTGGCTGTTCTTCATCGGCCATGTTGCGATTGACTCGGCTTGATGGATGGCAAGCGCCAGGCCTGCAACGACGTCAAGCCGCGAGGTTCAGTGGAGGAGTTGGTGGTGAAGGTTGAGGTGGTATAGCGCGCGAAGCAATGGGGGTTGCGAGTGGGATAATGATTGCTATTGATGATAGTCAAGACGGTGGTGATGATCTACGAGGGGAACGCGCGCGATCTGTGCGTCGTTGCTTGCCCAACTCGAAAGGAGTCCGTCCGGCTGATGGGATGGGAGCAAGGACCACGCAAGGTCGGACATTGCAGTCCAGACACAAAGGCGTCGCGACCGACTCAAGTGCCCGCAGAGCACCACCAGCGCCGGAGGAGTGTGAAGACATCGGCCTGAGGCCTCCACTCATTTTGCTGGCTTGGCGCAAATTAGAACGCGACCGACGACCAGCGACCATCGCAACGTCCATCACACCCACGCCCACGCCCACGCCCACACCACCACGCCGCACACGTCCATCATATCTGCAGAAACGATGCTCGCCCACTAGACGCCAAGAACCACCGCATTTGATGCGCGCGCGGCATAATCATCATATCATGAGTGCACTGCATGCACCGGCCGACCGAAGTCCGGGTGCAGCTCGTCGGAGGAGCGGGAGCAGGAGCAGGACCAGAGGCAGGACCAGAGGCAGAGGCAGGACCAGAGGCAGGCCCAGCGTCGCTGGCGCTGTCGCTGCTGCCGTCGACCGTGCCGTTGATGACTTCCCTCGTCACCGCCTACACTGAGCTGGAACAAGTGCTGCTGTTTCAGGCCCTGCGCGCCGACGGCGTCCATTCCATCAGCTTCAACCGCATATCTGACCAGCTCAAGAGCATTGCACTGGTCCGCAGCGACCCGTCCTACGACAGCGGCCGCTTGAGCCCCGACGCCCTGCGCGAACTCTACCTCGGCCTGTTAAAAGACGAAGTCAAGCGCGACCTGGACCGACAGCACAACGCCGGCTCGCACCTCACAAATGGCGATGTCTCTCCCGGCTCCAGAAAACGAAAAGCCCCCAGTCCCAGCTTGCCGACTGTCAGCGACGCCGCACAACACTCGCACCTGATCCCACAGCTGGTCGAACGATTGTATGCCAGTTATCGCGAGAAGACGGTCGTCAAACTCAGAGGCTACGAGAGCAAATATGCTGAGACAAAGCGCGACATCGCCGAGATAGAGGCCGGTCAATGGGACGAGAGTCTGCAGCGAGCGAAACCCTCGCCCAAGCCGTCTTCCACCGCGCACACTCAGCCTGCACTTGCACGAAATGACCATGTCGCGCAGCCAACGTCTGCGAGTGCGAGTCCGGTGCTCCCGATGCCAGCAGAGAATGGCACACAGGCTCCGGCGAAACGATACTCCCAAGCGAAGATCGATGCCGTGATCAACCATGGACCGGAACCGCAAGACAGTCCGGGAGGTCATCGCAGAGCGTCATCCAACACGAAGCTCCCTCCCCTCTCGGAGATGGCACCTCAATCGCCTCGATTTGGCATACCTCCAAAGATACCAGGTGTCCCGCCTCATCAATCGATGCCGCAGATGCCACCGCATGCACCCAACCATGCATACAGCCAGACTCCTCCAACATCACACCAGTCTCCATACCCGCCTCACCATGCTCATCCACGCCAAGGGTCTATGAACAGTCCTCAGCTGCAGCAGTCTCTGTCGAGGCCGTCTTCCTCGCCACGACCCATTTTGCCACCTCCACCCGGCATGTCCTTACCGCCGCCATCGCCAGTACCCCGTTCAGGCTCTCCTCGACAAGCTCAGTACGCGCCTCCACTTGCGCCTCAACCGCATTATCAGCCGCCACTGCAGCATCGTAATGTGCAACCAGCGCCACCGCATTCAGGATACGCTGTGACTCCAATGCATCAGCATCCGCCCGCTGGTTATTACCAACAACAGCAATTCCCAGATCGGAGAACGTCCTACCAAGCCCAGCAGCCGCAGACTCCAACTTATCCTAGCCATCCACCAGTGCCAAACCAGCAGCCATACATGCAACCCCATCCAGGTCATGGTCAGCAGAGCATGTACATGCAGCCTTTCCAAGTGGCGCCTCAGGATCCTATTAGGCCAATTGCCCCGCAACATCATCGTCCTTCGCAGTCGTCCATGCCGGTGCAAGCTACTACGCCATATTCATCTTATGTGCATAACGGGCCAGCGACGGGTCCACGACCGCCGCCGCAACAAGTTCGTCTGGTGAGCGATATCATTGCTGCGCTCGCCACGCCACCGCGGCCTAAGATCAGGCCGCTTTGGAAGGAAGGGTATCGGCCGTCTCCTGTTGTTACTGGCGCAGAAGTGCCAAGACCGGTTGCAGAGCCACTGAGTCCTACACTGGAGCGTGTCAAATCTCCTGCACGTTCAACTAGATTGGCGCGAGGGAGGGATGTGCCGACCGTAGAAGAGCCGCTTAATGCAGAGCCGGCTTCGAAGACACGGAGCAGTCGCCGGAAAAACAACAAGAGAGATCGCAGTCCTCACAGTGTCGTCTCTTCCACTGCAGACGAGTCCAAATACGCCCGCAGCACTCGCAGCCAGTCCGTCAGTACTGCAGCTGGAGCATATCCACCTTCTGATGATCGACCTGGTAGCCGCAACGGCGTCAAGGCAGAGCCATCCACTCCAGCTAATATGCTAGAAGAAGCTGATCCAATGCAGGCGCCCTCTACTTCAACTACAGGCATGGTCACTCGCAAACGCCGTGGAACGTTACAACCACAGCCAGCGCCAACTAATAACAAGCGGAAACGGCAGGAATCCCCTGCACTAGCAACGACATCGGCTCATGAAGACGAAATTGTCTCGACTCCGCCGCCACGAAGCAGCATTGTCGTTGCAACACGAAACTTCGCAAAGATGTCCTCTGCTGTGATGAATGACATACTCAGCCATAAACACGCTGCGTACTTCAATGCGGCAGTACGCGACAAGGATGTGCCAGGATATAGCGACATTGTTCTTCAGCCACAGCATCTCAAGGCAATCAGAAGCGCAATCACAGCTGGAACACATGCAATCAAGGCTGCTTCAGCGGCCATGGACGATCCATCAGATCCCACGACTGGCACGATCGAGCTCGAACGCACCGCAGATGTCATACCTCCCAAGGCAATCGTGAATGGAGCCCAGCTCGAGAAGGAGCTATATCGCATGTTTGCCAATGCATACATGTTCAATCCTGGCGAAGATGGAATGGCATTGTCGACGAAAGAAATGTTTGAAGATGTCGAGGCGAAGATGAGCGAATGGCGGGGAACAGAGCGTCTTGCTGGGGTGGAAGAAGAGGAGGATGGCAAGGGAAAGCGTCGAAAGGTGTAGTGCACCTCGCGTTGACGCTTGTCATCTGTCATCGGATACTTGTAGGCATAAGAAACCTCCACTGGGCAGTAGAGGCTTGTCTAGATATGTTGCAACCAGTCACATTTGTAGCAAAAAGAAACGTGCTCTGATCACGAAGCACTTATTAGAACTCGAACCACGTGCATGAAATCGTGTGCAGATCTCAACAAATGCTGCTAGCTGGGTTACTCCTCTCACTCCACGCCAATGGGTATCAATCGCATTCAATCGTCAGAAGCTCCCTTTTCCTCATCAACCATGTTTGGCTGCTGTGTACTGGTGACGTTTCCGCCTTCCGCCGACGCAACAATCGACGCACCAAAGTATACTCGACAAGAGCAACAACCCCGTCGCAACCCACGTGATGATCAAAAAATTCCTGCCCTTGCTCGCACTCACCCCGATGTCGTGACCATATCTGTTAATCACATCGCTAGCCTTGACAGCAATCGCCGTCGCGATTGCACTCGCGATTCCCAAGACTATAAATGCAAGCCAATCAACAATGACGTTGATGAGCGCTGACAATCGTCCTTGGGTACAGAATGATATCGCAGCCTTTCGAGAGAAAAAAGAAAAGAAAAAAAGAGTCAGCATCGATGCCCAGCCAGTGATTGAAATATCGTTGATGATCGTCACACTCACCAAAACCAAAGCAATCCCAATGAACCCAATGGCAATACAATACAACACAAACGTAGCTTTCGCACTAATCCTCACCGCATCGATACCTTTCTGAATATCCTCCGGCCAATCCAAATCACTCAGATCGACTCCCGTGCCGCTCTCGTTTAATTCCTTCTGGAGGATTTCTTGGGGGTCGAAACTGTACATGGCAGTGCGATTACTGCATTGCGTGACATTCTTGCTGATGTCGTCCTTTGATAGAGTGGCGTTCGGGACGGGTCCTGGTTTGTAGTAGCCTTCGCAGTAGGTCATTAGATGGGCGGAATAGAAGTCGTGAAGGCCTAGGTCGCGGGCTGTGGAGGTGATTAGGTCTTGGATGTCGGATTCAATGCTGTTGGTGACGTTGTCGATCAGTTGGCCTAGAGTTGAAGACGAGGATTCCGAGGTGTTGAAGATGTTTTGGCCGACTCGGGAGGTGTTGAGCTGGTGGGTTGGTTAGAGTTGAACAATTTTTGATTTTTTTGATTTTATTGGAGATTGTGCATACGGTGAGCAAGGCGTAGTCTTCCATAAAGCCTTTGTGGGAGCCCGCGAAGAGGCATAGGAAGGCAAGCACCAGAGATGCCGCGCAGCAGATGACTGGGCCCACTGCAAACCAGCGCATGGTCGCAGATGTGCTCAAATTTCAATTATAGGGAGTTCTTTCTTGGGCAGTTCTGTGCTCCCGTTGTCGTGCGAGAAAATAGGGTCTTCCAGAGAATTGTTGCACTCTGTGGACTGTAGCGAGTTCTTGTACGTTGCACTGCCGTCGATGCGTCACCCGAGAGCACAAACCAACCACGCCAGTTCACACGTCGCTTGACTACGGCATGCCGAACAAGCAAGCAACTATCATCATCAGGACAGGCAAGCGTGCATGTCGTCGAAAGCATGCGGTGTGCCGGCGACGTCGAAGGATCAGACCCAATGACGCCACGTCCACAGACACGCGAGCCAGCCGTCGCGCAGGCCGACCAGGGTCAGAACCTGATTCACCTACGTCAATGATGGGTATTTCCTGGTTGGGTACTGGCTCGAGCGCATGAAGCTCGGCAGTATCATGGTCGCGCTCTGGTACCATTCTGGTCCCTTCGCAAATGGCCAGAGAAAATCACCTTGAGCATGAGGTGGCAGTGCTGAAAAAAAAGACTGCAGCCAACTTAATCACTTCTCATGAAGTGGATGGTGTACATTTCAGCATCACGCTGTAGCGCACTTCGATCAGAATAGATCGAGCTGCAAATCAGGCAGCAAAATCCTTGGAGAGATCTTGTGCTGAATGGAGCCGAGTTGCACTGAGAATAATCAAAGACGCGAGGTGTGCAATCAGCTGTGGCCACTCTACCTGATCTTTCATTTCAGCGTAAAGCATGCAGTATTCCATTTTTACGCATCGTTGCCGGAGGGGGGTAAACCTTCTGTTCCTCGTCCGAGGTCTTCACCAAATCGCTGTCCTGCAACATAAAGCGGCTGGCAGTCCTGAAGGACAAAGATCATTCTCGCCCAGGCTGTCTTGCTTGGGTTTCTCCATGCCTAGAATGGTTGGAAAATTAGCAACTGTCCCCGACATTGCTGTGGATTGCAATCGTGCTTGCTTACATGCATCGTTGCTCTCTGTACCATGACATCGCCCCTTTGCATTAACTGAACTTCACCGGAGTCGAGAATGCTCTCGATCTGCCCCTCAACGACTATGCCATAGTCCACTGATCTAGGGCCCAAGTATCAGCAAGGACCTTGACCATTGGAGTGCATCGCAGGCATTGCATACTGTGTCCGGTGCATCATACAAGTGTAGTCAGGCGCAAAATCGACGTATCTCAACACAGTACCCCCACCCGACACGAGTCCGAGCTTCCCTGTCGACATCTTTTCCTCATGCGCAGCAATATCGGCGTTCTTGTTCAGATCGGCGGGAAATTGCGTGGTGTAGGCTACAGACATTTCGAGCTTGTCTTCGTCGTAGGTCGCCCAGTCGACTGGATGACTCGAATGTATGATAGCTTTTCCATTGCTGTCATTGTGACCAGTCCAGTAGCAGGTGGGACCCGGAAGATCGGTTGCAATCTGCTTCGGTGTTGGCTTTCGGTCGTCTGCCATGGCTGCTACACTTAAGGAGCACTCGTGGCGAGAAGTGTATGGGCTGTGCTGATGGAGGTTGTAAAGCAGTGCACTTCCTGTGTGCGGTGAACTGGCAGTGAGACCGGACTCCGGCTACTACCCCACTGAGGGGTCTAGCTTGCTAGTTTATGCAGGAACCACTGTGGTTTTCTGGTCGCTCGCCGATGGCTAACTCCCTGAAAATAGCACAAGTGCACAGGGTGTTCTCGATAAGTATATTGCGAGGCCTGCCTACCGGTCTCAACAAGCGGCCGCAAAGAGGTCCAAAGAGCGCGTTTATCGACCCATTTTCTTTAATATGGCATGGGCATTGGTGCGAGATGGCCATTTTTGTCGTACTTCGCTTCTGCAAAGACGTGTCAGTTTAGACGCGGAGATCATGCTTAGTGGTCATCACAACATACTGAAGAAAGTGTAGTTGAGTGTAATAGTGTCGATGCCCTTCATATTCGGATCCTTAAGGAAGTCTGGGTCAATGTAGAAGAAGACAGGCATGTCAACGGTCTCGCCTTTGTTCAAACGTTGTTCCTCAAAACAGAAACATTGGATCTTGCTGAAGTATGGCGCGACCTGAGCCGGAGTGACACTATAAGTTGCCACTCCGATGATGTCCTCATCCTTGCTGTAATTGGTTGCTGTGTAGAAAGCAAGAGCACTTTCACCTGGTAACACTCTGACTTCTCTTTGCTGTGGCGTGAACTTCCACGGCAGGATGTCCGATGTAGAGCCCGCGAAAGTTATACGCAGTCGTCTCGAAGAGGTCACCGGCGTAAGCTTGGCGGCTACGGATTCTTCGTCGTCGGGGCTCGAGTGAGCAGCAGATTTGATGGGCTGCCCTCCCCATCCGGTCTGCTGGCAGATGGTCTTGTAGAGCGGCACACTTCCATAGCTCAGGGCGACAGTGCCGATGATGATCGAAAGAGTGTAGTATCTTTTGAGAATGTGTGGTTAGCGGGATCCTGTGGTCCTTTTTGCCAGTTTTCGACGTACGCTGTATTGGCATTTTTCTTAGCAAATGGCCTTCGCATCTGTTCCATACTCGGCATTGTTGTGCCTTGACTAGAACTCTGCCTGCTCTTCTGGCTTGTCTGCAAGCTTCGAGTTGACCTTGCCTTCCATGGCTGACCTCGACTGAGCTGAGCACAGCTGGAGCACATCCAGGACGCTCGTTCTGTGGCCAATTCCAGCAATGATCGATATCGCGGCGGCGCCATAGTAGTGAATTCAGTGTCTTCAACGAGAGGCAAGGTCAATGCTGCACACGCTCGGAGGTGCTTCTAGTTGCCCGCACTGCACTGCACGTGCAACAGCCGACCTCCGACCAAGCCCTGGCTGGCGGAGTTTCTTCCGCAGGGCAACTTGAATATCCACCGCCATGTGACATGTTCAATCGCTGCTAGTCGTGGAATTGCCGGTATGATCGTCTACATGGAATGAAACAGGACTTACTCGGCAGCCATACTACCATCAACGAGAACATTCCTGGGAAGAAGCGTCTAAGACTAAAAAGGGAACTGTCGTTATTTGAGAAGCCTATGTCTTGTGGCCTTGCTACAATCAAAATCAACGCTCCTCTTTCACATGCTGCGATATACTTTGTCTCTTCTCCTGCCACTGCAAATTGCCCATCTTCGTCGTATCGTAGCCATTCTGCTCAAGATATTCCCTGAATCGTAAATCCTCCTTCTCAATGGTGTCCTGATCGATGTTTGGCAGCCACCACACAAGGAACGCACTCAAGAAGCAAAGCGAGGACGCAACATAGAACGGGTACTGCCCTCCTTTGACAGTGTCTTCGCCTCCACCGGCGTTGTAAATATCTGGAAAGATGTAATTGCCAATGAACCCACCAACCTGAATGCGTTAGTATCTATTCCGCACACAGTGCAATCCTTGTGATCGCCTACCTTGCCGAGGGCAGCAGCGATGGCATAGTACTGGCCCCGGATACCAGTAGCACAGCTCTTCGAGGCGACTAGACCGATGTTGTCTCCTGGACCCATTTCACCTGGCATACGGTCAGTACAATACCTCTCACATAGAACAACCCGAGGTCTGTGATCTAACCTAGCATTAAGAAGATTCCATATACGACTACGAAGCCTGCAATGTTCTCAGGCATCTTCAAATATGCATAGCAGCCGCTCATGATAAATCCAAGACAGCCTTGAGCGATGACGAAAACCATAAGTGCCCGACGGGGTCCCATCCAATCGGAGGTAAAAGATCCCAAAATCGCTCCCGGTAAATAGAAGAAATTGACCAGTGCGGACCAACCAAAAGTCTGCCAAAGAGATCGATTTGGTTCAATCACATCGATCCAAGCTGAAGAGTAGATAGAAAATGGATAGGTCAGAAAGTCGTAGATGAACCAGATGCCGCAGACTAACAGCAATCGAGGTCCATAGAACTTGATTGCCAGAAAGTATGGCGTCTTGGTCCCTCTGAAGCTCTCACGAGAGAACGATTCGGGTTCCTTGAGCTTAATGCGAAGATAGATCAACGACAGCGGTGGAATGACGCCTAAAGCGAGAGAAAGACGCCAGACGAGACCAAGGTTGTTTGGAGCAATGCGAGCGACGACCATAGGTACGAGAGTTCCCACGACGAAGCCGAAGTCGATCTGTGTGTTTGTGAACAAGCAGAACCATCGATTGCGATGGCCCTTCTTTAGTTCGCCAGTTGACTCGGCTGCACCAACAGAGCCAGCAGGGTACTCTCCACTAAGATAGATAAGCGAGTGCGCTCCCATGCGAGGTTCCACTCAGCTCTTGAAGTCCGAAACTCACCCAATGCCGATGCCCAGCAGGAAGCGGTATGCTGTGAGCGCAGCGAAGAGACCGCCCGCCGTCCCTCCTGCTCCGTAAGAGCCAGCGCCTAATGCCGCGAAAACGAATAGGATAATGGTCGATATCACCAGCGACCACTTTCGGGAGTAATGATCACTGGTGTATCCGAAGGCAAGCTGTCCAACGACTGTTCCCGCGAAAGCAATCGAAGTGACGTTCTGCTGCGCTGAGCTGCCGGTGTATGCATCTCCATAGATGGTCTTCAAGCAAGTGTTGACTGGACCAATGACGCTTTGTAAATATCCATCGCTGAAGAGGCCTGCGATGCGGAAGTACGCATTAGCATGTGTCCTAGGTTGCGCCTGACATGGGGAGAGCAATGTCTGTCTGCATACCTGCACCGCATGCAATCGTCGGCCATGATCTTTGCCATCTGCTCTTTCTCACATCCTCCAACGGTGGGATCTCGATATCGGGTGTATGTTGCTCACTGCCATGTGGATTGATGTCTTCAGCTAGGCCGCTTTTGTCTGCCATGGCGAATGCGCGTTCATGTGGAAAGCTGAGGTCGACAGGTCCGGGTTGGACGAGGCGGGAGGCGGGTCTCCATCCGCCTTAGCGCGAGCGTGCTACCAGTGTTGCCAGCGAGCGAGCACCATGTGCGGCACGCGATATGCGATCGCTCGGTGCTCTCGCAGCTCGACTACAGACAAGCATACGGGGCCAAGCATGTTGGCATGGCGAGAAAGCTTGGTATGGACATTGAATTTCGGGGGCTGCCGCGTTCACAACCCTTTGCTTGCCACGCGGCCTTGAGAACACCACCTCACTGTGACCGCCACCGAAGCACGTGGGACTCCTGTCCACGGCCGTTGATGAACCAGAGAATACTTGCATCTTTGTCAGTGACCGGGCTTCCTCATTGGGACACTGTCTGCGAGATGCGCTGCAATTGACCTCCATCGAGCATCATCATGAGTGTAGTGTGAGCAGTCCGGAGCACCGTAGTCTGGGTCTGCGAATTGGCCATGCACCGTGGAATGGCATTGACCTGCAAACACTCTGCTGCAAGGCAATGGCTGGCTGGTCAGCCTGGAGCAGCGTCCATCCTCGTAGGCCTGCCCGCCGTAGAGGCACGATCAGCGGGAGAAGGACGAGGCCTAGGTCTCTTCGCGCCGAGAACCATTCCAGCCTTTACTCAAATCCTACGAGACCCGATTGCATGTTTGATGAAGCCGACAGACGACCTGCCGGAGCTCTACGAGCGCTTCTCGGAGCTTCCAGAACTGCAGCAAACCCAATACACGTCACTGTCGTACCGCGATGATCTGGAAAAGGACGCCGTACTCACACAGAAACTGCTCCAGCGTGGTTACACCTCAAATGACGCTAAGAAAAGGATTCAGGTTGGCCATATCATGCACAATAATGCCTTCACGGTCGACGTTGGTGGCCCACATGGTGCCGGCCATCGCGCGCTGTTTCTGAGTGTGGCAAGAATCAACCACTCGTGCACCCCAAATGCTCATGTGAGCTTCTACCCTCCGAGCCCGTCAACATCTGTTGGCCGCATGGTCGTTCACACACTTCGAGAATTGCATGCTGGCGAAGAGGTGCTCATCTCTTATTTTAGCATCCTGATGTCGAAGCCCGACAGACAGACTAAAGCACGGAAGTGGGGTTTTGATTGTGCTTGTTCTGCATGTGACGGCAAGCAACTGCATCATGTCGAAAGGGAAGAGGTCCTCAAAGACATTCGGGACTTCAAATCCAACTATTCGATGGTCATGAGTGGGAACAAGCACAGTCCTGGAAGTCTTAAAAGCCTGATCATCAAAGGATCAGCTCTTGTTGAACATTGTCTGGGTGATCTTTCCTTGCGCCCTGCTCTTCCCGATCTTTTCGATGACCTTGGAATGCTGGAAGCCAAAATGTTACTGAGTACGAGGCGCGAGAATGAGCGTGAAGCTGTCGTGGCTTTTCTCGAGAAGTCTGTGGTGTGGGAAGCAAGAATTACAGGTACTGAGAGTGTTGCGACCAACAAGCGACTAGAAAAATTGCACCAATTTGCAACAAGACGTGGCAGACCACACGTGGGCGAACAGTACAAATTTGAATACCAGGTGGCTTGGACTGCGCGGTAAAACTTCAGTGTCCAAATGGATCCTATGGGCGGCGGATGCAGCTTACCGGTCTCACTCCCTGGTAGGAGCAACCATGGTCTTGTTGACGACCTCAGAGCCGTCTCGTGGTAAAATATCTGCCTCAAAGGGCGTCGCTAGGCCGACCTACACAATGCAGTATGGAATCAGCATAAGACTTCGCTGCATACCGGTGAGCGAGCTGTTGAGAGAGCGTCTGGATTTGAAAATCAAATATTGTTCACTCAGCACAGTCCTCAAGGCCAATAGAAGGGTGTGACACAGTGACAGATATATCCCTATTGGATCTTTGACAACCTCCCTGTCGATCAAGTTCGGACTCCTCAAAGCCTCCTACGCGAAGAGGACATTGCACCATCCTTCGAAGCGCACCTCGTCTCAATCCGCCAAGCGGTTCCAAACCGCGCAAGTCTGTCTGGCGCCAAAATCTAGACACGAAATTTATGGCCTGGCAAAGCACGAGATTGCACTTCTCTCCTTCGAACGTCTTACAAAGTAGAGAGGGTGAACATACAACCTGACGCCAAGCCTTGGCAAGAAAAAACGACCAACAAGCCAAAATCTTCCCCCATCTTCACTCCATCGCTCCATACGCCGCCATAACTTTCGTGTTGCAAAATTAGGGCACACTAGACCACGGCAGTTCTGTCGAGGGGAATGGAGGTTCGCCCGCTGGCCGACATCCAAACGGTTTAACAAGGCACTTTGATTCAAGACTGTTTCAACTACCTAGTATTTACTGTCCAAAGTCAAGCTGACAAAAAGGACTCGCAAAAAGAAAATTTCCGTCACGGGGAATCGACTACATCCACATTAGAACATTCGTCGACCCTCTCACAGTACTCGTCGACTTACACCCCGGCCTCATCGGTTCTTCACAGCACGGCCTGATGAAAGCGATGGATCCTAGCCACTGAACAAATGGTCAGCAGTGGTTCAGCAGGGGGAATGCGTCTTGGTGTCTTTACCTAGACCATAACGGACATATGATTCTGATTCGTTGACAGGGTTCTCTACACTTCTTTCTATATACAGTGCGATTAAGCGAGATGGCGGACGGCGGTGATCCCTGAAAACGGGATCTAACTGGTCAAAGCTAGCGTACTCCCCAAAGGAATTATCCGTACTTTTAAAAAGTTCACGTCTAACGCTTTCAAGCTAGCTGCCGTTTACGGCCATTTACGGGGATTACCCCCGTCCGCTATCTCGCTTAATCGCACTGTACTACCCTATTAGCGCAAGCGCTGCCTTTGCTCTAAGTGCTTGTTATGTGTGTAGCAACGATTGGATTGAGCAGACGCGATTTGATTGAAAGTGTATCAAACAGACCGGGCGAATGGCCCATGAGGCAACACTCTGTTTAAAGGTCTTCACAGCCGTTCGCAAGCAGCATCAGCAATGCGCGAGAACTTGGCGTTTTACCCCTGTCGAGGGATGAGTTTGTGGAGCTGGGATCAGTGGTAGCCATTTTTTTCCCTGCCAAGTAATTTCACCAGCTTCTGTCCACAATGAATGCTCTCTCTGTTCATTCCGTCATCGGTTCGGTCGGGAGTCGATTATTTTGTTCATCGAAGCATCAAAATATGCTTATGCAAGCTGACGTTTGGACGTTCGCAAATGGCGCTGGTTCAGCCGCATCGCTCGTATCGTCACTTCCGATGTCGAAATTCAATATTTAGACACCAAGTCATTGCACTTGAATGAGAAGAAAAAAATCGTCGAGCACAGCAAGCATCAACATGACTACTGTCGACAAGGCACAACTACACGCCCACTTCGACCCTACCAAACCTAAGCCAGAATCCGAGACTGTTCAAGCAATCATCACAAAGCTTGGTCTGATAGAACACCCCGAAGGAGGCTACTTCGCAGTATGTACTATTCTCGAACTTGTCTATTGACCGAGCTACTGACCAATTTCGCTCTAGGAAACAGATCGAGACGAGCTGCGAGTACCTAACTCATTACCTGCCTCGACCGGCAAGCAGAGACGAGCTTGTACAACGATTCATTATCTGCTGACACCGAAGTCACCCCTCGGCGCTCTGCATCGAAATAAAGCTCGAACAGTGCACACACTCCACAAAGGTCGTGGTCGATATGTCATCGTTCACGCCGACGAAGTAGCAACAGCAGGATGCCCACTGGGATACAGCCCAGACGAAACGCTTCCCGAAGACCAAAGATGGTCGGGCAAAGCAAGGGTTGAAGTCTTTACTGTTGGCCAGAATGTCTTGGCTGGCGAGAAACTGCAGTGGATTGTCGAAGGAGGGAAATATAAGACCAGTTTCTTGTTAGCAGATGATGAGACTGGTGTCACCAGCGAGGAAGGGCTCTTGATCAGTGAGACTGTCGTTCCAGGTTTCGAGTATGAAGATCATGACTTCATGACTTCTGAAAGATTTGAGAGTTTGATAGAGGATGGTTGTCAACAGCACATGCGGTGGATGGTCAGAAGCTCGAATTAGGAAGAGGAGATTCAATGATGACCAGAAAAGCTCAGAAGCGCTAGCCTCTCTGCTTCTTTCGAACCTTGCATATTTGATATATGCAAAACGAATGTTCTACCGGGTATCATGACTGTCTCATGCCATTCGTACAAAAGTGGTCATCTTCCCGACCAATCCCAAACTCCGTCGCTATGTTCCAATGCATCAAGGGAGGCCGAATGCCTGTTCATTGTATTTACAACCAACGCCTTTTATCCACACATGTTATGTCCATCATAATTATCCTCTAGTTCATTCGTGCCGTTCTTGACCAAGTCAAACGTCTATGCATCCTCCCCACTCGTCGTGGAACCTGCTCCTCCGCCGCGAACATTTCCCAGACTTGTCTGTGCCCAGTAGATTGCGAAGCCAATGATCGCCAGAACGATGAAGAGGACGATGATTATGGTGAAGATGACGAGGTTGCCCTTCATTGTGTTGGACTGTTTGATGAGCGTCTGGTATCGTTGAGTCGTCGTTTGGACTGATGGACTTTGATGAAATTGGTGCTTCGTCGTCCGATGAGTATCAATCGTAGTTGGGAGTCGTATTCGTGTGGTTGCAGGTAGGGCTCCAATGGAGTTGAGTTATGTATCTGGACGACTTGTCGGGTTTGCGATGCTCGTCAGGTCGAGCTTGTGATGCTCGAATCGTTTTAGAGATTGGGTGCTCGAATCTGTAACTCCAGCTCTGATGATGATGGGAATAATCCGAATGCGCCAAGTTGACGATTGTTGGAGTCTGGTGTGGTTACAAAGCTTTGTCAAAGAGGTATGAGAGCCGTGCCTGCAACGGACGCGCTTTTGTCATTTCCATGCGCGTTGTCTGCCACTTTTCGGGAAAGAGGCTGGAGAGGCTGGGAATGTCAAGGATGGCACGTCGCATATTGGAAGACACAGGAGGCGAAATCGATCACGGTGTCACTGTGACGAATCGCGGGACCTCGTATTGATACGTATATTTGTGTTATGAAGTCCGCGGCTGAAGTTGTAATAAGTGAATTGGTATCGTCTGTCGCACAGCGACGGAGAAAGTGGAAGAGGAATTGAGTTCCAGCTTGCGGGCCGAGGCGCTCATTAGACTACCGAGCCGCTCTCGCCAGCCCCCTCGTCCCGCATCCGCATCCGCATCCGCATCCGCATCCTGGATCTCGTACATCACTTTCTCGTTTGCTATTCTCGCATAAGGGACTCAAAATATTAATCAGCGCATCTCAGTCGCCGCGCTCCGACCGAGCACATCACCCGTTGGCGAGCATGGACCGATTGGAACAATCAACGAACAGCCTGCACTTGGGCTCTTCGTCCTCACCAACTTCTGCCGATGCTCGCCGGCGCGAGAGACGCTTCTCAGACGTGACTGGAGACAGTCCTTCCAGTACTTCTCCAGTGGCGTCGAGACGTCTTCCGCAGCCGGATGAGCAGCAGCACAAAATATCACGTCCTTTTCCATGCGGCGAGAAGAGGGGAGAGCCCTCAGTCCCTATCCCCGTGGAGCAGCATACCTGCCAACAATTGACATGTTCTGTGGCTCAAGTCTTTTCGACTCCGGAGCTGCTTGACATGATCCTGAGCGCTCTAGATACCACCAATGTAATCACACTACGTCGTACGAGCAGGATCTGGTCTCGAACTGTTCAAGAGTCGCCAAACCTGCGACTGCATCTCTTTTCGCGGCCTCAGTGGGATCGCCCAGCGTCCGACTTTCAGCTGCTGAACCTGAAGCTACCTGGACTACACATCGAGAAAGGAGAACCTGTCGACAAAGGCAGATGGATCCATGTCAGTATGAATGCCGTCGCTGCACGGTCAATACTGCCAGCTGGACGACCAAGTCGGAGACCTCGCGCGAGAAGCATATTTGAGGGCATGAGAGGTGGTCTGGGTTCGAGGACTATGCGAGAAGGATGGCCTTCGCAAGCTCCAAAGGATCCAGCGTCCCCAGTCCTTCAATACGAGGATCTGTACATCACACAGCCACCTGTCCTAGGAATGCAGGCTTTCATTATCGAGCCGGAGATGGCGTCCGAAGAAACATCGGCTGAAAGCAGTGATGAAGACGACATACCCTGCGCATGTGCAAAATTGAGTTGCGACGCAGGAATCACGCTTGACTTTCTGGCAGATACCACCTTATCGCTACTGATGGACAGGCGAGACATGAAAGACACAGAAGGTCGGAGCGTCATGTTCAAGGCAATTGTGTCCTTCTGTAAGCCAAACAGCAGCTTTCGCAAACGAGGCACAGCGCGAAGTGTGATAAGAATCGGCTGAAGGAAGCTATTCTCTCATTCATCCTTACACTCGACAGATAACCCGCTCGCGCTATACAACATACTTGGCATTCATAAGTGGCTGGACCTCAATCAGTGACAGAGCTCCACTGTCTCGCAGCGAACCGCATCTGCTCAGCGCCGATGTCGAAGACAGCGAGTACATTTTTCATCCAGGTCCCCCCAAGAATCGTCAGCCCTTCGAACGTAGGTTGGATGCCCATGACGCAGAATGATCCATCACCAACTAAGTCGATGACCAAATCTGCGGGATTGACATAGAATATCTTCTTGCCGATGCCGACACCAAAAATGGGCACTGTAGCATTGCAGTCCACGAAGTAGGCGCCGAATGAGGAATCGTAGGTGGCGGGCGGGTCAAATGCGGCAGCTGTACCGCTCGCCACATCGTTTGGGACATAGCACAGTGAAGTGCCAGAATCAACAATGACATCGGTGCCGTTGCCAACGAGTGGTGTCTACAAGCTCTCATATCAGCTGAAGGCTCATTGGAGTTCTCAAATCACTACTACATACCTTTAATGGGTTGGCGTTATTGTAAACGTTGAACTGGGTGCTTCGGTTGCTCGAGAACGCGAATCCATCAATGTCGATGGTGTAGAACTGGTACACCACCTCTTTCGCAGCATTGACGCCAGCTGGCAGGATAGGCGTAGTCACAAAGTATGGACTATGCTTGATATCAGGAATTCCGCCCAGAGCGAGGATGCCTCCAACCGATTCATCACGATCGATAGCCATGCTGAATATGGAGGGCACATCCTGCTGCTCGTACATATTAACGAACAAAGGGTTGTAAAGCATGGCTTGGTTTTTGACATCGGAACCAGGCGTTGTCCCACCGTATGCCGAAGTAAGCGATCGGTATGCAAAGCCAACCAAACCAGATGTCACGCCATCTCCGAGCCATGCTGCAATATTGACCACTCCGAATTTCTGGTTGGGCACCGTGATTCCGGCCATGGTGAATGTCTCGTTCCCCATTGCGCCGTTCAAGAATTCTCCATCTGCATAGCTGATGTTGAAGTTCTGGTCCGGCACCACTCTATAGGTGGATGACTTGGAGGAATCATAGGTCGGGCCAAATTCGCAGTCAGATTGTGCCAATGGTGTATTGTCCAGGTCGTAGCACTCAAAGCCGTTGATGGCAAGCCAAGGATCGCTCGAGCCGGTGTCGACGACTACGCTGAAATTCTGGCCGCCGACGGTCACTTCTACCGCGTGCACCTGGCCGCCCTCGACAGAATTGAGCGTCGTTGTTCCATTCTATCACAAAGACGCGTTCAGCCTAAAACTCCCGTGGCACCGCCAGGATAGCACTACTGACCTTCACTCTGGAGACACCGACTTTCCCTCTCATCGCCTGGACGTAGATGGAACTCAAAGAATTCACATCGTTTCGCTTCTTCAAAGACAACACATTCGAAGTTACCTTCAGCTCGCTGGGTTTCGTGGCAACCTTTGTCCTCGCTCTTGGAATTCTGCTGATGGTGAATCTGTCGTTGATGGCAGTAGGTTGGAAGCCATTGAGTCTTAATGCTGCCGTCACGCAGACGAACAGCACAAAGGCCCAGATCATTGCCGCCGCTGAAGTTCAATCTCTCCGTTACCACTTTTCGTGTAAGTCTTCCTTCTGTGTCGTGTTCGTCAGTCGGGCCCAGCTTCTTGCGATTTGGCGAGGTAGGCGATGCAAGGAGTCAAGCAGTGACTGTACCCTCAACATTGAAGTTCGAGAAAGAGCGACATGGAGTTGGACATGGCAGCAAAGTGTTCGAGTCTCGTAAAGCGTGCACCACAAAAGTCGGAAGGGTGAATCGAGCCTTGCCTTGTTGTTACGCTGTCCAGCGCGCATTCCTCTGCCAGCCTCTTCGACCCAGGACGCCGGTTCGGAAAAGCCCTGGCATTCACTTGTGCGTCTAGCCAAATAAGTGAAACGTGGCTGATCTTCGAACGCGAGTTCATTAATAATTGCTTTTCTACATTATTAGTGAGGATGAATCTAGGTGCGCGTCGTCGCCATCTATATCTAGACGTATAGCCAGGCCCCGGGCTTTCGCTCAAACGTGAAATGTGATGCGATTGCTCACATATAGTCGCCATGAACCCCGAAAACGTCAGCAGAATGCACACGTAATTTTGGCGTGCTCCTTGCTCAATTCCTTATCGTGCGCCCAGACGCCGTACAATGCAAAGTCCAATAGGTCTTGTCATGTTCACCAGAGAGTGTAGCCACCATCGATGAGGCAGTTGTTGCCAGTCATGAAGGCTGAGCCATCGCTGGCAAGGTAGACTGCCAGGTTGTTGAGGTCGTCCACAGCTCCAAGTCGCTTCTGGGGAGTGTGGTCGATCCAGATACGCTTCTGAGCCTCAAGAGCAGGAACACGGTTGAGAGCAGTGTCCATGTAGCCTGGGCTGATTGCGTTCACGCGAATGTTGTATCGTGCCCACTCCGCGGCCAGCGACTTGGTCAATTGTACGACAGCAGCCTTGGAGGCATTGTAACATGATTGCTCTTGCGGGTAGTTGACGACGGTGCCCGACATGGAGGCAATGTTGACGATGCTGCCACCAGTTCCGAGGCGGATCATTTCGCGAGCCACGGCCTGCGTGGTGAGGAAAGTACCAGTGATGTTGATGTCGAGCAGCCTCCGGAACTTCTCGGCATCATAAGTCTCAGCCTTGATGTTGGAGCTAGAAGCTATCAGCCAAGTGCTGCGGCAAATGGTTCTCGTGGTTCACTTACTCTGCGATGCCGGCAGCGTTGATAAGCACGTTCACGTCGCCATAGTGTTCAACAACATCGCGGACAGCCTGGCCTATAGCGTCGCCATCACGCACGTCGACCTTGTAGAATCGGACGTCGATGCCGGTCTGCTCACTGAGGTCACGGGCCGATTTGTCACCAAGCTCTTGCTGCACATCCATGATGGCGATGCCTCTACATCCGACCTCTGCAAGGGCCTGGGCCATGTTCAACCCAAGTCCGCGACCACCGCTGCGAACAATCAGCTTGAGCATCTGCGTGAAGGTTCGAAAATTACACATACCCAGTCACCACGGCGACTTTGCCGGTCAGCGTAAATTTCTGCAGGGTTGGCGTGAGGTGCTTCAAAGCTTCCGCCTTGAGCGGGATTGCTTTCTTCTCCTCATCTGCACCGGGAGGAGAGACAGGACCGTTGCCTTTGCCGCTTGCTTCGTATTGCACAGTAGTCTCTTGACGCTCGCCCCGTCTGTAGCTGACCACCGGGATTTCTGGATCACTATTCTTCGACGAGGAGTTGAAAGCTGCACGAGAGACGAGTGGAGTGAAAGCGGGCGGGCGACCGACCACGCGGCGGCCGGCCACTCTCAGGGCGGTGCGGCCGAACATGGTTGTAGGATGTGGTACTAATCACCCAAGAATATATCCAAGCAGCGCGGGAAACGAAGGATTGATCTGTGGTAAGATATGTAGGCGTCGAGGTGTTTTCGCCAGCGCTGATATACCGTAGATCGGTAGGATGGGTAGTGTTCGGTTGTTCTAAGGAGAGAGATTCCTCGGGAGCCGCTGAAGGCAGTGCCAGGTAGAGAATAGGCCGCGGAGGAAGAGGAAGGACTGATCAGAAGCAAGAACGGCGGGAAACAAGCAGGAGCAGCGTTTTGAGGCGTGCGCTGCTGAACGAGTGATACGCCGACGTCGCAAGAAATGACGTGAAAAGACAGCACAGATTTCGCAGCTCGCACCTACCAGAATAATAATGGACCAGCTCCTGGGATACTGGCTCCGCCGACTGCGTGTAAAAAGTGGTCGTTGGCCCAAACACAGTCCATCGCGGCGTGGGAAGGCCAGAGTGCTATGCGCTAGGCGGCAGTGCTGGATCTGGTGACCCGCCCGTCGACAGCAATGGTCTGGCATCAGTCCCCTTTTCTTGACTCGTCCTACCGCAAAGGCGGCAAGCGATGTTGTACCGAGACGCGAGGACGATGATGTGAGCCATGCCTCCAGGAAAAGTGGAGGAAGTAGACGTGAGGTCGTTTCGTTACACTGTTTTCGCCGAGGCTCAGTCGGAACTTAAGTCCTGGCACTGGCGAGAAGCTTGTATACATATGTACATACATAGAATCACGAAATCCTCCTTGCACACGTTACATGGATGATGGATGCGAACTGGGGGAGAGACTAGGAGAGAGACAAGCTCTTCGGCTAAATTCTTTGTATCTTGTCCCTGTCGATCCATGCATCTGAGATGTTTCCACGCCATTTCTTCGCGGTGCAGCTCTTCCCTGCATCTTCCTCCTAGCCAGCTATCATATCCTATCTCTTGCACCGACGCCATCTCAGCCTTGTCGATTTTCAACCCGCGGATGACTACCCTACCGACGATTGTCCGTGATATCGGCGGTGGTGACGTGCCTTAAGGTTTATATCCAACAATCAGCACTTTTCTCGCAAGTCAGTATGGCAGGAAGGGCGCTGCATTTTGTTCTAATTCAGCTGCAGGTGTGAATCAAGAATGCTCGGAACCTGATCCAATTCTCTGGCCTTCGTAACATTCGTGACAGGAATCCTGTGCTGCCAGCATCTCTCTTCACGAATTATACAAGGCTACAGCGGCAGCTGATTCGTTCATGCTCAACACGCGTCGCCCATAATCTCCGATCGAGATGAGGCATTTGGTTGCTTTCACGCGATGAGAACGTGATCCGAAATTGTCTCCATAACTTGAACCACTGGAGGGCCTACTGGAAGCGAAGCGGCTCCAGCCTTACACTTGATGGTCTTGAGACTGCAGTCGTTAGAGGAGCGGCGGAGAAAAGTCTTTCGACGGGGAACATGCTCGAAAGGGCCTAACAAAAGAGCCTCAATCGTCGAACGACGTCCTGCCACCCTGCTCAAAGGTGATACATTGCGCTGTACGAAGACGTGTCCAGTTCCCTTTGTCATTTCCGCGCCGTCGTGATAGAGTTGGATTGATGACTCGAGTATGTTCAGCCGAGCTTTAATACTGCATCGTCCAGCGCGCAGAAGTCGGAGAAAGTCCGTGAGATGTGTACACCAGATATCTGAGTCACGCAAAGCAAGAGAACACGTAGGAGTGAAGCAATGACTGGGGAACAAAGGTGATGCTCGCATGTGCCGAAGAACAGAAATGTTTCCTTCTGCTTCGAATTCGGTGGGGCGCTTCCGCAATTGCGGCCATGTGATTGGTCGCAGCTGAGGACCCTGCCTCATGAGGTCAAAAGCACAGCTGGCAGTGAAGGTCAACAAGTCAAGGTGGCATCTTCGACACATGCTCCTTCGACTTCTATTTCTTTACTGACCGACGCACTTGAACTTGGACTTCACCACTTCAACCAACCTCTCGTGCTTGCCTTTGCTTTTCACTGCCTTTCTGCTATCGAAGCCCAACGGCAGCAATCTGATCAACCACCACACTCCAGCCGAGTTTGAACTTCGACTCGACAACACCACTACATCCACCAACCAGCCTCTTGGTCAAGATGGCGCGGTTTTCTCGAAACAAGAGCCGCCCCGCGCGGCCAGCAGTGTCATCGTGGATGACGGCCTTTTACTTCTGCGCCGTCCTCCTGGTACCAATGCTCTTTGCGGGCCTCATTCCCAGAGCGCAGGCGCAGGACACTAAGGACACCAGTGTGCAAGGACCAGGTAAGCCGTCTTGTCCCTTCCATCGCTCAAGCCCTTTCGCCAGAATCTGCAACTGACGTGAATTGACGTAGTCATCGGAATCGACCTCGGAACAACCTACTCATGTGTTGGTATCATGAAGGGCGGAAGCGTCGAAATCCTCGTCAACGATCAAGGAAACCGTATAACGCCGTCATGGGTGGCTTGGAACGACGACGAGCGTCTTGTGGGAGATGCAGCCAAGAACCAATACGCCTCCAATCCCGAACGAACAGTCTTCGACATCAAGCGTCTTATCGGCCGCAAGTTCGACGAGCGGGATGTTCAGAAAGATATCAAGCATTTCCCTTACAAGGTCATCAACAAGGACGGTCAACCACGTGTCAAGGTTGTTGTAAAGGGGTAAGCCTGCATGGTCTCATTTTTGTGAGTTCTCAGCTAATATGGCTTCTAGTGAGGAGAAGACATTTACACCAGAAGAAGTCTCGGGTATGATTCTTGGAAAAATGAAGGAAGTCGCCGAGTCCTATCTTGGTGAGAAGGTTCACAACGCAGTTGTCACTGTTCCTGCCTACTTCAACGACGCTCAGCGCGCTGCCACGAAGGACGCCGGTACTATCGCAGGCCTCAATGTGCTGCGAGTTGTCAACGAACCTACTGCTGCAGCGCTCGCCTATGGTCTCGACAAGAGTGACAAGGAACGCCAAATCATTGTCTACGATCTTGGTGGTGGTACTTTTGATGTCTCCATCCTGACAGTTGACCAAGGCGTCTTCGAGGTTCAGGCAACCGCTGGTGACACTCATCTCGGTGGTGAAGACTTTGATCAGCGTGTAGTTGATTACTTCACCAAGCTCTACAACAAGAAGCACGATACCGACATCACCAAGAACAAGAAGACGATGGGTAAGCTGAAGCGCGAAGTTGAGAAGGCCAAGCGCTCGCTGTCCAGCCAAATGAGCACCAAAATCGAGATCGAAGCCTTCCACGAAGGCAACGACTTTTCTGAGACTTTGACACGTGCAAAGTTCGAGGAGCTTAACAACGACCTTTTCAAGAAGACTCTCAAGCCTGTTGAGCAGGTACTCAAGGACGCAAAGCTCAAGAAGTCAGACATTGACGATATCGTTCTGGTTGGCGGAAGCACGCGTATCCCCAAGGTCCAGAGCATGCTTGAGGAATTCTTTGGCAAGAAGGCTAGCAAGGGTATCAACCCTGACGAGGCTGTCGCTTACGGTGCCGCTGTCCAGGGTGGTGTTCTATCTGGCGAGGAGGCTGCCGGAGACATTGTTCTCATGGATGTCAACCCGCTCACTCTCGGAATCGAAACGACTGGCGGCGTCATGACGCACCTCATCAAGCGCGGCACTACTATTCCAACTAAGAAGAGCCAGATCTTCTCTACTGCGGCCGATAACCAGCCCACAGTTCTTATCCAGGTCTTCGAAGGCGAGCGTTCTATGACGAAAGACAACAACCTCCTCGGAAAATTCGAGCTCTCTGGCATTCCTCCTGCTCCTCGCGGCCAGCCCCAGATCGAGGTTACTTTCGAGCTTGATGCCAACGGGATCTTGCGTGTATCAGCCGGTGACAAAGGCAGCGGCAAGATGGAATCTATCACGATCACGAACGATAAGGGTCGTCTTAGCGCGGAAGAAATCGAGCGCATGGTCGAAGAAGCCGAGAAATACGCTGATGAGGACAAGGCTACGCGCGCGCGCATTGAAGCTCGCAACGGTCTCGAAAACTACGCGTACAGCTTGAAGAACCAGGTCAATGACGAAGAAGGTCTTGGTGGCAAGATCGATGATGATGATAAGGAAGCTCTTCTCGAGGCCGTGAAGGAAGCGACTGATTGGCTGGAGGAGAACGCGCAGAGCGCTGAGGCAGAGGACTTCGATGAGCAGAAGCAGAAGTTGTCTGACGTCGCGTATCCAATCACGTCGAAGCTGTACGCAAGCGGCGGCGCAGGCGGTATGCCAGATTATGGTGACGATGAGGAGCCAAGTGGGCACGACGAGCTATAAGTGCAGTCTCGGACTTGTGTTGATATCATAGCACGGCGGCGTTGTGGGATGCCTGAGAAAGATTCATCAAGCATTTTGGAATGTGCTACATAGACGTACGGAATGAATTTGGAATGTTACTTACCACAAACCTTCATGGCTGGAGTGCTTCCCGAAAAAAAGGCCTTGTTACTGACACTGACACTGCACTACTTGTGTATAAAAGTCACGTGATATTTACTCTTCGCTGGGATGGATGCATAGAGTTCAGAAGACGGTCTGCAATTTACCAGGGTGCCTCTCGTTCTGATGGTATGATAGCATCCAGACAGACAATTTGTTCAATGTTCATTCTATAGCCGCCAGGATAGGATGTGCTGTCAGGACGAACTAGCTCGACTGCCGTTCCCAAGACCCTCCCAAATGCGTCGTAGCTTTGATACGTTTTCTCTGGGTGGATCTGGATGATTGGAAACCTGTTTCGCTTCACCAACCTTCGGTCGACGCGTCAGTCTCCAGGCCATGATTTTCACCGACCCACTCCGTTGCTGTAGAATCTTGATCTCCCGTGCCTTCCTCTCAAGCCACACCCTCAGACCGTCCTTGATGGTCTCACGCTCCAACTGGCGTTTCCGGCCGACCAGGGGCCCAGCCACGCCGGCGCGAACCAATTCACCGGATGTACGATCCAGCCTGCAACACTCCTTGGGCACTATGTTGGCTGAAACCAATGTGGCGAGTTTCGGCCGCCGACTGAGAGATCTCGAAAGACGGATGGCGAGCAAGGAGCGATGCAGCTTTCGCGCGGCGAGGTGAGTTCGTGTGAGATATATTGTTGCTACTGGCGGCTGGAGCGTGAACAGAGGAGCGCGCGACTGCAACCACTCACCAACGCGTTGTTTTCCCACGAGCAGGCGCCATCTGTGCAGCAGTGGGTCAAGCGCAAGTGCTCTCAGGTGTCGGCTCGTCTGGCAACATTAGCAAGACTGCTTGAGTGGAGATGTTGGACGATGTTGGTCCGTACTCTAGACAGCAGCAAGAGATGATCGACTTCAAGAAAGCGCAGGATGCGTAAGATTAGTTCATCAGGGAGCATAGGCAATGTGGCCGAGGGGTGTCTGGCGTCATGGGAAACATGCGTCGCCGGGGCCATGGCGTGTGGTAGCGGTATTCAGGACTCAGAGGGACGCGCAGAGTGTGTTCATGTTCATGCAGAACACTGTGATGAGAGCGGCGGCGGCGGCGACCAGAAGCTCGCATCGCATCGTGTCGTCGGGGCGTATTCTAGCTTCCCGAGGCCGTCAAGTTTCTTTCTCCCGGCTCCGGATCTTCCCGAACGCGCGCGCTTGGAATTTCGAGCCTCATCGTCATGCCTCATGCCTCCTCGCACATGATGGCTTGGTTCCAAATCACCCGCGACGACGGCGCCATATCAAGCCCGTGTGCTGCAGCGCCCGTTTTGTCTTCGACCCCCTGCACACTCACACTCACCCTCACCCCGCTGGCCAACTTCAAGCACACCTCACCTCACCGCAGCCGCAACGGGCGGGCGGCCTGCTGGCTGTCGCTTTCGTCGTACCGACTACCGACGGAGCAGGAGGCACTCAGGCACCACCGTGGCAGCCAGGAAAAGAGATCGTTCCCAGAGCTCCAGACGGGAGGAGCCTTTTAGTTCACACGGGGTGGAGACGGCTCGCATAACTTATAAGCAGTAGACTCCTCTGCCTGCAAGCCCAGCTTGCTGATGATGAGCTGGCACACCCTCTGGTCCTTGCCAGTAGTGAACGTCGACCGGATACGTACCCTCGAGCCCGGTCCTCACCCAATCGAAGCTCCCAGCACTCGGCTCGACCCTCTGCACTCCATTGGCCGCTCAGACGTAAGCCCAACCCAATTAGAACTCCCCAGCGCTCGCATTATTAGTCTGCGGTCCAACAGGCACTTTCAATCACCTGTCTTTTATCACCTGCGGTTGACCGTGAGAGGTCCACAGGCTCCGGCGGTTGCTGTTACTCACATGACCGCAAGTGGACCCCGATTCTGGACGTCATCCGTACAGCCGCTGACCTTCTTGCCCTCCCCGAAGCCGTCGAGATATTGTTATATCTCATCCAATGGTAAAATTCACTTGCTTGCATTCGGTTTCAGGCTTTCAGCCGCCTTGATCATCGTGCCCACGCACCTATCCCAACGCTAGTAACCTTTCAGAACTGCGTCCGCCGTGATGCGTCACCTCGCTGGGTGTCAGCGCACTTCCCAACCACCTTCTCGCCTTTGCCTGCGGCATAATGCGAGCGCTAACTGCCTATGGCGCCTCGAGGCCCATGTCACCTCGTAGCTGCGCAAAAAGGCAATTCCTTTATGCTTGTCATCAGAGCAGATGTTCATGATTCGGCGGGTGCACGCGGTACCGCAAGCTTCGTGCCTCTGCCGGCAGACATTCACCAGTCCACCCTTCTCTGTCCACGAACGGTCTCGCAGAAAGGCACAATGCTCCTCGCTTGACCTGCTGGCATTGGATCAGATATTCCTCAGGTACATGGACCGGTGAGACTGTCGTGCTGGCAGAGGGCCGGCCCAATTGTGAGCTTCTCGAATCCCACTCCCCTCGTGCATAGACATTTGCTAACCATCGGCCTATCGAGCCCATTAATAGCCTTTTTGAAAGACCCACCACACTGAGACTGCCACGTTGCAGAGCGGAGGCGGCCAGGGCCAATCTAACACAGTAGCTTCCACTGTCTCCGAGTCTTGCCCTGCACAAGATGGACCAGGCTTCGAGCATACACTCTAGTCCAGCCGGCACTGTCGATGACAGGTGTGCCGGTATGCGAACGAGTGGCCATGTTGCCACTAGCTCTGCTGCAACAGAGGCGATTCGTGGGGTCTCGTCAGCTTAGTGCTGCTCCATGGCAAGACGGAAGCATAGTCTCTGCGGGAGGCCGAAGGCATGACACCAATCGGCCACAAGCTTGTTGGCCACATGTGGTCTGACTCGCTTCGTGCAGATGGAGAAGATAAGGTGACTGGTCGTCTATGCTTGGGTTCCGCTCAGCAGGGGCGTTTGGCAGGATGGTGGCCGTGGAAGGACGTCACAACCCTGCAGCATGCTCCTCCTATGGGAACGTTGACGGGACTCGCTCTCAACGACCTCAATCGAACTGGCGACGAATGATGCGGCAGCTCGTGCATCTGATGCAGAAGTTGCCGAACTTGCAGCATGGCTTGCTGCTTGCAGGTTCTTTCTTCCAGCGTGGTGGTCATTGGGACAGCACGAGCATGATAGGCACTCACCCACTTAATCTTTATGCCTCAGGCTTGAGTGGGCACGCACATGGATCTGGATGCCAGAGGCAGGCCGTTACCGGAACTAGAGGCATTGAAATTTATGGCTCAGGCAGACTCTTCGTCTCGAATACAGAGGACCAATGGAGTCCATGGCATGCATTGACGTCTAAAATCCCCGGCACGTGACCAGCTTTGCATTCACTTCGCGGCGGAAGTGTCCTAGGTGTTACACTTCATGAACATGCTACAAGTACGCCATTCTACTCAAGTGGAGACGCCGAGCAAGGACAACAGGAAGGATAAACGGCACGGACGAGCATCAACAGGCGGAGAAGATGCCACGCAGTCGAGCATCGCTTCAAAGGCAATATGCTGCTGCATGGCCGGTGCAAGCGATCATGCCTAGTTGCCATTGCAGCTGCCATCCTGAGTACTCTAAACCCAAATGAGGACGATCCGAGTGCCCCGGAAGACCCAGTTGGCTCGATCACACCGACGGTCGAGAAGTATTGCATTGAGGGTGGTCCGCATGTCAAGGGCTTGCAGGCCAGCGTTCAACAACGGCGGGCTGCCACGGCGAGGTCGTGACGAGTCAAGGAGTGCCAGATGGGCCAGATGAAAAGCATAAATAGCGGCATGAAGGCAGTGGATGGTCCTCTTCCTTTTCCCATCAGCAACTCCCAGCCACTCCAACAACTTCCAGCACATCAGTCCTCTCAGCCAGCTTCCTTGGTATGTCACGGCCTCTCCCTCCCTCCCTCCTGCCTTCCCTCCCACATACACTCAATCACACATTGAAACACACTTCGACATGCACATCAATGGCTGTTGATGTCCCATCGTCGTACAAGACTAGCCCATGACCATCGAAAATGTCTCACTCCCTGACGCTGTGCTCAAAGATCGACTCCCTCCAGGGCAGACATCATACATACAGATTCTCCGGCACCAAGGTGAGTCTAAATCTCAGACATACATGCATGGCAAGTCCGAAAGCTCTGACCCGAACCAATGGATTCCAGCCCAGCCACTTCATCGACAGCCACCATGTGCTTCTACGACATGTACAAGTTCTCTTGCCGCGACTGGAAGTGGGGAAACTTCCGTCAACACTGCCAGAAGGAGTACCGCACGGGCGAAACGTGTGGAACCAAATTGATCTACCAGACCATCGACCAACCAGACAAATGCACCTTTTGCGAGAAAATCGAGAAGAAGCTGAGACGGCGCCAGAAAGCCGCCGAGGATCGTCAACGATGGATGCAGGAGCCCCAGAGGTTTCGTGCTAGTATCGAGAAGGCTACTGAAGATATCGCCACTTTGACCCGTGAAATTCAGCAGCTGCAGATGGATAAGGATGCCAAGTATCATAATGTCGGCAACACCAAACGCAGGGCTTGAGAATTGATTGGTGGCAAGGCTCGCTCCGATGGATGGATGGATGGAGGTCGAATCTGCGCTTCTTCGATTCTTTCTGTATTGATTGATTGATTGATTGATCACCTTCGTTTCAGAACAGGGTGCATCTTTTTTTTCCTCGGGGTCGGCTTCGTTGTATCAGATTGCTGCAGAGATGTGCGTGGGCCACTCATTTTTCGGCAGGACAGGGGGGTGTTTTTTGTTATTAGCATACCTTACGTACGAAGTCATGACATTTTTCTTTCTTCCTTCTGTCTCTTCTAGTCTGATGTGCTCTGTGTTTTATCAATCCAAGCTGTCGTTTGAAGTTCGAATGTCCACCAATGAGCTTTCGATCTGATGCGCTGATTGGCGCTAAGTCACGACCGACCGCGCGTGCTCTCTCAGCTGCTCTGAGACTGTCACGCCTTGACGCTTGGATACCCCCGAGCCCCGGCAGATGTAGGACTGGCACCTGTTTAGAATCGTGTCTATATTAATATCTCTTTAATTATATACTGTCTGTGTCTAATATAGTGCGTGACTATCTTTATTTAGTAATATTTTTATTTATATCTAATTGCTATATACTACTACTATCTCTAGTACTGCTTCTAGTAGCGTCGCGGAAGTAGTAGTAGATATTAGACTAAGAGAAAGAACTTAAGTTTAATTATTGTATAGGGTTATAACCCTATTTAAAAAATACTAGTAGTACTAACTAGTAGTATCGCTAGTATACTTATTACTCCTAGTAGAAGTAGAGGTTTGTTATTTAATTACTATCTAAAGCGACTTTGCTAGTACTACTAGTAACGTTTTAGTTTCCTATCAAAACGCGTCCCCTAGGTACTAGTACGTTAGAAGAATACTAGGTCTAGGGGGTGTAAACTTTAAAGGATAAATATAGTATCAAAATTACTATTTATAAATCCTATAGCTACTACTTTAGTCTACTAGATAAGCGTATCCGGAAAATAACGAATTCCTACGTTTGGAAATTAGGGCAAAAGGCTAGAATTTCAAGATAATCGGAGATTCTAATCGATGGAAAGCGAGGTCCACTCAGAATCACGAAAACACCCCTATTGGATTGTGTGCAGCAGTTTCGGCGAGGCACAGGAACCGAGACGGCGGCTATAGCCTATGGATCGATGCTGTATGCATCAACCAGGCAGGCAGATGCAGCAGAACGCCACGGCGCAAGTGGCCATCATGGGACAGATATACGACTCTTCTGCAAAGCGTACCTTGAGTCCTGCTGACCAGGAAGAGGCTCAAGCTGTCGTCAGTTCTCAGCTTCGCCAAAAATCCTCGCCTTCCATTCGTGATAAGCTGACATGTCGAGTGAATCGTGCAGGAGATGATTGCGCTGGTACGAGATGTCCGGCCTTCACAAGCTGTCTTGGCAAGACATAAACACTCCTTGCCATGGAGAACAGAACAGATTTCATGTTCGTTCTGGAGGGTTGGATTGTCCGTGGACGGCGCTTTCGCCTTTAGAGACAGCGGATGGCTTCAGCGTCATGGAGAGATTTCGAATATTTTGGAGACTTTCCGCTCAAAAGACACCACTGATCCCCGAGATCGAATTGGATGCCGGCTTCCCCGAGATTGGCGTCGGTCAGCTTGAATCTGTGCGCGTCCAATGTCTGGATGGCTGGGTCAGTCAGTGTGCGGCTCGTAGCTTTAGCAAGCACCATTGCCTTCTTATGCACAGCGCAGCCTGTCCTGTTCAGCCGTGTCCGCACAATGCAAGACGTGGTAGCACAATGATGCCGCCGCATGACGGTATGCTCTCGCGAGTGCAGTGCTTGTTCCGCTCGTTCTACCGTCACGTTAGCTACGCTTGCATGTGCGCGCAATCTGCTTTTGTGCAAAACTCGTGGTCTGGCATTCCAGCCTCTTGGAGGCTTCCATGTCTATGTGTGCTGCGCCCCGTGGCGTCTTCATACAGTGTAGCGATTTAGTACTGTGTGTCACAAGAGATAGCGCCTTTCCCTCCGTCTACAGCAGTCCGATTCCTAGCTCTTGCTGCGAAGACGATTGTTGTAGCCAAGACGAACTGAGCATGTCACCGTCCAGGATACGCGGCCGCGACGAGTGTGTATAATGAGAGTGCAAGAAAGGTCGAGAGAGGCAGCGGTGCCTTCCCGATCGATGTAAGTTTCATGTAACGCGACGTTCGCGCCAAGCACCGACAAGGGGCGGAGCTCAGCCGGAACGCGGTTGCCACGCAATGAGAGAAGCCAATCGCACGTGATCGAGGAGTGGAGCTTTCGAATAATCGTTTGCAATTCTGTTGAGCCTGCCAAAATCTATAGACTATTTCGTATCAGTCATACAAATGCGCCTTCCTGCACAAAACGCCGCCCGAGTGCCATGATTTCGTAGCCGGACGTCCCGTCTAGTCCTCCCTGCCTTCTCCTTGACCAGCGCCTCGGCTTGCGACTGGCGGACCAAAGGTAAATGGTGTGTTACCGTAAGCTCCGTAGCCAGCCGGAGGACAGTTGGAATAACATCCAAATTCTGTTGTCGTGACGAAAATGGTGGTTGTGCCGAGGATGTTGGTAACACAAGTAGTCGGCGACATGCCCGTTGGGAATGGGGGGAATGTGCCCGTCGGGATGAGAGGGGTGCTTGATGGTAGGCCGGGCGTTCGCGGTCCACTTGGAGCGCTGAAAGGAGGAACAGTGCCCGAAGGAAATGGATAAGGAACGGGCGCCGTACCAAGTGGGATCTCCTCGGTGAATGTCGTGCCTCCTGTGGCGAAGGGAGCGGTTCCAGGAAGGGAACCAGAAGGAATCATACCAGTGCTGAAGGGTGGAAAGGAGGACGGAGCGGTTCCAGTCGGCGTGAAAGTGCTCAGTGTGCCGGATCGTGGACCGCTTGGAGCGCTGAAAGGTACAGAACCTGTACCTGATGGGGTGGAGGTGCTCTGGGTACCGCTTCGTGGACCGCTTGGAGCGCTGAAAGGTACAGAACCTGTACCTGACGGGGTGGAGGTGCTCTGGGTACCGCTTCGTGGACCGCTTGGAGCGCTGAAAGGTACAGAACCTGTACTTGATGGAGTGGAGGTGCTCTGGGTACCGCTTCGTGGACCACTTGGGGCACTGAATGGGACAGATCCAGTTCCACTTGGGAGAGGAGATGTGCCATTACCAGAGCCTTCTGTTGAGGAAGCACTTCCCGTCCCGCCCACGCCGCTTGTTGATGAGATTGGGGTAAGAGGAGGTCCCGATGACGGGCTGCTGCCGGTCGGTAGAGGAGTGGTGGTTGAGTCCGTGCCAGATCGATTGTTGTTGCTGTTTGAGAAACCAGCACCGCCTGTCGAGCTTTCGCCTCCCGTGGCACTAGACACAGCTACAGAAGTGATCGGAGTTGGCGATGGACCAGCACCTGAACCTCCCGTCTGAGACACGAAACCAGTGCCGCCTGAGATGACCGTGGACGAGATTGGAGTGGGCGGAGCGCCAGAGGATGGGACCACCCCAGAGCCCCCGGTCGAGAAGCCGGATGCGGTGCCCCCGGAAATGACAGTGGATGATACGGCGCCAGAGCCACCTGTGTTGCTGGCACCACTATCTCCACCCTCTTGGCCAGATGCGACGAAGCCCGAACTCCAAGCCGTGCCGAAAGTGTTGGTGACCACACTCGGGCTTGGAGTCTGAACAGCACCTGAGCCTCCACCGCCGCCTTGACCGCCTTCACCGGCCCCGCCGCCGGTGATGACATATTGTGTTGAGGATACTGATGTCCAAGTCGAAGCGGATGTAATAATGCCCGCAGAGACGCTCGAAGGCCCGTCTTGACCACTGCCTCCGATGCCACCAGCGCCGCCAGTAGAGTACACGTAGTACAGGGTTGTAGTCGCAGCAGAAATCTCAGTACCATTGGCAGCAAATGTCTCGTTGGCAACTACTTGAGTCACATTGTAACCTCCTGGATAATAGTATGTGTAGTTGGTGGTTGTGATCATCCAGTACTCGCCACCCGGTCCGCCCTGTTGCACATCGGTGCCGGTGGAAGACGAATTGCTGATGGATGTGCCGGTCTCGGTGCTTCCGTACACAGTGGTGGCCGATGCCCAAGATTGCGTGTAAGAGGTATAGTACGACCAATACCAGACTCCATTCGAGGAATAGTAGGTCGAGAAAACTGTGCCAGATGAGTACGTGGTGCCATCTGAGACGTAGGTCGAGTATGAGGTGACGGCGGGAGCGTCGACAAGCAGGCCGGTTCCTGGAAGCTGAGGCTTACTTGTCGGTGTGACCACTGAAATGGAGGTGGAGCTGTCTGTCAAAATCTGCTCCAAAGAACTGCTCGCTGCCTCGGGATCGACTGTAGTCTGCTCAGGGAAAGGACCAGATTCCGTAGCAGTCCCCGATGGACTCGATGAATTGACACCAACAGCGATGTTGAGTAAGATACCACTGTCAACGCCAACAGCGGCGACAGTGGTTTCTGCAGAACCCTTCAGAAAGCAGTTGAATCCCGCAGAATTGGAGGTGGCATAGTAAGAGAAACCCTGGCAGACAGGCAGATCGAATCGTTGGTTGGCCACAGAACAAGCAGCAGCACATTGAGAGTAGGAGTCGTAGCTGAGAGTGTTGTAAAAGTCATCGTCGGAAATATCGGTATCGCACATGACCAAATAGTCGTATCTTTCCGGACCAACAAGCTGACTGACGGTCGAGTTGTTGTCTTCAGGGCACTGGAAGCCTGGGGCGGTGGGAGCAGGGCCAGGGCCGGAATTGGTCGTGCTGGGCAATTCCTCCGACACCATATCCGAGGTGGCGGCACTTGAAGCGCCCACAGTCGTCGTGACTGTACCTGACGTTCGGGTCGCAGACGTAGTAGTGGTATCCTGATAGAAAGCAGAAACTGTAACGACGCTTGGCGAAGCCGTGGATGTTTCGGTAACCACGAGGCCCCTATAGGTCTGACAGCCACAGGCGCTGGAGAAAGAAGCAGTCCAGGCCTCAGGTGGCAGCGAAGTCTCGTTGTCCACCCTTCCTCGAAACCTTTCCATAGCTGCAGCCATACCTGCGACATCGCGGGCCAGTGGAGCTGCTGTAATCTCGGACGCTGCAGCTCGCTGAACGATTGGAGAGGCGGTGACTGTCTCAGTCGAGGCGGGAACAGTCGTGACCACAGTTCTGGTGCCAATGTATTGCGTGGTGTAGGTGTAGTACACGTTGCTATGAGTCGATTAGTATGTACAGATCAGGCGGTTCGACGCGTACTCACCTCACAGGGGTATACTCGACCGTCACAGTCGTATTCGGATAGCCCATGATCTCGGCACAAAGCTCCGCCCCAAAAGAGCTGTTGAACACGGCATAGTAGAAATCGTCTTGATAGCAGGTCGCCAAGGCAGCTTTCTTCTCGAATCTCCTGAGTAGGCCATAGAGGTTCCAGACAGATTTCTCGTATTGCGATTCGGCATTGCGGCGTTGGACTTCAGCCGGGGCATTGGCAACGCGAGCGGAAGTGATGGAAGCGAGAGACAGACCCAAGGCCAGCGCAGATCGCGAGCGCATATTGAAGGCTTGTCGTGAGCGAAGGCCGAACAAGTGCTTCAATGTCAGAGCAAGCCTTTAACGAGTGGCTTTCAATACTGCTTGCTGATCGGTGCAGTGATGTCGATGGACAAGCAGAGGACTTGGAAGTGTCTTATAGGATGTACAGCCGCACGCACATTGCAGGTCAGCCTCCAGTGCTGCCTGCCTTGCAGAGGCTGGTGATCGAAGAAGTGTTCCTGCAGGCACAGGAGGTGGTGGTAGCAGATGGAATGGGCTGAAGTGGAGGGAGGGGTGCAACGATGCTTCGCAGGGCGCTGGAGGCAGCAGCAAGGAGATTGAAGATGTCGCCATAGTCAGTACGGCTGGTGGACTTGCGAGAGACAGAGGCTGCGATGTTGAGATGCCTCCATTCCGAGGGAGCGGGAAGGCATGCAGATGTGCGGACATGTGCGGCCCTCCTTGCGTGAGTGGCAGCAGCGTCATTCTTTGGCTGGTGAAGTGCTCGCGCCGAGGAATGCTCTCGACGCGTATCTTGAATCTTCAGCAGGCAAGCGCGGCCGTCTGCAGGCGAAGTGAGCTTGCGGATCGCCATTCGCCACGCAGATACAGTAGGCCCAGGGACCGGGACCGAGATTGGCGAGTGTCGAGTGCATGGGTCGCGCTTCGAGCGTGAGACGTGTGGGCGAAGATGGCATGCAGAGTATGCAGAGAGGTCGCCGAGGCGTGGGCGGAAATCCCAGCAGCGCGGTTTGGCTCTGTGCTTCCCTTCCCGCCCGATGCCTGCCGATGCCGATGCCGAAGCAGGGAGTCGAGCCGGAACCGGGGCCGCAAAAGTCGTCCAGGCACAGGCGCGGGCGTGAGTAGTAGGCTCATATCGGACATTATCCCATACCGACCGTGGAGGAGGGTGATACGGCTGCCGATGGAATGGGCATCTGCGCATCTTGCCTTGGCCTTAACAGGTGTGTTTCCCCTTGGCCTGGAACCCGCCCATTGACTGATCACGCACGCTCGCTGGTATAGGCATCCCTCGCACGACGTAAGACACATCCACCCGCGAACAGCTGCTGGTCTAAGATCGCGCCGCTCACATCAGACACACAGCGCGAGATCGATCGGCTCCTGAACTCGGAACAGCCCCGTGCCGCACATGGCGCAGTCGACCACGGCACCTTCGCACAGCCGGACGAGGAAGAGTTGAGACGAGAGCGAGAAGCCTTGGAGCATATCACGGCACAAGCGGCAGAGTACGTCTGCCCCCTTCCGTGCTCCCAACGAGTGCTGGACTGACGCCACGAGCAGCCATATGATCGATGTACTTCATCCCTCCCAATCCGACCTGGATTATGGCCTGGTGCTCGGCGGCCATCGCAGCTACCGCGACGACCCAGTTGAACACTCTGTCGCCTGCCAGGATCCACAACATAGCAGAGCATTGCCAGAGACAGAAGACTCCGAAGAGGCAGCCTGGCTAGAGAGTGTGCAGTCTGCTCAGCTGGAAACCATACAAATGCCCAAAAGCGGAGCCTTGACTATGCATCTTGGACTCCTGAGGGAGACTCGTCCATCTCATAGGAAATCCAAACCTGAATCTGCCTACTGACTGCCGCCATACGCTTGTCAGGAGTGTCTTGAGTCTTTGCTTCTAGAAATACTCCACATAGTTGAGCGCGCTACTTCTGGATATTGCCTCAAATGATCATTGGAACTGCATCCAGACTATCGCGGCACCTTTCGCCTGTGTGCATAGCGAATTGCATTTCATTGACAGCTCTGGCTCTGCGTCTTGGTCACGCCCTCCGATCGAGAAACAACGCTGTGCAATGTGCGAATCCATTCGCACCTCACAGTCCGAGTGTGCCTACGTTCGATGCGGAGTTACCCAACAACTACGATGCAAAAAACCCTGCGACTTGGGATTTTGTCCTGCTTGATCTCGACTAAGCTCGGATCAGTAAAGCAGAAAGTGGCGTCCCACTCTTCCGTGCTGCTGGCACTTTCTAAGCCATTTCCCTCCGAACGTCGCGTTGCAGATACATGAAGCGATATAGAAATGACAAGAACACTGATGACCTCTTCCTTTCTACGACTAGCAATAGCAAGAGCACGAGGCCGAAGGATCGAGATGCGTCAGCAAAGATCCTGCGCTTACCCAAGACAGTCATCGGTACCCCAGCAAAGATTCCTGCCTGTCGACCTCCGAAACCGCCAGATGCATCGCCCCCCAGCAGCTGAGTCCAGCAGATCACATTCGCAACAGCACATTCGCCATGCCTGAGTCTTGAGATGTCGTAGTCAGCCGAAGCCTCAGGATTGCATGGACCGCTCTATCACACTTTGGCCACAACCTCTCCGAAACACCGCAATATTACAGCAGCACAGCGATTTCCTCATCACGTTATGGCGAGAACGAAGGCGGCTGCTGCATCAGGTGGCAGCTTCCCGTTTATCATATCGCATGGTCCCAAACCCCCTGAAGATCCGGCTGTGAGGACTATGATCCGACGCCAAGCGATGAAAGATGTTGGGCTAGCTCGCAGGCGACGAGGTAATTATGGCCGGGCCAATACCGGCCAGTCTGTCTCTTTTGACGATACCGATGGCCCAAAGCGGGCAATGGAGGCTGTCTCTGCAGATGCAAACAGCAACGCATCGACATCAACCTCGCCTTCCACAGGCATGGAGACACTGGACGAATCAAGTGGTGGTACCACAAGTGCCACAGATTACGAAGAGGTGACAAGCAACGATGTCGTGCTTCGACCCACATCCGGTGCCATAGCGAATCTGCCCTGCAGTATCCATGGCCCACTTAGTCTCATGACTGGATACGAACGAATGCGGTTCGACTATGGATTAGATCTGTCGATGCTCACTCTCCTTACCAACTTCAATGTCGGCAAGTCCGCGGTATGAATCACGAATATCGATACATTCACACGGGGTCGTGTGCTGATCACAACTCCAACTCAGATCACGGCCCTTGCATCGGACCCAGCGCGCCTACCGTCTCTGCTCGCTCTGGAACCACAATGTTCTTACCTTTCATTCGTGCCAAGCAGGTACGAGCATAGCGCAGTACTAGCTTCTGCCACCGATTGCGTGATTGCAAAAGTGCGCGCTGCTCTCAGGCCTGGTTTTGAGGGTGATACGATTGCCCGGCGTTTGTATGGCAAGGCTCTCCGGATACTGCAAGAAGCTATCAATGATCCATGTTTACGTACGGCAGGCGCTTGATGCTTGTATTAGCCCGACTGACTTGCCCTAGGTGGAGACGCGAATGTGCTCTGTGCCATACAAATGCTAAGTATACACGAGGTACGAGCCATTTTGCAATCGAGGAACCTGGTCACTTACAGTCAGCAGCTTCTCGATCCTTCTCGAGAGAACGCGTGGAGCAATCACATCTCTGGAAGTGGACAACTGGTTCAAAGTCGGACTCCTGCCCGTTTCTCATCAGAGTACGAAAAAAGCCTGTTTGTTGGTCACGTCGGTCCTGCCCTTTCTGAAGCTCTAGTCGGCAACCACAGCTGCTTTCTGGAGGCTCCGGAGTGGATGTCGCTCTACATTTCCACTGCACAGGAAACTGGAAATCTGTCTGAGCGGAGTGGACTGGTTTTGAATGCACGCAAACATATGTTCCCCCTGCCTCGTCTTTGGCGAGATGTGGGTGCAGCTCTGACGTCCGATGACCTCTTCAACGACGATGTGCTCCGAGCACTTGAGAAGAGGTGTCGAAGCATTCACGCGGACCTTCTCGCTTGGCTTGAGGAATACAAATGGTAAGTACAGAGGCTTAGCGGCGCAAATAAGCCGATCGAGACCCGCTAGGCCCGCAAGCTCACACATAACCGGCCCCGTTGCTTCTACATTTGCTGACCGTGGTGGCCTTTGCTTATAGTCACTGTGTCGCACGATCCTTAATTCGGCCCACACAGCGGGAAATAGATCTGCGCAGGGAGACATTTGGCGCCGTTCTTGAATGTCTGCTCATTGCGAAGCGTCTTATTACTTCGCTATCCGATAGTGATAGGCTGCAAGTGGAATGCGAGACACAAGCGATCGCGAGGCTCGTTATGGATTTACAAGATCAACCTATGCCAAAACATTCCTGGCTGTTCGCTGCGCACGAGGTAGGCGTCGCGCAAGTCTGCTTTGCAACGAAGGAGAATTTCGAACAGTATTCCCCGGATGAGCCTTGCGGAAATCAAAAACTTGCTATGCGAAATCGATACATAGCCTTCTCTGGAACATTACGGGGTACCTGAGCATAGAATGCCTTACAAGATAGGATTTATAATCGACTGATCGTGTCGATGCCGTACGATCCCCATCAGGCGCGCTGCATGAAGACATGTAGCATCCTCGACACACCTTTCAAGAACTACATCTAAGCATTGTCTGCTGCGACTCTCCCTGCTCTCCAAAGAGCCATTATTGGAATGGATATGCTCCAGACATACGCGCCAGTGCGGGCCTGTTCTGCGATTAGACCGGGTTGCAGCCCACCAAAATGGAGATTCTTGACTTACCGGCGCCAGCATATCACTCTTCACACCAAGATACAAGGCCATATACAAAGCTCGGGAGGTAAAGAAACTCCACGCTACGCTGTTTAGATCCTCCGCTGGTAACTTGGCCACATTTCCTGCGACCATTGCCGCTGCGAACAAAGGAAAGACTTCCATGCTATTGAGGTGCGTCCCGCGCGCTCGAGCAAGGTGATTCCATAGCGCGTGTGGGAGCTTTCCTTTCCAAGTCTCGAGATTGGTGCGAGGCATTGCGTTCGATTGTGCGTTCTTGGTTGCTATCATCAGCCGCGTAAGATAATAGCCGTGCGGGACAAGTCCGAGAACGAATGCGCTTGGGATGGCGGCATATGAGTAGTTGTATGGTGTTGTGGGCGAGGACATGCTGATGGAGACTCGTCCGGTCGAAAGAGAATATTGAAACTGCCGTGATTCTTGCGGCTGGAATGTGTGGTGTATGGAGGGAAGGCCATTGTCGTTGGCCTGGCGTGATATATATGTGCTCAATTCTCGTCTACGCGTACCAGCACCTTCAATTGCCACGCTCTAACCTGAACGGGATTCAGGATTGATTGCTCCATCGAGCCTCTTATGCCTCAATTGAGCGACAGGTCTAGACAATTGCAGGGCTATACTGTATCGGGAGCTCGCCAAGAATCCTTCCTCGACTTCGAACTTTCATCAGCCCCAACAAGGATCAGCATGGCTGCGGTTGACAGACCTCACGTTCCACATCTTGCATCGTTCCGAGTCATACTTACGGCAGGTGGTCTCTGTTCTATCTCTCGGTCTCATTTCAGAATGGGCAAGCAGTGCCTTACGCTCGCAGGAATGGTGCCGAAAGTATAGCATCACACCGGCCGACGATCCGCGATGGACGAGATACCTTCGCACAGGGCATGCGCCTCCTGCAGGACGCAGAAAGTCCGTTGCATCCCAGACGAGAGCAATCCAGATCTCTGCCAGAGATGTATGCGATCGGGCAGACCCTGCGTCTTCACGCCTCTGCAAAGGCGCAAACAGCGCAAGAGGACGGATACAAGAGTCGCAGAGTTGGAGAAGGAGATGAGGGCAATGAGATCGATGCTCAAGCAGAAGGAAGATGGCACAAGCTCGAGTAGTAGCGAGACGACCACAAGTACACAACCCGCTGGACTGTGGTTCGAAGACAGGAACCTGGAGGGCTCAAGGCCGGGTGGAGCAGGTCAACGAGGCAGCAATGAGGATGACAGTGCGAACGCTGCAACTACCAGCGTGGTCAGCGATCAAAATGATGTGGCCAACCCTGATCGCTTGGCGAACAGCGGACCATATCTCTGGCCCTACAGACTCCCTGATGGCCCAAAGCAGGACATGAAAGACGTCGTTGACAGTGGAATGCTCTCAATGGCTACTGCAAGACAGCTCTTCGAGACCTACAAGAACGAACTTTATCCCCATTATCCGGTAGTCTATGTTGCGCCTTCTGTGACTGCAGATGATCTCCGGTACACAAAACCTGCTCTTTTCCTTTCCATTATTGCTGCAGGATCAGGCAAGGAAAACGAAGACCTCTCGGCCGCGCTTGATAAGGAAGTCTTGCAAGCATATGCTACTCGCAGTCTCGTTCAATCGCAAAAGAGCTTGGAGCTTGTGCAGGCACTCTTAATCAGCGCTGTCTGGTAGTAAGTAGTGAACCGTTCACTCTGTCAGCTGTACTGACTCCTCTGAAAGCCATCCTCCCAGCAAATTTGGGCAACTAGTATGTGCCATGTTCGCGCTCCGACTCCACAGCCCCGGCTAATCCAATTCGTAGAAATACTATGAGTACATTCATATGGCTGCAACGATGGCAATGGACATCGGTATTGGTTCAAGACGGGCTTCGCATCGTGGTCGTCATGCCAGACGAGATGACAGGCGTCTACTCCCTTTGACTAGAGCTGGTTCGCATCCCTTGGACAAGCCCTCGGTGCATCCTGCCGAAGACGTCTATAATCCGGATCTCAGTATGGCGCCGAGGCAGCAAGACAGCAGTCCAGACACTGGCAGCATAGAGGCTCGAAGAACATTTCTGGCTTGCTATGTCATATGCGCCGGAGTGTCGCTGAGTTTGAGAAGGCCAAACATGCTAAGAGTCAGCAGCTACATCCGCGAGTGCGTGGATGTTCTGGAACAATCGCCAGTTGCGCCGCCACATGACAGCAATCTGGTTGCCTGGGCGCGTTTGGTCATGATTGCAGAAGAGATTAGCACGTCGTTCTGCTATGATGACCCGGACGGGGTTGCCTCCAGTAAGTGTACCAGCGGACGCAAAACAATACCATTCTACCCGTGCGCAAACGGAGATGTCACAGGAGATTCTGCCGTGTTATTTGCAGCGATTTTGTTCCGGTTCGCATATCTATAAGCATTTGCTAATGGCCGTGCTTCCTTTCTCAGTTACAGAAATTCGAACGCGCATGATGATCAAGGACTTCGAAGCACGACTAGACAAATGGTACAAGAGCATTCCAGAACACAACTCTGGCACGGGATCTTTGTTGATCATGTACTACACCGTCCGCCTGTACTGCTTCGAGATAGCATTGCACGTTGATCACTCTCCTGAAGACTTCCGAGCGCCGTACCAGATGGGAGGCATACAACCCATCGAAGAGGCCGATGAGATCCCGACGCAGGTTCTCGCCGAGAGTGTCGCTCAATGCATCACAAGCGCGCACGGATTGCTGGATACATTTCTATCGATGGATGTAGAAAGCTTGCGAGCTCTGCCGGTCTTCTCATTTGTCAGGATATCTTTCGCAGCGTTCGTCCTTGCGAAGCTTTCACTGTCAGCAGTACATCCACGCAGCCGGATTGGAAGAGTCATCGATCGGAACAGCCTCAGAGTGGAGGCCTTCATGGATCGCGCGATACTCCATGTCCGAAATGTTCTAGGCTCCAGGAAGAGCCGCGTGCCGAGCGTTTTTCTTGCTCTGCTATTCAAGCTCAGGCAATGGTGCCTCAATCCTACATTACTGATCAACGAGCCCGATCTTCGAGATCACGAACACATGCGAACAATTTCAAGCTCTTCGGAGAAATATGCACAGGAATTCGACAGTACTCGTGCGAAGGGTCGCACACTTATTACCCGTGTAGATGGACCACGCGTAACCGAGCATTTCAGCAGTAGCGAGAACTCGCCTCAGACTACCGCAGATGCGGTTGCTTCTAAACACAACAGCAACCTCAACAACGTCGCCCCGGGATCTAGTAGCAGTCCTCACAGCGCAATCGGGACATCGCCAGGCATGCAGGACAATGGCTCGCTACAATTCCAGACCAACAGCAATGGAGTCCACCCGGACCTGAATCTTTCACATAATGCCGCAGATGTGGCATCTAATGAGGACATATCCGACATGACAATGATGTCGACGAATCCGCTTGGTCCTATAGGCTTGGACCAAATGAACGAGGATATGCTTCAATCCCTTGGAGACATGGGCTTTCCAGAGGGTGGTCTCACTGGTCTTGGCGATTGGGCAAGTATGCCACTAGATCTATCCGCGTGGTCACAATTGGACATGATGGACTGGCAAGTTCCTCCAGCGGACGGCAACGGGATGTAATCACGGTCAGCCCACTGGAACGGCGAAATCCGAACATGGATATATCTCGCTTTACTACGTGTCTCCAAGCTTTAGAAGATTAGCCCTCTATGAGTACCGCATGGTACAATGGAGAGCCACGTGGTTGCTACGGAAATTGCTCGCATGCCTCATTGTTCACGAGTGAGCGGCATGCATTGCTTGAACACAACATCACGCACTGATGGCAATAGAGCCAGCACATCGCCTTCTTTACCATTCATCGCCGAGCCTTACCCTTACCCTTCGAGAGCTTCTTTTCCTGATGCTCTAGCCCAATGCCGTCCAAGACTTCAAGCTCCGTCACTGCGAAATCGAAAGGGTCGATTTCTGGTTCCTCGCCTAAGACCAACTGGGCCAGAAGTCGAGCTACACCTGGTGCAATAGTCGTACCAAAAGCACCGAAACCGTAAGCGAGCCAGACGCCTCGAGATTCATCACCCGTAGAAGCTCTGCTGGCCTTGCCAGTGCTGCCCACCAGCCAGCCAGGCACTTTGCCGATCACTGGACTTGACTCGTTTCCTGTGCTCACGATAGATACACCTTGCGAGGTATGTCTTCTGTCGGCGAGATGGATGCCAGGAAGGGAGAGCGTCTCTGCTGCGATGAACCGGAGAGGTGTTGAATTTCCAACACGTTCTCTGGTTGCATCGTCGTGGTCGAGAATATAATCCGGAATGGCGCTGTAGAGCCTTGATATCTCGATCATGCCTTGTCGAGCAGCGACCTGAGCTGGTCCCTGAAATCTCGCACCTTCTGGCAATTGCATGATCACTGCGGCTTTGTCGAACTTTGGGAGGCCAGCTCCTTTGATCTGAACCCATTGATAAAGCCGTGGGTTGTTCTCCAAAGCGAGCTGACGGTGAGGGGAAAGCGTAGCGAGGAGACTTGGGGTGAACGGGCCGGCTGCCAGCACCAGTCTCGAGCATTCGATGAGCTCGAAACGGCTCTTCGCAGTCATGCTGGATGTCACACGAAGTCCGGTGATGCCACCTGCCTTGTCTTGCTCCACGCCTACTGGCTGCGTGCTGAACAAGAATTTGACCTCGAAATGCGTGCAATGCGCGTAAAGCCAGGCGGCTAATTTCGAAGGATCAATTTGGCCCATGACCTGCTCATTTGGAGAGCACGAGAATCTGGCGTCCGAGCGGATCCACGAGACGGGCGGTTTGCCATCTTCGCTCTCGTCCATGGCCATGACAAAGTTCTTTTCGTTGAAGCCTGAGCTTTTGCAAAAGTTCTCGTCACCGAGAAGCTCTCCCCACAGGGGCAAAGATACTCCCAGTAGGGGCTGCCACCGCTCATCCGGGATCGTTGTGCTGATCAGGCCCGTACAGTGGCCTGAAGCCAACTTACAGGGTCCGCTGTTGATGTCGATTACAGTAATGTCGTGGATAGTGTTTGAAGTGTATGCTCTCTCAGCAAGCTCTAGCGCGATGAACATGCCCATCACTCCAGCTCCAACGATGATGGTGCTCGGTGCTGCGACAGAACGTTCTGCCGGTGGCTGCTTCTGTAATGAGATCTTGATCTTCTTCGTCGGTGGTGGTGGTGGTGGTGGTGGTGGTGGAAAGACGGATTCCTGGTCTGGTTCGGCATAGTTGGGCTTCTTTCTGTTTCGAACAGGCCGGTCTCTAACTGCCTGGGACAGCGATTCTTGCGCTTGCGCTTGCGAATTGTCCTGGAAGTCCTCCTCGGGTGGTGATCCAGATGTAGTGCTCTCTTCTTTCGCTGCCGTTCCGCGTTTACGCTTCTTCAATTTCTGAGACGCGTCTGGTAACGGCGGAGGAGGGATTTGTGCTTCCATGGCGGGATTGATCTTTCCAACGAACCCGCACCAGCAGCCTTGTTGCTATATAGATATCCCCTTGTTAGCCGAATGTGTACACCATTATAGCCGCAGCCTGTTCACCGTGAACGAGTGTGTACGTACGAGATGATCGTCGGCAACGGCTCGATGTGAAGGACTGCTTGAGCCTTCCCACTCTGTACACTCCGAGCATATGCGCTTCATGCAGTGCTGGCATTGCCAGCTGTAGTTACGGACTCTGGGACAGCCAGCATTCAGCAGCGCACAGGGTCTTGGCAAGATAGATATACTTACCGATCCCCGCAGACGGAACATTTGCATGTCTTGATTTTCGAGTCTTTCTGCCAGTCAAGGTTGACTGCATACCGCTTCGCAGTGTCAGCGGCCTTGTTGGAGTTTCTGGTGGCGTGCGGCATGGTGTCCAGGGATCGGACTGCGAAGACTGCAGTATCGACGGCGTCGGCACGAGTGTTGTCAGGGCACGCTCAAGTCCTCATATTGTATCGCAACCAGGCGGACTCGTGAATGCAGCAAACGCTTTTCGATCACATGGAACGGCGCGCGATCAGAGACTTCATCCAACACCAAGTTTTCTTGCATTCAATGGTCCTACTGTAAGACATGCGAGCGCCTGAGCATTGGCCTGCTGACTTTGCCGTGCACGCACTGCTACGGCATGGCCACAATGTCCCGTGCATCTGGTCTCTACTACTCTCTGCGTGCATGTGCTTTCTACTTGAACTATGCTGTATGCTCGATCTACCGGCAGGGACTACGTATAGATGATGGTGGAATCAAGCCTGACGATGATGGCCTGCCCATGCTCAAGGCCAAGAATATTCTAGCATGGGCAAACGAGCGGAAGCGGCTTCAGTGCTGACACTCTGTATGGACTTCAAGAGGCCAAGTCATGCAAGGGATCTCGTTAGGGGCCAGTCCACTTGCAGCCCATATCACGAGCAGGAGTCTGTCGCCCTCCAGGCCATCATCGATTGGGTGTAAGCATTGTTCTTGTATCTTGCCGAGCAGACCTGCACTCACATCTCAGATGGATGAATAAGAGCGTGTGAACGAAAGGATATACTGCCGTCTATTCCGTACACGAAACGTACTCTCTGCAAGCCGTAGCATAGCCCGGTCGCCGTGTGACTGGAGCAACCTATTTGGCCGAAATGAGAAATGAGCATGTTGTTGCCGATGAGTGAGTGAGTTCAATCGGCGAGGAATTCGCCCGTCCGACCGCCAGCTGCCGAGGCCGTTGGAGATGGAACTCTCCGCCCGACAACATCATCATGATTCTTGTACGGTACGAGATACGAGAACGAGCGTGCGTGCAGAAGGCCTGGCCTGGCGTTCCAGGCAGCCCTATTCCACCAGATGCAGTTGAGTTTCGCTTTGATTTCTGTCTGCAAATTCCAAGCTTCTTCCTGCCTCCAACACTTCCTATCTTTCCGTCATTGCCACAATGGCGCCCGTCAAGCAGCAGCTGTCGGTCGCAATCATCTCAACCATCCTGCTGCAAAGACTCGCCGCCTTTCCACTCAGCTATCCTGCCTCCATAGCGGCGCTCTTCTTCGCACAATGGGCTGCCTACACGCTATGCATGATCCTCGTGTATCCCCGATACTTCAGCAAGATCCGCCATCTCCCAGAAGCCCCGAACCCGCATTTTCTGCTGGGCCAGACAAGGCGCATCATGAAGGAGCCTTCGGGAATACCGATGCGAGACTGGGCACAAGATGTTCCCAATCATGGACTGATAAAATACAGCGTCTGGTTTCAGGAAAGAGTTTTGATCACCACCCCTGCTGCTCTTAGCGAAGTCCTCGTGACCAAGAATTAGTAAGTGAATGTGTTGAAGGGAGCAAGGCATAACTCGGCGCATCGATATCGACTTGGAACAGAAAGGCCTACTCGCGGCGTTGACCCTTGGCTTATTACGAGATCTACTTTCAAGAGACATGCTGACCCTCATTCCCTTCGCTTCTAGTGACTTTGTTAAGCCTTGGCACTTTAGACACGGTCTGGCACGCATTCTTGGAATTGGCATTCTCCTTGCAGAAGGCGAAGAACACAAGATCCAGAGGAAGAATCTGAGCCCTGCATTCAGCTTTAGACATGTCAAGAACATTTATCCAGTCTTCTGGAAAAAGAGTCAAGAGATGGCCAAGTCTCTATCTACTGCCTCTAAGGAATCAACGACAACAGCGGAGCACATTTCTGATACCGACAACATGGACGCCGAGAAAGCAGCGCAGCTACACGAACGTGGTGTCATAGATGTAGGCAATTGGGCGAGCCGTGCCACTCTAGACATTATCGGCCTCAGTGAGTGATGCCAACAATCTTACCGACCCTCCACATACTATCTGAGGTGTTTACTGACCAGACCGAATCGTTGGACATAGGTGGCATGGGGCGCGATTTCGATTCCCTTCACGATCCAGGGAACAAGCTGAACCAAACCTACAAATCCATCTTCAACCCAGGTCGCGCAGGTCGTCTTCTGCAAGTCCTTGGAATTTTCATCCCGTTTTGGATCATGCGGAGGCTGCCAATCAAACGCAACCAGGAACTGGACGCTGCAACATCATACATCAAGCAGACATGCCGCGACCTGATTGCAAAGAAACGAGAAGCCATGTCTGAGAAAGGCGCCGTGGGCGAAGTTGATATCTTGTCCGTAGCGCTAGAGTCAGGTGGATTCTCGGACGAAGATCTGGTGAATCAAATGATGACATTCCTCGTCGCTGGCCATGAAACCACAGCCACGGCAATGATCTGGGCCATCTACCTCTTATGCAAGGACAAGAAGATCCAAGACAAGCTTCGCGAAGATATCAGAAAGCAGATTCCCAATCTGGAAAGCGAAATCCAGGCAAGTGACATTGACGACTGTCACTACCTGCAAGCTGTTTGCTCCGAGGTCTTGAGACTGTGGGCGCCTGTGTCTTTGACGATGCGTGTCGCAGATAAGGACACCACCATCCAGGGCGAATTCATTCCCAAAGGCACAACAGTCATCCTTTGTCCCTGGGCCATCAATACCTCGAAGCATTTATGGGGCGAGGATGCTCTAGAATTCAAGCCAGAACGATGGTTGAACGCGGATGGCAAAGCGAACCAGAAAGGTGGAGCAGATTCAAACTATGCTTTTCTAAGTGAGTCCAGAGATACCTTCTCCTTCACCTTTCAACTTCCCACCAATCCGCTGACGCTGCTCAAGCTTTCCTGCATGGTCCTCGTTCATGTATCGGACAAAGATTTGCTGTGGCGGAATTCGCGTGCCTGCTTGCCGCGTGGGTTGGGAAATATGATACTTCATTCGAAGAGGGAAGTCCTTTGGCGAAGGGAGAGCTTGAAATCAAGGGAGGAATAACAGCAAAGCCAAAAGGAGGTTTATGGTGCACTTTGAAGGAGGTTCCTGGGTGGTGATGTGCCCTCCCTTGCACGTTGCAATTCAGCGTTTCATCAGATCGTACTGTACGTACATATATACACGTTCTTTTTCGAGAACCGAATGCTAGCGACCGCCGCCGCCCGAGTAGTAAATTTCAACCTTATATAGGCATAATTTACTTCTCCTATTTAATAATAAAATAGCAGTCGTAGGGCTCGGAGGCTCTCCTATAAGGTATAGATAATAGTACCGAAACTTTAAAAGAGGGTATTAAGTATAGAACAAGCAAAGGTATGTATTTAATATTACTAGCCCGAGTCGCCTTCTCTAGCGTTTCTTATTCCCTATATCTAATATTACTATATCGGCTACCTAAAACGCCTACTACGACAGCTAACGTCTAGCTACAGTACTATCCAGAACGATTACTCTACTCCTCTACCTCGTCGGGCTTATACTCGGATATAGTATAGTTTACGAATACTATAAGGGTACCGGTAGGGTAAGGACCTCGTCTTCGAAGTTCGAATAGAGCTATATACTATATCTCGCTCCGCGAACCCCCTACTAATTAACCTGTTCTTCCTAGTATAAGTGAGCATTTATAGGGTACTATTATACTTGGAATAACGGAGTACTGCTTTATTGCCGAGAACCGAGCGGGGACGGTAGAGACGAACTACGTTGCCCAAACACACGTCAATTATCGGGATAATTCGCTAGGCGGTGGACAGAAATCGGTCATCCTATGCGTTGCGCCGAAGGGGTAATTGCTGGTGTTCGGTTTTAGAGAGGGTCTGATGTTGCAGCATTATTCGCACTGTACACAGTTCCGCCTCAACGATGAACTACTGTATAATGAACTTTAGACACATCATCTTTACTACTAAGCGCGACTCGTCGTTCAAGGTTGCGCTTCAACGGGGTAGAAGTATCGGGGAATATAACGTCTCCGGACGTTTTATGGTTGGCGCAGAGGCGCTCAATGTCGGCGCTGAAGATGTTTCGCTAACTGTGCCCTGTGAAAGTGCATACATAGCAGCGGGCTACGCATTTGTGTGTTCAGCACTCAAAGCACCTGACGTTGATGCGAGTACTCCTCGTTGCCAGGTATCTTGCATTACTTGTTGTAGCTTTCCGGTGCCGCCTTAAACTTCTCGTTCTGAATGACCTGGAGATTTGTTTCAGCATTCACTGCAATACAAGAGATACTAGTCGAATGGCAATAGAGATCACTTACCTCTATCCAGTATCCGTCCGGGTCGAGTATGAATGCAACGTTCCTCATGCGACCATCTGTGAGTCTCTTCTTCCATGCCACACCTTGCTGTTCAAATCGCTTGCAGGCCTCGTCCAGATCATCGACAGACACGCAGATGTGTCCAAAACCTTGCGGGTCGCTGTTGCCGTCATGGTACACCTTGCCCTCTTGCTTCTCAGTGCCATAATTCCAAGTCAGCTCGAGGATTCCTTCGCGGTCTGCCACCGGATTCACACCATTTACAGATATGTCGTCATTTGGTGCATCTCCATAGCCGAGGAAGTACAGATTGAACTTAGCGTCTTTGTTCTCGGAACTTCGAAGGAACGTCATTCCCATCGTCTCCTGGTAGAACTTGAGTGAAGCATCCTTATCCTTGACGCGAATCATCGTGTGGTTCATGCGGTATGTTGCAGTATCCGTGGTGGTCATGTTCTCGGATTTCTCGACATCATTTTGCGCAATGAGCTCAACCCAGTAGTCATCTGGATCGAGAGCGAAGGCGATGTGGTGCATGCGACCGTCTTTCAGTCTCTTCTGAAACTTGTATCCTGCGTCTTCCAATCTCTTGCACGCCGCTTGGATGTTGTCTACACTGACACAAACATGTCCAAATCCCTTGCCGTGATCCTTGTTGCCGTTGCAAGGCTTGTAGTTGGGGTCATTTTCGGTTCCGTAGTTATGGGTCATCTCAATAAGGCCCTCACGATCAGTCCAGCTAAGAGGTAAGAACACAAGGTCAGCCATTGTCTCAGAAGTACCGCTTAGCCCGATTCCATCAAACGTACTGGTTATTGTGCGACACAGACTTCGGGGAGTCATATGCCATGAAGTAAAGATCGAACTTGTTGTCTGGAAACTCAAACTTGTTCACCTGCTTCATGCCCAAGTGCTCATAAAATTTGACGCTGGCCTTGGGGTCTTTCACCCGCAGCATCGTATGGTTGAACTTGTACTTGCTCGTGTCGGTCATCGTGGCGTATGTTCGTGGTAGGGCTGGTTTTAGCTGGCTGCTGAGGAGTTGTGATCTTCGAGCAGCAGAAAGCATTGAATGAAGTTCAGTGTAGTGCATGGACGAGCACAGCTTCACTTCAAATAAATTTGGCCATGACATCAATGGACTGCACCCCGCATTGATTCGCCCGTCCCTCAGCCCGAGCATCAGTAACGCCGAGCCGAGCCTGGATCTTTGGCATCACTGTTGAAGACTCGAAGAAACGTGAAACGGACGAATTAATGTGTACCATGTAAGCGTGGGCCAATTGCTGGCTGACATCAACTTGATTGAAGCCATGCTCCCGCCATCTTTATCTGTATGATAGAGGTAGGATTACAAGACCACGTGGGCCGCACTCGCGTTAACGACCCTGGTCGTCGTCAATTCATCATTCCTTTCTGCACGGTTGTTACCATAATCCAACCGGCGTCTGTGTGAACATGTTCTTATTCCAACGCCCAAACGCCGTCGCCTGAAGATCAACAAGTATCGTAAACGTACACGCCTTCTGAAAATGCCTCGTGGACACTGGTACGCTCCTAGTGATTTGAGTTACTGGAGCTAGCCAGCGGTGCTACGCCGGCACTTTCGCCTGGCTGCCGTTCTTTGCCCTTCCCGCTCGTCGAGCTAGCAACCCCGTCCTCATCATAGAGGCCGTGAGCTTCAATGTAGTCCACAACTGGCTCCGGCACCAAGTAGCGGATTGACATGTCGCGTCTCCGGAACAGTCGAATTTTGGTCGAGCTGATATCGTTTTGCACAAGCTGTTGGATGACCCAGATGTTGTCCTTCCAGCTCTGGAGCGTGGACAATGCTTCATCGATATCTGTCCCGCTTCGCTGTGCCTGCTGTCAGTATTCAAATGCCGGTCGACGATCATCCGCGCGACTCACCTCGACGATGAATGCACCGAAGTTGCGCAGGATGTAGTCAATGTCCTTGTCAGCCCATACACCAGGTGTGCTCATTGTCTGAATCAAGTCGGCGCCAGCAAGAAGTGCAATGCGACATTTCTTCTTTCCGACCGGGGTCTCCACGCCTCCGAGCACTTGGTTTATTTCATGATCGAAATGATCCAAGACCTTGGCCGTCTCCAAATACTCGCTGTGTAATGCCTCCCAGGGATCGACGCTGATCCAGCTGCTTTGCTGTACGGCAAGGGTACACATGTTGATACGGTGTTCCGCCTTGACAAGACCAGTCTTTTTGTAGGCGTCTCCTACACAGGACAGATAGGCGCCGACGACTTCGAATTGGGTGTTGAATCGAGCATAGTCGGCAGCCATCTCGAACATGCGCATGTGGAGGAAGGTGATGGGAGAGAAGGAGCCACAAGCGATGAGCACAAGTGGGGTCCGCTCAGGGTCTTGTATCCGCCGTCGCAAGCGGCTATGAGGAAACTCGTAGTTCTCAAGCGTCATGTTGCTTGCGTTGGCCATGAGGGGCGGCGGCGTCGGTGGAGTACAGTGGTCGTATTGCAGTAGGCCCCGAAGAGTCACAGAGCGAGAATGAGCGGCGCAAGAGGCTGGAAATGGTGGGGTGTTGAGTCGGCAATCCGATGTGCGATGGCGAGCGAGGGTGAGGGTGAGGGTGAGGGTGAGGGTGAGGGTGAGGCGCCGGCGGGCCAGAGAAATGGGCTGACGGAGGAATCGCAGCCTGACAGAGAGGACAGCCACGACTGAAGTCTAGAGGCTAGAGTGTAGGATGAATTACCAATCTCCAATAATCACCGACTGCGCGGGGTTACTTTTGGCCGATGTCGTTCAATCGAAGAGACAAGGACACGGCCGCCGAAGAGGCTGGAGTCGGGCACGTGCTCTCACTACCAAAAAAGGCTGGGCCTCTCAGCTGACTTCATCTCCCTTTCCGCAGCATGCGACGCGATGATATTTTGCACCACCCTGCGCATCATGCAGACATGGCCTTCTTCAGTGCTGCCTTCGCTTGACATCCAGGTGACACGGCGTAGAAAGGACAATTCCGCAAGTAGGTAGAGAAGCACTGAATCCCATTCTGCCATCGCAATCTCCTTCCTCGTCGAAATTCATCTGCATCTTGGCAGTACTCGCGCTCGACTCTGAAGGCAAGTCCGCTCCTTCCTAAATGCAGACTTCCGCCTTTCCCAATTCTGCCAGCAACAGAACCTTCCCCTTCGTCAACCATTCACCCTGCAACGCTAGCTCGCTACACAGCTCCAAGGAGATCGATGGTTGCCTGCTTCGTTCATTACCAAACACCATTCCTTCGCCAAGACCGCCGTCATGTTCATCACCGTCCTTATCGTATATTGTGCCATCCTGACTTCAGCAACCCAATACGCTATACAATCCAGCTTCTCCGGCCCTACTTTCCTTGACCAATTCGACTTCTGGTCCAGCTGGGACCCAACGTAAGTGCTCCTAGACTGCCCGATGGATCTGCATTGATAGAAACATAGTTATGGCTTTGTCCATTACGTTGACCGCGCAACCGCCGAGTCCCTGGCCATGGTCAACAGCACCGGCAATCTGGTCAGATTCGGCGCCGAATCTACACAAGTCCTTGATCCATTCGCCAACCTAGGCCGAAAGAGCATCAGGCTTACCTCGAAGCAGACGTGGACTCGCGGTCTCTTTATCCTCGACCTGGCTCACATGCCGAGCAGCACCTGTGGCATTTGGCCTGCGTTCTGGATGCTCGGCAACGGGCCTTTGCTCTGGCCTGTTTACGGGGAGCTGGACGTTATTGAATTCACCAATGATGCCACGTCAAACCTCATCGCCCTTCATACCGCGCCGAATTGTACCATTGCTGGATCTGGTCAGACCGGCACTCTGCTCACGAATGATTGTGGAGAGGATGAGGGCTACAAAGGCTGCAACATCTCTCCAACGCAGCCGAACTCCGTAGGCACCGGCTTCAATTCCAACGGCGGTGGTGTATATGCCGTGGAATGGACATCTGTAGCCATTCGGGTTTGGTTCTTTCCGCGCAACAATATTCCAGCTTCTGGTGAGTATTATCAGCCGTCTAAGATGGCTACTCTACTAAGTATCACAGTAACAGCGATCAACCCGGACACGTCGACCTGGGTAAGTTCCGAGACTTGAGATGCCCGACCTGGCCCCGAGATATACTCATCCACCCTAGGGTCTTCCAGCTGCGAATTATGAAGGCAGTTGCAACATCGACAGCTATTTCACAAATGCCTCCCTCGTGTAAGAAAGTGTTGGCCGACAGTCTAGAAACTTTACTGACCTCCCGCGTCCTACCTTCTAGATTCAATATCGACTTCTGCGGGACAGTGAGTGTTCCATGCATTTCTCAATGCTATTTCATCAAATTGACAATGCCTAGTGGGCCGGACCAACGTTTAACACCAACACCGGCTGCCCGGTCCTTAATGGTATGCAATATCAGGCATCGTAGACGTGGTAGCTGCAAATTGACACTCTCCAGCTACAAACCAGTGGAGTAGCTGCAACGCATTCGTTGCCACAAGCCCGCAAGCCTTCATTGATGCTTATTGGGAGGTGAACTATCTGAAGGTATTTCAGGCCACGGCTGGACCTACCGCGCCTGTATCGAGCTCCCTTTCCTCCGCCACTCCTGCAGAGAGCTCCACCTCCGTTTCTGCGAGCGGCGCCCAGGGACGATCTACGACAACAACCACGACAAGCTCCACCATGCCTCTTGCAGTCTCGACCTCCTCGCCCACGCCGATCAGCAGCTCGACGATGTCGGCTTCAGAAACGACCTCCTCTCCCGCAACACTAGCGTCAGGAGCGATTGTGACAACTGAGGTCGTGTTTACCACGGATATCGTGACCGTCACACAGTCGGACAATTTCCACAGCGAGGTCGAAACTAAGTCCCGATGGTAGTACAGGCCAAGGACGAAGTCAAGACTATACACAGCTGGCTTACGGGTACAAGGAGGACATCACGGGCTCTCATGCCCATCAAACGATCCTGCTAGACGCAATACACTACCAGGTGTGTTTGTGGCATTCCGGCAGTCAGTGTACCTGGAAGCTCGTTCATTCTAGAGTTGCAGACCTTAGGGGGCAATATGGACATTCTGTACGCGACACTGTTAGCTAATGGAACTAGAGAAGGCGCAGGGCCAATCTTCACTGTCGATGTATTGTGCTGGCGTCGTGGCCGAGACTGCCGTAAGATGGGTTGCTCCAGCAAGGCTTGGACGCATGTCCACCGCTCGTACTCGTGTTCTCGCGGATAGCACAGTATCTGGTGTGTGAGGACAGCAGTATGGAGCCGCGTGGTTCAGGAGTACACGATGTGAATGTGATGCTGAACCGTGTTGTCGGGAATCCGTCTGCGCTCGAGGGAAAGTCTAGCGAGGAGCCAAGACCGGGGAAATCACGGCGCTACAGTAGTTCTAGTCTCGCGCAGTCGACAGATCTACTGTAACAATGCGTGCAACGTGACAAGCATCAGAGAGATTGTTATCGCTTGAAACAGCTGATTTTATTAGCATGTGCAACAATGCAGGAACCCGCCGATCACCTAGCATGTGGGCATGTGGCAGATATGATATATCTGCGCAGTTCCAGTGTGGAGTGTCCAGGACGGCACATCTGTACAGTCTGTCTAAGCGAAACCAACTGGCGCCATACCAACGCGATCTGGCATACAATACGTTTTGCCAGCTTAGACCGACTGTAGCATGGAGGCTTCACTCCTTACGAGCCTTGCTGTCCTTCCTATTCACCCAATTTTCTTGTCATTCTTTTCTTTCATACAGTCCCAAAGAGTATGAGGACCGCACTCTGCTCGCTCCTCGCTGGAGGAGCTGCCGCTGTGCCAGGCATACCGGCCTATGGATATGCTCCTGAGCAGTACTCTAACAGCTGGAGCACGACGAGCAGCGCCACAACATGCACATCCTCTTCTTCCGCCTCTGATCAAACAGAATCGGCCAGCTTGGGCACGTCTGAGACTGTCACTTCGCCATACACACTCTCTCCCTGGTCTCCAACCACCTTCGCTTCTTTCACCACACCAGCAGGACCACGCAGCTACCCAAGCAAGTCGGCATCTATTTCTTCCTTGCCTGCTCGGTCTGCCTCGACTGTGACCGCTCCTGGATACCCGGACGAATATGACGCTACTGTGACGCTCCTCACGACTGTGTACACAACATACTGTCCAACAACGGCAGCAACATATGTCGAGCACGGCACGACCAAGATCGTTTCCTACCTTACTCCACCAGCAGAAGCAACTCCAACATCGACACACTCTCATGGCGAAGGTGCCCCGGCTGGCTATGTTTCCTCTTCCTCCATCGTTACCTCTTTCATCTCCACATACACAAGCGTGTGGCCAATCACTAAAACCGAAGTGCACGAAGACACCACAGTTACCAAGACCTACGAGACAACTTCGACCGTTGAAACGCTTTGCACTTCCACTCTGAGCAGCTCTGCCACGACTGATGCAGCAAATCATAATGGTCCTGGAGGATACGGAACGACGCCAGGAGAGTGGACTACCGTTCCATGGGGTTCATCTTATCTCTCGTACATCATTCCTACACCGAATCCATCGACTAGCCAGGCGCAGTCATACCCAATTCCGACGTCCCACGGTGGTGTTCCCTCCTACCCAGCTGGTAATGCCACCGAGTCTTATCCTTATGGCACTGCCTCCCCGAGCTCAAGCATGTCCGCAAAGCCAACCTCAACCGAGGCTTGCGTTCCTTGCAAAGGTCAGCCTGGCAACGATCCGGACAACTGGTGTGGATATACGATCCACGATAATTACTACGAGGTCATGCCTATTACATGCCGAACCCGAGAGTACAACTTTGTCATCACCAACACCACCATTGCCCCAGATGGCGTCGAGCGACTTGCTTTGCTTGTCAACGGACAGATGCCTGGGCCAAAGATTGAGGCGAATTGGGGAGACACGGTCATCGTTCATGTTACAAATGCCATGCAGAACAATGGCACTTCAATCCATTTCCACGGCATACGCCAAAATTATACCAACGAAATGGACGGTGTTCCGTCGATCACTCAGTGTGCTCTGGCGCCAGGTGAGAGCATGACCTACACTTGGCGTGCGACCAATTACGGATCCTCATGGTATCACTCACATTTCGCCATCCAAACCTACGAGGGTGTCTTTGGCCCTATGGTAATTCATGGCCCGGCTGCACTCGACTACGATGACGAAGAAACCGTTCTCCTTCAGGATTGGTCTCATGTGACTGTCAATTCGATGTACCAAGCTGCTCAGACCGTGGGAAATGGCCCAAGTGATCCGAACCACGGCCCACGGACGCTCGACACCGGTCTGATCAATGGCTTGAACATCTGGGAGGGTACTGGCGGCGCCGCCAACGCGACCGGCGAACGCTTCCGCATGCATGTGCGATTCGGCAAGAAGTACCGTCTTCGTCTGGTGAATACTGCTATTCAATCAACATTCAAGTTCTACGTCGATGGACACACGTTCAAGGTCATCGCCTCCGACTTCGTTCCCATCCAGCCCTACGAGACCAACATCGTCAACATCAATATCGGACAGGTAATGTTGCGCGCGCGCGGATAGAGTCCACACTACCCTAACACTGACTGATCTAGCGATACGACCTCATCATGACCGCCGACCAAATTCCAGGTAACTACTGGATGAGAGCAGACAACCAAGACTCATGTGCCAAAATCACCCACAGCACCAACATCAAAGGCATAGTTTCCTACTTCGGCGCTGCCGCCAATGGACCCCTCGCCACCCCAACCAGCACAGGCTACACCTACACCAACGAATGCATCGACGAACCTCTCGCCAGCCTCGTCCCAATCGTGCCCCTCACCGTCGGCCCCAAGACCCAAGAAATCAACGAAACAGTAGCCATAGCCGGCAACGGCGCGACCCCAAATCTCTACAAATGGACCCTCTCAGGCACAACGTTCCAAAGCCAATGGGGCGACCCGACGCTTTCGGCAATCTTGCGAAACGGGAGTGTGCCAGAGTATTCTGGAAATTTGGCCATTACGGTCCCGAAGCTGAAGGAGTGGGTTTATGTGCTGATCGATTCTCCCGTTCCGCTGCCTCATCCGATACATCTTCACGGGCATGATGTTTTCGTGCTGGCTCAAGGGAAGGGGTTGTATGATAGCTCCGTGGTGCTCAATACCGTTAATCCTCCTCGTCGGGACGTCGTCATGATGCCGTGGGATCCTGTCAATAATGCTGGAGGTTACGTTGTGCTCGCCTATGAGTCGGATAACCCAGGAGCGTGGTTATTGCATTGCCATATTGGTTGGCATGTGGCGATGGGTTTCGCATTGCAGATTATTGAGGGTATCTCTGAAATTGGGGGTATGATTCAGAATAAGAAGCAGATGGATGATACTTGCTCTGGCTGGGCAACTTACGCTCAGGATAACAACATCCATACCCATGACTCTGGCGCGTAGAAGCGGGCGGGCCGCTGCTGCAAGTCGCACGATACTAATCAGAATAGACCGATGAGCGTATGCACTTATAATTTTGTTTTCTTCTCGGCTACGCATATACTTTAGTCCTTTCTGATCTAGTCTTGCCAGGATGTGTTGAAACAATGCATCGCTTTTGCCTCCTGTGCGCCAGTGCCTCCGAGCCTCCCCCATTTCACACCCACGATCAAAGCGTGACAACACCAACTTCGAACACGCCGCTCTCGCCCAGAAGATCCTGTTTCACAGCGTCGTCAATTGCCCTGTCCACGCCCAGGATCATGAGGGCTTCGTTCTCTGGAGTGTGTCCATCAGCTCCAGGCGCTTGTGGATCGCTTGTCGCCAAAGGACTCTGTTGTCCCATATCGATTGGTGCAACGGTCATGAATTTGATATTCACTCCAGACTTGCCCAGTCTTCCACCGACAGCACCGATCTTGCCGGGCTCGTCGTAGTTCCTGCAGATGAGCAGATTACCTTCGGGCACGAATGAGGTACTGAAGCGACCCAATCTGGAAATAAAAGGAGTGTTGTTCGATATAAAACCAGAGATGACTTGATCTTCTATTTTCTTGACCCGGCCTGTGTCGGTGCGTCTCATCGTGTCTGGGCGGGTGCCACGGCTGGCAGATGGAGAGCGTGGATCAGCACGGGCGCGTAGAGTGACAGAAGCGGTGAAACCTTCCTGATCAACCTTCTCTCTGGAACGAGATTCGTTGACCAAGATGCCGCGCTCTTTCGCAACAAGTTCGGCATTGACAATGTTGATGTTCGTGTTCTCGGTGTTGGTAATAGGTAGAAGCAGACCCTTGATCAAAGCGGCAAAGAGCGGTTTGGTGGTCTTGGTGGAAGCCAGCGAGCCCTCATATGTGAGGTCAAAGGTCGGACGCAGACGTTGAAGAGTGTTTGAAGGACCGAAGTGTTGGGTGTACAACGATCCAATCTTCTCCAGTAGGGCGACGAATGGTGCCAGCGTGCGATATTCCTCGGCCATGATAATGGGAGCGTTGACTGCGCTTCGCGGTAGCTGACCTTGCAGAATTGACAAGACTTGCTCGCAAACATCTATTGAAACATTTTCCTGTGCCTCTACCGTGGAAGCGCCCAGATGAGGTGTAGCAACTACTTTGGGATGGGCGATCAATTTGGAGGCGGCGTCGTCAGGTTTGGGTGGCTCAGAGGTGAAGACATCGATACCCGCGCCTGCAATGACGCCGGATTCCACAGCTTCCAAGAGAGCGGCCTCGTCAATGATACCTCCACGCGCGACGTTGAGAACGCGCGCCGTCTTCTTCATCTTGGAAAGCTCGTGCAATCCAATAAGTCCTTTCGTAGACGCTATCATTGGCGTGTGCAGGGTCAGGAAATCGGCTCGTTCCAGCAATTCTTCAAGCGAATCCACGAGATCGACGTTTGCAGAGGCAGCAGCAGTTATGTTGGCATAAGGATCATAAGCCACGAGATTCATGCCAAGGCCTCCAGCAGCTCGAGCGACGGTCAGACCAACTATGCCTCGTTAGCGATGCTTCGAGGGCATGAGGCACACACTGGGCAACCTTTTCCCAATCCGACAATGGCAAGGGTTTTGCCCTTCACTTCGACGCCGACGAGCTTACTCCGTTCCCATTTGCCAGACTTGATGCTCATGGAAGCCTCGGCAACGTTGCGGGCGGTAGCCATAAGCAATGCAATAGTGTGTTCAGCGGCGGCATTGATGTTGCCTTGAGGACTGGGTCGCGGCACGGGCGAAGTCAGAGTACGGCAAGACACACACGGGCAATGTGTAGGACTAACCTGTTGACAACGATGATGCCCAGCTTGGTGGCAGCCTCGAGATCAACATTGTCGACACCAACGCCAGCGCGAGCAACGACACGGAGCTTCTTTCCCGCTGAAAGCAAGGAGGAGGTGACTTTGGTCTCGGATCTCACTATGAGAGCTTCATATTCCGGGATGATATGGTGCAGTTGTTCTGGGCTAAGACCCTTTTTCTCGTGGACGTCCAGGGAAGCGCGCAGCAACGCAAGGCCGTCGGGAGACACCTTTTCTGGGATCAAAACCTTGGGCGTGGATGCGCCATTGGCAATGACTTGCTGGGACATGAGCGCAGAAAAGGGCAAGGGGCAGCAAGACAGTGTGGTGATATTGCTTGAAGGAGGACGGAGTGATGTTGTCGAATTTCTCAAACTGCTGCCGGAATCGGATGCAGGTGCGGTGCAGGTGCAGGTGCAGGTGCAGGTGCGTTGCAGGTGCGTTGCTGGCGGGGGTTTCGTGTTTGACTTTCGAGGTGCATTGCATTGCATGGCCAGCATGGAAAGAGCTCTCCACGCCCTCCCCACATTCTGCTGTGCCCACCACCACCATTGTCCTTTCCCTCCGTGTGCCATCAGAAGACCGTTGAGCCTGCGTCTTCTGGCATCTGAAAGCCTGTTTGCTCGAACTCCGCAAGGATTGCCTCGGCCAGGTGGTCCAGTTTCTGACGCTGAACCTTCACCACGCTGGCCGCCACCTTGTTCCCGCCATTCGTGTTGTCCCCGTCATTATTGGTGCTCGTGCTGCCATCATCCCACGAGCCTCTCAATCGCGTGCCATCTGCAGCCTCCGCCGTGGTTCTCTTGACGAAATCCGCGCGTCGAGGGGGTACACCGCCTTCCAGCACAAGCAAAAGCTGTCCCTGAACTCGGCGCATGATGATGTTGGACGTGTCTGACTCGATGGTCAGAGCATGCAAGGGGCTTTGCTCCATATCTTCTCGGATTTCTGCATGCAAGCCGTCTCCATCCTGGCGATGCTGATATTCCTGCCAGCTGATGGCAGCCATGGCAGCATGCTTGCGCAGATCGTTGATGTCCGTCGGCACAGAATAGGAAAGCAAAGTGCCGTTGGCTGTCATGAGATACCAGCGTCTGCAGAGTCGTTCATCGCGATTGTGCGACAGCAGCTCCGTCAGAGCTTTAGCGTTGAGCATGTCTCGATATCGTACGCTTGGCTTGTCGTGTTCGTGTGCCGGTCGTAAGAGGGCAAGATGGCCTAGAAATGGGAAGTGACGTGTACAGATATCTGATTGAACCACAGGTGCCGCCAAAGTCAACAAGGTACATGTACCTTGAGATGATGAGGCAATAGAACTACCTTGAGGCAAATCTGCGAGCGCTGCCACAAAGTGCCACAGCTGCAAGCCTGCAAGCAATGGCAAGAGCCTCCACAATCTCCCAAAGCCAGAGAGGAGAGGAATATTCTACCTTGGCTTCCAAAATAGAGCGCGTGCTCCGTGATCGCACCCTTCGTCACTTCCACACCCTCATCACCTCCGACTGTTGTCTTCGAGCTCATCTCAATATGGCATTGCCACGATGAAATGCACGACACGTGTCCTTGGCAGCGTTCGAGATCATAGCAATATCCATCAACATTCACTCTCACTGTCGTCCAGCCGCATTTAACGCGCAACATGGATGTGCTTCGACACTAGGCCCTTCCGTCATAAGTACTCCCTGCTACATCTTATCGCTGATGTTGAAAATTCTCGTCGCTTTCATATCCAACATTTCTTGTGTATCGGCACTTGAATCTTGATACAACTTCAGATCCCAGGCTGGTAGAGGGAGAGCTGCCAAATGGCAGCCGTGACGTTGGTTGGAGCAACGGGACTTGTTGTGGGTTGTACATGACACGAGTCTTTTTTGGCACGTACTGACTGAGAAGGGGTCGCACATACTGAGCACGCTCAAGAGATCATCTACCGTTGACAAGATTTGGACATTCACACGAAAGGAAATGCCAGTCGACCCGAAAGTCATTCCGATCACTGCAAAAGATGGCACAGAATGGACAAAGCAATACCCAGCAGGAAGTGAGATCTTTTTCTCGGCTTTGGGGACAACGCGAGCGGCGGCGGGCGGCTTTGAGAAGCAGAAGAAGATCGACTATGATCTGAACTTGCAGCTCGCGAAAGCAGCACGAGCAGCTGGCACCAAGATATACGTGCTGATCAGCTCGTCTGGCGCGTCGACCTCCTCAAGATTCGGCTATCCGCAAATGAAAGGCGAGCTGGAGGAAGCAGTCAAGGCGATAGATTTCGAGCACGTTGTGATCCTGCGTCCTGGATTAATTGTTGGAAGCCGGGACGAGAGCAGGGCGGCCGAGTTTGTGCTGAGGAAGATTGCCAGCGCGGCTGGATGCATCTCAAACAAGCTGAAGGACTTTTGGGCGCAGGACGCCGAAATTATTGCACGGGCTGCAGTGTCCGCTGGCCTCGCGTGTCTGAACGGACAAGAAAAAGACAAAGTGAAGATTGTTGACCAAAGCGAGATAGTGAAGCTAGGGAGGACAGATTGGAAGGCTTGAGCTGGCTGGCTGGCTCTCATGGGCACTGCACTGCACTGCTGCATTATTTTCGTTTACAAATCTCGCATGTCACGTCAGTAATAGCGTACGCATACAACAGAACTTTCAGTGAACAACGTTGTCATGTCTGCGTGGTGATGCAGACGCGGGCCTGGCTCCGAAGGGTTCGAGAAGGAGGGTTCAAGCTGGCTGCTGGTGAATCTTGAAAACCTGGAAGCTTCAAGGCAACCCACCACCCACCACCCACCACGCTTCTGCTGCAGCGCGGCAGGCTCTGATGTCTTCACACCTCGATTCTCATGCTGAGGGACAGCGGTAACATGGATTACAAGGACCTCACGCAGGCGCAGTGTGTGCTGCTGGCGGTGCATCTGGCCTCCGAATCCAACATCCGCGCCCTACACTCCTTTACCCCCAACCGCACCGATGCTCTCGACCCCGAACTCGTGCTGCGCATCTTGCTCACCTATCTTCCCGAGGCCGTAGACCCGCGCGAGTACGTCGACTACGTGGCCGAAGTTGCGTCGCGACTGTATCTGGACGTGGATCGCGAGGATGTACAAGTCAATACCAGTCCGGTGAAGGACATACCCGAAGACATTGCGCAGAAACGTGTCAGGAAGCTGCACCTCCAGCTCCTGAAGCCGCCCGCGTTCCCGCCATATGCGCCGCAAGATCTCGCCGTTCGCTTCGTGTGCCATCGTGCGTACAGAATCGATTCCGAGACTGGCCTCCTACACCTCATCCCTTCTCTGGTCGAGCCATTCCTCCATCGCCACGACTACCTCAGGACATGGTATATTGCCGTGTGTCTGCCGCTCTTGCGACTGCACATCGACTACTATCCCGAAGACGACGCTCTTGCCATGAGCTTGCGCGGTTTCGAGGACCTCACAGGACGTGAGGGTGTAGAGGTGCTTTTGAGAAAGGCGCTCCAACTACCGAAAGACTCCAACAGTCATGTATGCCGCGATGTCAAAGGCCTCGTTGGTCCATGGATGTACGGACATACTGATCGCAAACGACGGGCACTCGGGCATAACGAGGACGGTGAAGGCGAATCTGTGGAAAGTGCAACGAACGCTGTACGCAAAATTAGTCTTGCAGGCGTCAAACCTGAAGACAAGACTGGGCACGACTGGGAATACGTGTACTCCTGGATGGTGCTGCATGCCGCAGACCAGTTCGATCTCATCTCAGCTCTTGTGGACGGCTGGGATGGCCCTGGCGACGTTGACCTCGGAGGCTTTGATCGCGGTAGCAACCAAACTTATCTGCCCGAAGAAATCCAAACGAAACTCGAGCTGCAGTACGCACAAGCGGCTTTTGCAGGCTGTTATGCGGCCAAGGCTGATACACCTGAGACGGTAGAGCAGGCTCATGCGGTGCTTGCTCGACTGGCCGAGCTCCTAGACTTCATGCCGCCTCCCGACCTCGCCACCACCGTGGAATCTCTCCCCAAGATAGAGCGGCATACCACTCTGCTAGATCAATCTCAGTCTGTAGCAGATCTCTTGCCCGAAGCACTTCTTCGTCCGGAGCACCCCTTGACAACGCCGAAATTGGCGACTTACATGCTGCTACAGATGATGGTCTACAGTGCCTATCAATTTGCAGGACTCGGCTACCCTTTCTCGTTGGTCAACGTGGCCAAACTTCATTTCTATGCCACTTCTGAGGAGCAGCTTGACGTTTTGCAAAAGATTTTGCGTGGCCTGGTCAAAGCCGGTGAGCGCAGAGACGATACCCAATGGCTAGCAGACCGGGCAAAACTTCTCTGGCTCTGGAACTGGGGCATTGAACATGACCCTGATCATCCTGATGAAGGACCAGGAACGTTGGGTAAAATTCGTAAGGAAGAGTTCGAGCAAGAGATGCTCAAAGTGTTTACCAGAAACGGCAGTAAGTCGATGATCTATTTTCCATTCTCAGCGATGTCTACCGCGTTTGCAGACAATAATCTGCTTTTCTCGAATTTCGAATGCATACATTCATGCACTTACCGTTTGGCCAGTAGAAGAAGTAGACCCCGTAAAGAATTCTGCTCCGCTTGCTGGCACAGAAGAGAAGGACCTCAGCTTCCCATTCATCATGACTGAAGAAGACCAGGACCGCGTTCGGAAAGAAAGCGTCGCTGACAGTACTTGACGAGCAGGCTATCAATTGGCAGCACGCCTGTATCTTACAAGTGACACGAAAGAATCCCTATCAGCGACAAAAGTTGAGAATGCTGTGCTAGCGATCGCGATGGAGGCGTACGATGGAGCTACAAACGGCAATAAAACCAGAGGTGGTATGAAGAAAGCCAATGATATGTGAGTCTATTCCCAGCTATAGCGCTGCAACAGGCTAATTGAGCTTAGACTTCTGGCGTTTGATCCATACTTCAAGCAAAGCGTGCGCTTTCAGCAAGCGAGGGCGCTTGTTGCTGCCACTCATGCTCTATCATATTACTCGCTAACTCTACAGCACGGCGTCCCATTCCAGCCAGTAAGCATTCGCGTCAGCAAGGATCCGCTCTCCCTCATCAGCAAAGTTCTTGAGCAGAATCCCAGAAGCTTCGATAAACTGGAAGATCTCATAGGTATCGCCCGCAATCTGGTATCGGCTGGTCTTTCCGAGAGCGAAGGAGTATCTAACGAGCCTGATACAAACCAGCTTGTGCTTGATCAGAAGAACGCGGAGCGACGCGTCACTTTCATGGCAATCCAGCAAGCTTTGGAAGAAGACGATTTCGAAACGGCGTACTCGTACATTGTCAACAGACTCACTCCGTCAGGTGAAGTGCTTGAAAAGCCGAACAACAGGAAAGAACACAAGAGGGACAAGTCAACCCGCAGCCAGAATACAATCGACTACGATGACATTTCGTGGCGCGCTGCGTTCCTAGCCGGACGCTATCGTCCACAGACCAGCACGCCGCCTACACTTCGACGTCTCGAACAGCGCACGGAATTGCTCTCATTGGCTTTGCTCCTAGCGCCGACGTCTGCTTTGACAGAAATTCTCGCCGCATGGCGTCGCTGCGAGGAGGAAACCACGTCGTTGCAGGCCGCACAGCAGCAAGAAGAAGCCGAATTCGACGATCGAGCCGACAAGCGTCTCAGTGGAGGAACGAGCACATTGCCTGGGAACTTCATTGTCAGCGGCGAACAACCAGAGCTGATCCTGAATCAAAAGCGCCGTGAAATGGGGAGAATGGGCGCAGCTCGGAATGGCAAGGACGACACACCGCTCAGCATGTTTGATCTGACGAGAAGTGCTGCGAGGGCTTTTAGCAAGACTGCAGCGTCGCTGCAAACTGCGCCGCACCAAAGGTCCAGCGATGAGTTCGGTAGATCCATGGAGGAGAGCACGGGTAGTCTTGGGAGTGACGAGAGAGTCAGGAAAAGGGACATGGTGGCAAACGCTGTCACTGGCGGTCTGGCCAGCGGAATCGGATGGGTCTTGGGCGCGACTCCGGCTAACGGGCAACAGCCACATGCACAGGATCGATAGCGTAGTCGGGTCTCAATTCACTGCATCTGTAATTCACAGTGTCATGCACCCGAGCTGTGTTGACCTTTTGTCAGATCGCTCAGCTTTGAGACATCAATCAATTCGCAATAGATGCATTTTTGACATCTTTTTCAAAGGCGTCGATGAAATCTCTCAACAATTCTCGCAACTCACAGAAGACAACTCATCACGTCGTTCCACTTTACGTCATTATGTACAAGAGATCGTAACTCATGAATCCATCGCATCGAGCTCCCAGAGCCCTCCCCATAAGTAGCAGCGACTTCCTACCTACAAATCTCCCACTTGTATATTGACACTTCCACTGCTCGTCTTAAACCCAACTCGTCCCTGTCCGAAACCTTTGCGTGCGACGAAATGCTCATACACATGTCCGACTCTGCCTTGCGACAAGACATGTACGTCCTTACCCTTGACATGAATGCTACCGCTGACCGTCTCACCCTCAATATACCCTTCCCATTCCTGGGGGTACGTGAGATGCAGCGATCCAGAAGAAGAAGTGTACTTGTGCTCCATCAAGAGTTGGGCGAAAGCGCCCGGGTATTGGTGAGGGGTTAGAATGGAGATGGTTTGAGATGCGGATTGGGTGTCGATGTGGAGCTGGGAAGGGGTGGTGCTGTTGAACACTGGGATGAGGCGTGGCTTTACGGAGCCGGATTGCGTGTGGAAAGAGGTGAACACTCCGAGTATGTAGGTGCCGCCGACACTCCCGCTTTGGGTTTCGATACGGGTTTGATACTCTCGCAGTGGAAGGTCTTTGGTAGGAAATTCCACGCGAACGCTGCCGGAACTGGTCGCGACGAGGAAGTTGGCGGGTTTGATGTTCTCTGGATCTGCGTCCTTAGGATCCGCATTCACGCGAACGCTTCCTGAATGTGTTTTGAGGGAAAGCAAGTCCCGAAGGGCAAAGTTGCCTTTGATTGAGCCAGAGATGACATCGATTTCGGTCTCCCGGCTCGACCAGTGTTCTGCTGATATAGTTCCTCGAATTAGATTGAAGATAGAGTGCTTGTTCACGTCAAATACTGATAGCTTCTCTTCTCCAGGTTTTCTGTTGAACAGACCATCTGCAATCGTCACGTCCAGATTCCCGGACGCAAGCTCCCAGTTCTCCAAACGTAAGCCATTTTTGATCTCCATGTCAACATGGACACCCAGACATGCTCTTGATTGTGTGCTCGTTGTACTCATGCTTTTAAGCTCTGGAAGCTGGAGCACAAATTTGTCGTCAGTCATATAGTAGGCGGGTCTCTCAACTTTCCACGGTCCCGTAGTAGCATATGTCACAGAGAGCTTCAAATCGGCAGTTTGGTCGGATTCGGCAGGCTTGATTCGTCTGCAAACACACGAGTCAGCTACAGGCGAGGTATTACTGCGCGCTTTCGTTGAATATGACAGAGAGTGAGCAGGCGTTACGAGGAAATGTGAAGATAGGTTGAGAACATCGAACGACGCACATTCTGCCAATGATACTGCCCGTGATATAGTTCGAGCTCTCCATAAGCTCCATGAAAGTGAAATTTCGAATCTTGCTGAACTCGTACACAGCTGGATCTGTATGGTCGTTAAAGACGCATGAGCCACGAGAGGGTGGGACGACTGGCGAAGGGGAGGGCAGTGTCGATGGCGCAGGCGATAGCGGTGGAGAGACGGGCTGTCTCGGATTGGGGCCATCACTATGCCCACCACTAGAGCTCCAGTCGTCTACGTTTCCTGCTATGAAGATTATTATCAGGACGGCAATTGCCACCACCAAAATGGCGTTGCAGGTCGAGATTGGCTTGCAGCACTGTCGCCATCGGGAATGTTTCCGCTTACTGGACGACTGCCGCCCGCGATTCAGGAGCCCGCTTTCTTCGTCGACTGTGTCGGCTTGTCTTGGAAAAGGATCGCTCATACTTTGGTGTGTGGACGGATTGGGGCCGTTTGGGCCAAAAGGAAAGCCCGGAGCGTTGAAGGGATCGTTCAAGTTGCCGAACGGCCATGGTCTATCATTCCGCGGTGTTTCCACAGGCACAGCTCCATAGCTCTGTGTATGTCGAGGATGTGTTACACTCACGCTTTGCTCGGCGGTGAAAGCGAGTGGTCGCGATGTTGGTCTTGCTGGGCTGTTCGCCGTGGCAGACTCGTAATCAGGCATGTCGGCAGCTCTCGCACGGCGGGGTTCGCGCTCTGCTCACTGTCCAATGCGACGTATTATCGAACTCCTTCCACGACCGTCACGACCTGATGCGTATCTTCTGCTGGACTGGAAGAGCCAAGGTCTGGCCTGGCCTGGCCTGGCCCGAAGTTTCACCGAGCCAGCACCTTTCACGCATCTTCACACAAACGGCATAACATGAGGATACAGCTTCGTCAGAAGTACTTCCAAGCGAACAACTGGGATGGTACAGGATTTCTGGAAGCTCCTCGTCGTCTCAATGCATTTTTCCGCGTTATCTCGAGATGCTTCTGCATCACCAGCAACCCAGCCGGCGTCGTGCTCTGCCTCATACTCAAATTCCTATTCATGATAATGCCGTGAGCACAATCCTAGCGCAAATGACCAGGCTCAATGCTTCGCAGGAAGGCCTCGCCTGACTCAATTGGTCGATATCTCTTCAAGTCTTGCCGGCAGAAACTCTTCAAGCATCGGCCTGTTCCTCCTTGACTGCGCCAGCTGAAGCTTCGCCATCGCCATTGCTGGGCTGGTCCTCTTGAGCCACAGACTTGGGTTCAGACTTCACATCATCTGATGGCATCTCTTGTCCCTCGTCTTTCTCCCCGTCTTCCTCGGTGGCGGCAGAAGCCTTGCCTTGGACTTTAGTGCTCGACTTTCTGCCTTTCTTGGGCGTCTTTGCCGGCGTGCCCTCTGCCTCTGCGTCGTCGTCGTCTTCGCCTTCGGTCTTGATAGCATCGGACTTGCGCTTCTTGCCGGATGCCTTCGATGGTGTAGCAGCCGCGCCGGTCTCAGAACCCTCGTTGGCGCCGTTGGAGCCGCCCTTCATGGCAGCGCCTTCGGAAAGGGCGTCAATCTTCTTCTTGATGGAGTGCTGTGGAAGTCAGCAAGCGCCTCATACTACGGAACATGCCTTCTTACCCAGGAGGCCTTGGCGGAATTGGCGTTCTTGAATGGCACAGCCTCGGCGAATTTCTGATAGTCAATTGTCATGGGCTCCTTGGTACAGGACATAGCCTTCGCCAGCAGCTCGACTAATCGCCAGGGCAACAACCAGTCAGCGACAAGTCTCGAGCAACCAGTGCTAATCATCGTAATCATGCTTACAGTCGCGCTGGGTGAAGTTGATTTCCTTCTTAGGAGTAGACATCTTCTGAGAGTGTCTTGGTGTCGGTTTGGGTACGAAGTGGGTTCGATGAAGTGTCACCTGAGTGGATGGTAGAGGCGCAGATGTCGGTGGTGAAGAAGTAGAAGGGTCAAGAGAGCTTTTTGTAGGCGGACGGACCCTTCTTTGCGACTAGGCAACAGTAACAGGAATCACATGGAAAACGAGTGAAGTGACAACAATAGAACTCACATGCTCATGAGGCGGGTCGAGATTCACCTGGAGAACAGAGACAATGAGGGTCAATCCTTTCTTTGCTTCTTGTGTGGTTACTATGCATTGCAAGCGGCCGCTCTCAAGGCCACGCATGCATGTTGACTGGCGCTTCTGAATAGCGAGCAGCCCAGCTAGGACCTGAACTTGCCGCCTATCAGTCGTGCATTCGCGACGTTCGTGGTAATTTGAATGATGCCCCGAGTTCCTCCTTTACAGTAGTCCGTCATCATCGCTTTCCGTCTCCGCCTTCACGACAGGAGCACCCTCAGCGCTGTCCTCGTCCGTATCAGCTTTCTTGGGAGTGGCCTTGCCCTTGCGGCCCTTGGTCTTCTGCAAGGCAGTCAGCAAGGTATCAGAGTTTGGCCCGTGTAATCACGCACCTTAGCAGGAGTCTCCTCTCCGTCGTCCTCATCAGCTGCTTTCTTTCCGCGCTTCTTTGGTGTAGCCTTTGGGGTAGTCTTTGGCGTGGCCGAGCTCTCGTTGTCGCCGTTCACATCTGAATCTCCTGCGCCAAACTTGCTGGCCTGCGAGGCAAGCTTCTTCTTGATTGCGCCCCAGGCATTGGAAGCAGAGCGAACATTCGTGTAGCCACTGAGCCGCGCAAGCTTCTCGAAGTCAATCTGAATTGTGTGTCAGAAATGTAGTATGATCATGATGTCGCGCAACATCACCTTTGGCTGCTCTGCGAAGCACTGCCAGGCTAGAGCCATGACTTTCTGTTCGCGTTCGGTGAAGGCGTCGTTGTCGGCCATTTCTGTTATGACGGATCAGGCTGGTGATGCGGACAGTAAACTGAGATCCTTACTGCTTGCTCTTCTGGTCTGATGTTGAAGATCTGTACGCCTTGGGTCTCAATTCGTTATGAGACTTGCTATCGCAGATGTGTGTGAGTGATGGTGAGGGTCACGAATTCAGTTGTTTTTCAAGCTCGAAGTGGAACAACAAGCGAAAGCTCGCGCGGAAGCTCACTTCTTCGTCAAGAAAAGCCAAGGAGACCGCCACCTGCTGCCAGTGCAATCTAGAAGTCAAATCACATATCGCTCATTGCGCAGTGTTAGTCCGTCATTCACCCAACAAAGAAAGTCATATTTTAGTTTGCGACCTTCACGCGGTAGGTCATCACGCCACAGCGGGAGAGTGTGTGCCTTATTCCGGGGATCTAGCAGCTCTATCGACACAACACGGATGTCGATCATGGGAGTCGATTCCATATCAGAAGAGAAGATCCTACTCCGATATTTTGCCCGCGCTCTGGAATGGCCAGGGGAGGACTTCTCGGACCGGAATGGATGACATGCGTGATTTTGTCCCGCTCTACATAGACTCTTCCTTGATCTCCTTCTGCTCCTCACTCTCATCTCCAGCGTCTTCACCGCTCACACTGCTTCTAGTGCAATCGGTAGTAGAGATCCGTGCTGCATTCATAGTCATTCCACCGACAATTGAATCAATGTGGCTATCGGTATGGCGATGCTTGCGCTTGAGGTGTTCGCGCAGTCGCCATCTCTGGTCGTAAGCATTCTCGTGGCGTAGACAAGCCTTATGTGGACAGTTGAATCGACTTTGCTCTTGCTGAACGGCTGCCTGTTGCATCTGACCGCTCGCGAGACGGTCTAAGTCTCGATGCAGGGCATCACCGTCACGCAGGGTCCCTGGACCATACCTCCTCAGCTCACCACGAGCTGGATAGAGCAAAGGCGGCATCATTCGCATCTCCATGCCTTCAGAGAACAGACGTGCGCATCTATTTGCTGCGCGATCAACTACGGCTGCATCGAAACCCACTAATCCCGCGACACCAAGCACTTCGGTCCAATCCCGTATACCAAGTCCGCGCCGATGCGAAGACCGCCTGAATAGTCTTGCCCTGCGGACTTCCTCCTCCTCGCCGTACCCTAGAGAGTCAACTGAAGGCTCGCGCATACCATCTCCGTCGCCCTGAGAAGCTGTAGCGTCGTCCCTCTTTCTTCTCCTGGTTATGTCTGCCGGAATTGGATGCTCTGGTCGCTTTGAAGCTGGCTTGTCTGATCGGGACTGTGATCTTGAACGCCCAGAATGATGGCCATTACGACTACGTTTCAAGCCGGTCAGCACCTGTTCCAGGCCTCTTACGATAGATTTAGCAGATGAACGCGTGATTGCCTCAGCCGCGTCCTCATCTATCAAGAAAGAAGGCTTGGAATCAGGGGAACGATCTGCCGCCGACTGAGGCGATCCAATGTTCCCTCCGATATCATCAATATCCAAGAGCGGGCTCTGTAAAACTTTTGGACCAGAGGCATCTGACATTCGAGAGCTCGTACTTGAATCGTCCCATTCGCGCTGTCGGAAGCGGTCTTTGGCTTGACGCAGGATGTCTGCCCTGACAGATTCTTCCAAATCCAGACTAGGTCTCCACGGTGGGAGCTTATGGAAGGTATGGGCCTTAGTGGCTGAATCATGAATAGGTACACCCCAGTCCTCATTCCTTCTTGGCACATCGACTGGCTTCAAAGGCCACGCGGTCCAACTGTCCTCGGGCAAAAAGGGCAGCCTGCCCTGTTCATCGCGTGCAACCCACGTTTGCTTGCTGCGCCAGGACTTGTCAGGTTTACTGAGGTCTGTCCGCCGGTGCTGCTCTTTCCACTTGTGAGCATTGTAAAGATGAATGGACAGGTCGTTGTTCTCTGCCTGGTCCAAGGCGGCCGCCAAAGCGCGCTCGTCCTGTGTGTAGAATCTCCAGCTACTGTCTGGGCCATGAAAGCGACCTTCGCGATCGTCTTCGGAGGAGGAGTACAGCTCATCTCTGTGAGCCTCGCCGAGCGCTGAAGTGTGCTCTACCTCCTCTCCAGCCATACCGTGACCTTCCTCGACGGACATCTCCATGTTCGTCCGCTCTCGCTCGCTGTAGCAGTGGACTCATGGCGAGCGCTGTGTGTGATTTCCCGTGACACAAAGCCAGGCAGGCAAAGCAGGCAGTGGAGTGGAAAGCGAAGTGAGTGAAGTAGTTTGCGCTTGCTTGGTGTGCTAGCGCCAGATCGGCAAGTGATCCCTGCATCTTCCGCCACAGCGACAGCGACCGGACAAAAGTGAAAGCACGGCCCTTGAGATTTCCACGGCCCAGGCTCGACTTCAACTTCGCGCGCTTTCTTCAACCACACCACCACATCACCCACTCTCCACTACTCCTGAGGCTCTGCCCGGCGCACAGCTCTACCGACACTCTCTGCCTCGCGTCGATCTATAACATCTCCGCCGTCCGCGCTCCGTCTTAGAAATAGTCCACTTCAGCACCACACAGTACAATGGCCGAAGTCGCCTCTAACGGACCAGTGCCCGACTCAAACGGCCAGGTCGACCTCAGCACCATCCCAGTGTCTCCAGAGGGCGCCATGACCGATGCGACCAACGGCGCCAACGGCACCAAGTCTGCCGACAGCGACAAGATCGTGACCGTCTTCGATGACCCAAGCAATTTCAATGTCAAGCATCAATTGCAGCACACTTGGACTCTGTGGTTCACCAAGCCACCGAGCGGCAAGCAGGACTGGAACGAGCTTCTGAAAGAGGTCATCAGCTTCAACAGCGTGGAAGAGTTCTGGGGAATCTACGTGAGTACTTGTTCTTTCCCGCGCAATAATTGTTAACTCTGGGAGGCAAGAGCTGACCCTCCGTTGTTGACAGAATAATATCACGCCTGCTTCGGAGCTCGCCCAGAAGTCTGACTATCACCTCTTCAAGTCTGGCGTACGTCCCGAGTGGGAGGATCCGCAGAACAAACACGGCGGTCGGTGGTCATACACATTCAAGGGCAGCAAGGCCAATGACGAGACATGGTTGAATATCATGCTCGCTGCTATTGGCGAGATGCTGGAAGATGAGGCTGACAACGAAGTCATGGGCGTCGTCGTGAACATCCGTAAGGCTTTCTGGCGTGTTGGTCTTTGGACGAGAACCGCTGGCCAGCCTCCAAAGGGTCGCAAGGACGAAGCAGACCGCGAGGATGGACGTAAGCGTCTTGAACGCATCGGCAAGCGCTTCAAGGATACGCTCAACCTTCCAGCCAGCGAAGGCGTCGAGTTCAGTGGTCACGCTGACTCCGCTCACTCTGGCAGCAGTCGTGCTAAGGCCAAATTCACCGCCTGAGCAATTTTGCTTGGACTTTAGCGATTGAGGGATTGCCGCCCATGGCGATCCCATCTTGCAGTTCTTCATCATCACGACGGCATGGATTCGGCGCACTACGGCGCACTATAGCTGGCAGGCCTAGCGAACAGGGAGGTTGAAGCAAGTGGCCCTCCGGGAGATTCGACGATTACATGTGCATATAGACTCACTGGGTACGTGAGTACGGATGGACTAGCTCAGGTATACCCAGCATGCGAACAAGGAGTTTTTGATAGCGGGTAGGAACTCAAAGCGTTTGGTCGCCCTTGTTGTCACGTTCTCGTCAGTCTGTGTGTGCTGAAATGTTCCAGAGTGCCAAAGGCCCAAAGTGCTTGGAACGAGACGGTACCGTACGGCTACGGCTCAGGCCAGCAAGGCATCGAGCCTATTCTTAGCGCGGCAAACCTTAAGCAGCTATCCCGTGCAACGCGTGACCTGTTGTCACCATTTCCGAAGTTGCACCTGCCTTCGCCTCGCGCTTTCCCCTTCATCATCCTGACCATGGTCTGCTTCCTGCCGCCCGCATTTCCCAATCACTAATTAAGCTTGCAGGAACGGCAAACACTGTCCTTTCCCCAGGCTGACGACTGATCATGGATGAGAACGACTTTCAGCGGGAGCTGGTACAGCTGAAGACGCGTGTATCACAGATGGTGGCGAGCTTCAACCGTACGGCTCCTACATGCCTGCCGCCGACATCGCCCAGCGATGCCTTCCTCGATCACCTACAGGACGTCAAAGACCGTTTACAGACCATGCAAGACTCACTCAGTCAGACAAATGCGAGGCAAACCGGCACGAGCAACACAGGCTACAATCTGAAAGCTGCCATGCCCACAGACAGTGCGATCCACGTGCCGCATCATCGCTTGATCCTCCCATCGGGCCCACTCTTCTGGCAACTGTTTACATCTTTGCGCACTGATGTGCGTAGTCTACACACCCGCGTCGCAGACCTAGCGCAGAATCTCTCCCATCTCGAGGACCGTGTAGACCAAATCGACCCGGCGCAGATCACTCCTCCAGGGAGCGATGCCTCTCATTTGCAACGGGACCATCACTATGTACAGCCCTGTTCGAATTCCGGCTACGACTGGCAGCCAAGCATTCTGGAGAGTGACAGTAGTCTTTGGCATCCGGGCCACATGCAAAGACCAAGTGAGCTAGATACGACCTTTGTTGGCAGTAACGACTTGTACGGAATCCCAGCTGGATGCACCACATTTGACATGGCTCCGGAGCGCCACAGCTTTGTTGACCAAACTCGAAACGCGCCTACCGAAGGCGTTGCCTTTCGAGACCGCGAGATTGCACGACTAGAAGATCTGATGCGAGAAAAGGACATCGAACTTGCACGTCAGCATGCGAAAGGCGTAAGCTATGACGCCAAAATCAATGAGCTTGAGACCAGGCTGGCGGAGAAAGAGTCTGCAGTCGCTACTTATTCAGATATGTTGTCTCGGGCACAGAGCGATGTGGATGCTTTCCGCGCTTCTTGTCAAGCAAAGGAGGCAGAACTCACAGAGTGGATCACCAAGCATGATCGTGTCCGTCAATCCTGCGCGCAGAAGAGGGATCAGCTGATACAGGCCGACTACCAAATCCAGCACATCCAACGCTCCATGCATGACTTACAACGCCGGAAGCAGGGTGAGATTGAGGACATCATCTCAGGCAAGGACGATGAGATGCGAAAACTGAAAGATTTCTGTGATTCTAAAGAGGCGGTCGTGTATCAACAAGAAGAGATAATCGGTCGGGGAGCAACGTTATTGCAAGACCGAGACGAGGAGATCGCATCGCTCAGCCGACAGTTACAAGTCGCCAAGGATGATCTTGAGAATGAACAAAGAGAGAAGGAACGATTCTCGCGGCTGTTCGAGGAAAGAGGCGAGGCTATTTCTCAGTTAAGAACGGCCCTTAACCAAGCACTGACCCCAAAGCCAATACGCGGCAAGTGCGAGGACGATAGCAAGGCGCCTGACGTTGGGGCTCAGCGGAATCGCAATTCTGAGAACTCGTACTCGCCTTTTGCAACAATGGGCTTGGAGGCACATACTCCACGTAGTCAGAAATGGACACCGAAGGCCATTGTTGGTTTACCAAAACTGCATCACGAAGAGAGGCGAGCTGTAAGCTGGGAAATGGGCCGCACTGTAGATGCTCAGACCTTTGGAAGACCTAGTCAATTGGGGCGTACACCGCGCAAAGGTGACGACGCTGCAGAGCTTCACAAGAGAGATCTTCGGCACAGCGACAGTCTGAAGCTGCTGCAAAGGCTTGCACTGGCCGAAGAGGGCACTCCTTCCAAGTCCCCATCCGGTTTACAGCCATCTTCGTCTAAGCGACGTCTCCCTTTGGAAGACTTTTCTTCGCGGCCTCCACTCCCTGCTCCACTTCCACTTCCTCCCAGACGATTGAGCTCTGTTGTCGATCTTTCAAGAAGTTCCGAAGATCACAAGCCGGTTTCTAAACACCAGTGAATGCAGGAATTGACGACACGACGCCGGCTGCACAGCCTGCAAGCATATGTTGAAGAAGGCGAGGAGTCTATTGGTGAGAGTTGAGGTGACGCTTCAGAGGTGTCACCGCATTTATGATGCGACGATTGTACTCGAGATAAATGTCATGCGGCGTATCAGAAAGGCACATGGTTTCATCATGGCTACTAGCAACGATAAGCATCACACAACTGATCTACCTGTTTCTTCTCCAATCCTGCTACACTTGCGGGGCGGCCGTATTTGTGCCAGCTCTGCTTTTCGACTGAAGCGTTTCTACGTGGTCCCAATCGCGCTTGGCCGCAATCCTCGACTTTCCAACCGAGGGAAAAGGCCCGAGTTCACCGAGCGCAAAGCGGTGCCGGATGCAGGGTGACGTTGATCTCGCTGAGCGAGTATGAAACAGAGTTGACCGACGGCTCTCGACTCCATCTTATTACTCGCAAGACAGTGCTTCTGCCTTCGACACTGACTAGCAGTCCTGACAGTCCTTTTTGGAATACACGGCAAGGACAATAACAGAGATCTCAAACATCAGCACTGTACGCCGCCATTCTGGATTTTTGAGCGCTATGCCTGGCTATCCAGACGACAGCTCGAGAGACCGCCGTCGGGACAGGCGGCCTGCCCGCGATTACGACGATTACGATGATGATATCTACCGACCACCTGCTCGAAAGTCGCGCGATCCGTACGACGAACCAAAGACTAGTAGTCGACGACGAAAAGACACCTACGACGCAAGCGACGAGGACGACTACATACCCAGACATAGTCGTCGACACACAGATGAGCGCCGCTCGCCCAAGGAGAAGGTTTCGGAGGAGCCCGAAATTCCCCCACCGCCAATTGGCGAAGACAGAGACGAGTATGCTAAACCAGAGAAAACTCGCAGGAAGGCTCGAGAGGATAGATTGCCTCCAGGAGCGATTCCTGTGCCAGGTACTGAGGCAGCCAACGGCTATGGTGACGGCGCGACTCTAGCTCCAGAACCTGACCGGCGTCATCGGCACGGGAGAAGTCCATACAATGGAGGGGCAGAGAAGCCGTCTCGAAAGGGAGGAAGAAGTCCTTATGACGATGTTGATCCAGCTCCAAGGAAGCCCGCCAGAAGTCCGAGAAGTCCACTGGACGAAGAACCAGAAGCTATTCCCCGCAAAAGTCATCGTCGTCGGGACGACTTGGATGACCCAGAGCCACCACGTCGCTCGAAAGGAAGAGATCGTGACCCATACGAAGACGAGCTCCCTCGTCGCAAGAAGCCGGTGAAGGATCCGTACGATGACCTTCCCCCGCCCAAGAGCTCTCGTCACACCCGTCGACCAGCTCACGGAGATGACAGCGATGACTACGAAGCCGCTCCTCGACGGCGACGAGACGATAGAGATCGACACCGCTATGACGATGGATACGGCACAGAGAGACCATCTCGAGCGAAGCGAGACGATTATCACGAACGGGGCTACAGGACTGATGGTCGTGATGCCAGACGTGATCGATATGGCGAGCGACGAGGAGATCCTCGCCGGGATTCCGGGCGGAGGCATGATCGATATGGAGACGACTACGACGACGATTACGACCGACCGCGACGAGATAAGGGCAGACGAGGCAAGAAAAACGGCGCCGATTTTGACGACATGCTCGAGAAGGGCAAAAAAGGTTGGGAGAAAGCGGCGCCCATAGCGAAGCCTATCTTGACTCAACTTGCCAATGCGTATATCAATAATGGCCGAGCACCAGCTCATTAAAATGCACAAACAATACGACAGAGACGGTACAGGAGTGGCCTATTGGGTGGACAGGACCTCTACACTCCACGGACGGTGTCAAGCGGCGTATCTAAGATTGGAAGAAATGACGGGTTGATGGTCGACAAATGATTTGAATCGGAGCGCTGCTTTTTCGCAAGAAGTTTGTTTAGCCTGGTTGTCAATTTGTGGCCAACTTCTGACCATGGATGTGATACTACTGTTGGCTACCTAGCCAAGAGATTCAGCTCAGTCCCCAGATCCACCACCACCTTTCAGTTCAAAAAGCAAACTACGCATGCCACCGGTCTGCTAGCACTTGGAGCATGACGTGTGCATCGTGAGCTAATCTAGAATAGAATCGGTCTTGACGCAAGCAAGCTGACCAAGATCGAAGCTAAAGTCGGATTAAGGTTGCGCCATACCCAAAGATATAAGAATGCATGCAACGTTTGGTTCCGTACTTGCTGATGATGAGAGAGACAGGACAGGAATCAAGCATGGCAAAGGTCAAGATCGTGGCTGGTCTTATGGGCAGCAGCGTCCAAGGAGGCTCTCAGAAGCTGGCCACGCCGGAGCAGCTCAGACCTTTTCTGGAACTTCTACGAAAGCACAACGTTAAGGAGCTTGATACGGCACGTGTGTACAATGGTGGCAAGAGTGAAGAGCTTCTGGGTGAGATTCCGGAAGCGCAGAAGGACTTCGATATCGCGACGAAAGCTCCTGGCTTCTCTCCCGGCTCCTTGACGTATGAGTAAGTCTGTCTGTCGGGTTGAAGGCATGCGTGCGACACGTATGAGAAAATAGCTGATCGCGTACACCCTCCGTCTTTGTAGCAAAGTCATCGAAAATGCCAATGCTTCTCTCGCGGCTCTCAAGATGAAGAGAATCCCACTGTATTACTTCCATGGCCCTGATCGACAGACATCGCTCGAGGAATCATGCAGAGCAATCAATGACCTTCATCAGCAAGGCAAGATTGAACGATTTGGTATCTCCAACTTTCGCAACTCGGAAGTCGAAGAGTGCTATGATGTCTGCAAGAATAATGGCTGGGTCCTGCCGACTGTATACCGTAAGAAGCACGCATCGAGAAGTCTAAACCCGTCCAAGAACGCATGCTGATGCCTGTCCAGAAGGAGGATATAACCCGCTAAGTCGAACTGGAGAGAAACAGCTTTTCCCAGTCCTCAGGAAGCTTGGCATCTCCTTCTATGCATATTCTCCGCTGGCAGCCGGATTCTTCTCGAGAACAACCGAGCAGCATCGGAACCCTCCGGCAGGAGGTCGCTATGACCAGATGAAGTTCGTCAAAGATATGTTTGTCAACGAAACAACCCTAAAGCTGCATGATATGCTCACCGAGGCCTGCGAAAAGCAGAACCTCGCCCTTAAAGAGGCCACGCTCAGGTTTATGATGCATCATTCAGCTTTAGGCCCTGAAGACGGCGTGATCCTAGGAGCCAGTAGCGTGGAACAGATGGAGGAGAATCTGGCAGCCTGCGAGGGTGGTGTACTGCCAGAAAGTGTTGTCGCTGCTTTTGAGTCTCTTTGGACCCAGTATACGGAAGCTGGTTACGATCCATCGTATTGTGTGTAGCTTGCAAGGAACTGGGCCAAGGCTTTGGGGTTCGCGCCTCTCTTGACTAGAGAACCCCGATGTTTTAGGTGCTTTCCACTAAGGCCTTCGTGCCGGTGCAGTCTGTTGAAAGCGTTTGCAAGTCTGATGATATGTCGAACCCTTCATGTCATGGCGCCCTCGACGATATTTGGCATGGCAAGATCGTGCATCACTGCTGCAGCCTCTCGCACCTTCCTTTTTGCTGCAGCAATATCTTCAACAGTGGGAACATCCGAATTGCCCGGTAACGGACGCTGCTGTTGTTGTGCCAGGTAAAGGTCCTTCACCATATTGGCCGCAGTCAAAGTGCTTGTCGCAAGATCAACGAGCTGAAAGTGAGAATGGCGTCAGCATTGGATCCCGCGTCAGCTCATACCAAGTTTGAACGTACCATTTCTGCAGACATGATTTCAGCAGCCAAGTTCACCGCAGGCGTGTCAGCGTTCATGTCCGTCTGTGAGAAGGTATCCATCATGGTCACTGCAGCCAAGTCGGGCTCATTGAGCTGGTTTTCGGTGGTGTCAGGTCGCGGGACAATGCTGCGCTTTTGCGGTCCAAAAGCACATTCGCTTGGGTAGTGGAGTGTCGTGGACGAATTGGACGGCGCAACATTTTCCTTGGTGCGGCGCTGCTTCCTCTTCGGCGCTCCTTCAGCAGCAGCAGCCGCCTGTTTCGCCAGTTGTGCTTTGGAATTCTTTCCTCTTGCTCTAGCATTGTCGTATGGCACCAGTCCCTGGATGTATTTCGCCGATTAGCTTTTCCGAAAAGTCATCACGAGTCCGATGTAGACAGGTACCATGCATCCCTCATACTTACCCAGAGTGTCTGGAGCCTCCAGATTGTTGAAGCACCTTTATTCAAATGATATCCTTGTGCCTCAAAAGCAGCAGCAATCTGCTCGGCAGTCTCGCCACGCTGGGTACGTAAGGTGATCTCTGCCTTGCGCGCATCTTGAGCTTGAGACTTGGAGGGGCCTCCGGTGCTGGGCAAACCAGAAGGCCTCTTCCGATCAGGATCTGTGAAGTAAGGCTGTCAGCAGAATTCTTTGAGGCTGGTTACAGTGACGCCTGCTGCCTGCGAACCGAGCAATCCTCTGAGCAGGCTGTAACTACATGAGGCAACAGGCATCAGGGAAGGGAGAGTCGGTAGTGCTGCTTCTCTTCAGGAGACTTCGAGCACACGAGGCGTTGGAATGGAAGAAGACATACACGTCCGACCTTTCGTCGTCGGCTCTGCTCTTTGTCTCAGGCCCCAGTTGACTCGATATCGACTGACAGTCTTGGAGGAAATCTCCAGACCTTTCGAACGAAGCAGAGCAGCGATGTTTTCGCAGCTTTCGCCGGCGGCGGTGAGCTGTTCGATTTCCTGGCGATATTGGGTTACATCCTTTTTGCTATTGGGAGCCATGTCGAAGACTTGATGCGTTCTGTGGGCCGAAGGGGCTGGGATTGAGATAATTGCGAGCGGCAGCTGGTAATAGGCATTCTATTGAAATATCGGCCGTCGCCGCACCTCCCCAAATGCCCGAGCGATGCACGCAAGGCAGGTCCAGCGAAAGCGACCATCCACACTTCTCCATTATTCCCTCCCCATCATGCGACAGGCAGGCATCAAGAACCCGTAGTCGGCTACTACCGCACATAAGTATCACATGCGTACGCCCTTCTTTTCCCGCTCCGCTTCAACGCGAGCAACTCCTCTTCACTTTCATCATGTCAGTTGACACGCAGGTCTTGGTGGTTGGCGCGGGCATGAGCGGTCTGGGTTTGGCAGTACAATTGATTCGACAGTACAACTGCCGCGATTTGGAGATTGTGGAAAGAGAGAAAGATGTGGGCGGAACATGGCTTGTCAACACTTATCCGGGCTGTGGCTGCGTAAGAGAGCAACATCGAGAGAGCGAGCCCATCCATGCCCCAGATAATTGCTGACCTTCGACTTGTCGCTCTGCAGGACGTTGCCTCCCATTTCTACTCCTACTCGTTCGCGCTCAATCCGGACTGGACTCGAAAGTTCTCCCTTCGCCCCGAGATTCAAGCGTATTTTCGCAATGTGGCAGAACAGTCCATCTCAACTTCTCATGTCCTCATCGATCATGAGCTGATCCATGCTTAGTTACAACCTTATCCCTCACATCTCCTTCAACACGGCAGTCCAGACAGCGCGATGGTGTGAGAAAGCTCAGCTCTGGGAGGTCACAATCATGGACCATTCCACGCAGACGACATCGATTCGCCGCTGTCGGATTCTAGTGTCCGGAGTGGGATCCTTGAGTATCCCCAAGAAGTGCGAAATAAACGGCGCCGAAAGTTTCAAAGGTCCTCTTTTCCACTCCGCTCAATGGGACCACACGCTCGACTGGAGTGGGAAGAAAGTGGTCGTGCTTGGGAATGGCTGCAGCGCGACGCAATTCGTTCCCGTGATGGCAGAGACTGCGGGCAGCCTGACTCAATTCGCCAGACAAGCACACTACCTGGCGGAACGGCCGAATCCAATCTACAGCAGTCCATTCAAAGCACTAATGCGTTACATGCCTCTCGCCATGCGGCTCTATAGATTCACACTTTACGCCGAAATGGAAAAGGACTTTGCTGGATTTGACATCGAGGCTGGGCGAAGCATTCGACAGCGTCTGAAAACAGAGAACGAGCAGTACGTTAAAGCCATGGCCCCAAAGCGTTATTGGGACGCTCTGATTCCCAAGCATGAGATCGGGTGCAAACGAAAGGTTATGGATACTGATTATCTGGCTTGTCTTCATCGCGAAAACGTCGAGCTAGTATACGATGATCCCGTCGAGAGTATCAATGAGCATGGTGTGGTCACGCAAAGTGGACGACATGTGGAAGCAGAAGCGATCATTCTTGCTACTGGATTCGAGGTCTATCGTATGCTATACCCAATGGAGATTATTGGAGAAAATGGCGTGAGCCTCAATGAGTACTGGAACAAGCAGCACGATGGGGCTGCCCAGGCTTATCTAGGCACATCTGTTCCAGGATTCAAAAATTTCTTTGTGATGGTAAGTGTCATCATACGGTCTCCTATCATTTCACAAAACCTGCGCCAAGCACCTCATCTGGTTGTCGAACGCTCCTCGTCTCTCAAGATATATGCTGACATGTCTAATCTTTATCTCTAGATGGGTGAGCTGCCGCTGAAATGGTGCAACCTACAGTCTTCGTCTCAGCTTTCTGATTTTACCTGCAGGCCCGAACACGGTGACCGGACATCTCAGTGTCATATACACCGTCGAATGTCAGATCAACTACGTATTGAGACTGATTGAACCAATCTTAAGCTCGTCAAGAGCATCATCAGCAGTAACCTCCGTTGACGTCAAATTGCCTGCTACGCTTCGAGACAGCAACTGGATGCAGGAAAAGCTGAAGGCGCTGGTCTGGTCATCCGGCTGCACAAGCTGGGCGCTGGACCCCAAGACCAACCTCAATATCGCAATGTACCCTCAGTACCAGTTCATGTTCTGGTTAAGAAGCATCTTTATCCCTGCCAGAGACTTTGAGTACCAGTATAGGGAGGGCAAGGGCTTGCAGAAGAAGCAGCTAGCCATCGGTGGTTGGAAGGCTGTCAGGAATGCTTTGGGCACGATTACTGTCTTTTCGGCTATTGGCATCGCAGCAGTGCGGAGGGCAGGAGGTCTTTCTGAAGCACGCGGTTGGATCGCAAAGGTCTTCGCCGGGATCTGGACGGAAATGCGAGGGCCACTGCGACTTTGAGAGCGGACGTGCAGTGATCACAAATCCATCAAATATTCCAGCAGCACCTATCAATACAACTCGGAAGACTAAAGATAGGGCGACCAAACCATGATTGGTGAACACCTAGATGGATAAACAGCAGCTACAACAATGGGTATTAGTCTAATCGGGATTGGCTATTTGAAGAACTGGTATATACAGATAGATATTTTACATATCATCACAGAAATCTAGAGTCTGGAAACAAAGCCACTGCCATCCATCTGGACGAATGTTAGTGCTGTGCATTGCGATCGGAATCTTGTCTGCACACTCTTACTCACCTTGACAAGATACTCCTTGCTAATTTGATCGACTTTCGTGGTCCCAGCAAGTGCCATACACAGCTTTATCTCATCGCTAAAAAGCTTCAGAGCAAGTTCAACGCCCTTCTGGCCCTTATATGCCAGGCCCCATAGCACTGGTCGACCAATCCAAACAAAGTCTGCGCCAAGTGCAAGCGCCTTGAACACGTCTGTTCCGTGTCTTATGCCACCATCAACGTGGATGGGAATCTTACCTCTAACAGCTTCGGCGATTTCCGGAAGTGCGTCGATGGTTGCCAAGGCGCCATTGAGTTGTCGACCTCCATGGTTGCTAACCTGGTTTCAAGACAAGGTTAACCACGAACATAGATGTGTCCAGGAATATGTCATTTGCTGCGCTTACCACTATCCCGTCAACCCCATGATGAAGTGCTAGTATGGCATCCTCCGACGTCGCAATACCCTTGACCCATACCTGCATCTCTGGCTGGCATTGTTCCTTGAGCCAATTGATATCGTCCTCCCAAGTCAGAGTCGGATTCGGGGCATGGCTATGGAATGTAACAGGCCCCACAGGAGAGACCCATTTGCCTTCCTTGTCCTGATATCCAGCCTGCGACGGCCGTCTTTCCAGAGACGGACGACCTTTCTCTTCCATTCGTTCTTCCATTGCAAAATTGGCCACCTTCAAATGAGGTGGAAGCTTGAATTGATTTCTCAGCTCAAGATTACGGCGTCCGAGAATTGGTGTGTCAACGGTCAGGAAGACCGCCTTGAAGCCGGCCGCTTTTGCCCGCTGAATGAGCTTCTTGCTGTGCTCTTTCTCTTCAAACAAGTACAGTTGCAGAACGTTTGGGTTTCCTGCGCTAGCCTCTGCCACCTCTTCCAAACTCTTCGTTGAGAATGAGGATAGACCCATGACAAGTTTGTAGTTCTTGCATGCCTTTGCTGTACCTGTCTCTCCATCCGAGTGGGCCATACACTGCATGGCTGTCGGCGCTACACCAAGCGGGAGCGAGTTACGATGACCGAAGATATTGACGCTGGTATCGATCTGAGATACATCTCGAAGAACTCGGGGACGAATGCGGTATTTGTTGTATGCTGTAGTGTTCTCTCGTAAAGTCGACCCAGAATCCGCACCTTCGTTGTAATAATCTCGGGTCTGCTTGTCCATCAAGTCGTGCGCATGACGCTCAAGCTCCTCGATTGTGAGACAGTTGAGATCATGGTCGCCTCCCTGTGCCGCCATACCTGTCTGTTATTGTATATTGCAACCTCTTGCTTTTCGGCGGCTTGATAAACGTCTACAAAGTGCGAAGAAACCGGCGTAGAGATGAGGTGATATAGCCCGGACGACCAAGAGAAAGGAGTAATATCAATGACATGTGCACAAGATACATTGTTACCAAGGAACCAAAGCATATACTTATCTAGCTGCGGCTAGGAGAGCATTAGGGAAGAGTCGCCTTGCGATGCTTTCTCCGCGCGAGATCGGAATCATGGAGCACGTATGAGGCGTGCATCACAGAAAGTGAATGACGTCCAGCCCGGCGGCCGGCAGTTGCTCCTAGCAACCCGATGTTATCCAACAACGACACGACGCGCCTGCTCAAATGGAGCACCAGCGCTCGCCGCTCGCCGAGATTCAAGCAACACACACATCCATACGCAAACATGGTATCAACAAGGGGAGGCACTCGTACCAGCGCGCCAGACGACGCCAGCACAATGCTGCGCAAGAAGCCTGTGCGCAAAGTGACGGCGAAAGCCGCGCCCGCAACATCCACCGCCGCAAAGGCCAAGGCAACGCGCTCGAAGAAGACAGAACCCGAGCCAGAGGTTGTCGACGACGATGAGCCAGACGAGCTACAAGAAGAAGCTCCTGCTCCCACCAAGACGACGCGCAAAGTCACAACACGTGCGAAGAAATCCGAAGAGCCAGTGAAGCCCGCGACCACCAAGAGCGCAGCTTCCAAGGCGCCATCAAAGCCTGCGAAAGCTGCAACGAGGACTACGAGGGGAAAAGCGGCAGAGGAGGTGGCAGAACAGAATCTGGAGACGAAGAAGCCAGAATTGAAGCCAACGACCCAGTCAACAGTTACGCGTGCCACTCGTGCCACGGCCGCCAAAGACAAGGCAGCGCCGCTCTCACCGAAGAAGATTACACAAGTCTCGAAAGCACCGGCCCGAAGCGCGAAGACCTCAGTAGTGAAGGGCAGTACTGCCACCGCCAAGGCTCCCGCTGCGAAGGCCGCGAAGAGAGGCAGGCCTCCAGGCAGGCGGCGGAATGTCTCGGACGAGAATGCAGTCATTCCCGAATTTGCGGCCCCGGCTGAGGTAGAAGGAAGTGACATTGAAGTCGCTCCAAAGAAGCCGTCCGGAACGAGAGGGAAGAATGCAGTGAAGCGAGCAGCTTCGCCCATGGTCATCGACAATGACACGCCAATATCAACGAGGCCGGCCACACCGGCTGAATCACTGCAGGAGACACACGATGAACATGACCACGATATGCATACCACACAGCAATCGCTCGAGGACCATGATGATGATGAATCTGAACAGTCATCACAAGACGAACTTTCCGGTCCAAAATCCCCTATGAGGCGGGTCAGTCCACGGGAACCACTGAAGTACGCATCGGCCAAGGAAGTCGCCCTACCTGACATCGATGTTCCTATGAAAACTCCCGTGAGGAGATTCGCTGTGCTCGGCACGCAGCAAGGGACGCCTCAGACACAGAAGCCATACTGCAAGCCCGCAGTCCCACTCTCCAATGGAAAGCCTATGACTGTTGCGAGAGCACAGTCTCGAGCAATGGTGTTTCCACGTTTGCAGCCACTGGGGCAAGCTGCAGATGATCACATGGATGTTGATGAGTCTTCTGACAGCACGTCGCTCTCAGACCAGAGCACCCCGATTCCACGGTACAGTGAAGCGGAAAACAGTGAGGCCCAGGACGAAGCATCCGAGTCTCAGCATGACATGGATCCCGACCTCAGCCTCCTCGTGGATCCTGAGAACAGGATAACTGAGATTGAGAGCACAGATGACATGCTCACCGAGGTGATTGAGACTCAGACAGAGACCATTCGCGATGAAAGCGCTATCGAACTTGGTCAAGAACAGCGGCCCCAAGCTGACGCGGACGAGCACACACCTCTTATAGAAGAGGACCCTGATGAGACCATTGTCACGCACGAAGGCGCCGAGGATGATGCGAGCCCAGCCCAAGACACTTCTTACGATAGTTTTGAGAGTGTAATCGTTAACCGCCCAGATCTGCACTCAGAGGACGACGGAGACGACTTCGATGTTTCACTGGATGATGACCAGGCTCCACCTGCGACCCCACAACCAGAGACGCTGGTCTGGGAGAACATCCGTGACGATGTCACGATTCCCTTCAGCTTTGACGCCAACGTCAGTCCGACCAGGGACCTAGTCACATCAGACTCACCTTCTCTTGCACAGTCTGACCATGCCGTTTCGGATGACTTGCAAGATGATTCCTCCTCACCATTCAAGTTTGGAAATTCACAGCAGGCGCAACGCGAGTCCACGGTACGCCTCAGCGAGTTCGTTGACATAACGTCTCTCGCAGACTCCCGGCGAAGGCCAGAGGCGGAGGCTCAAGCAGACGGCGAGAATTCGACGGCGGCACGAGCCACTGTGGAAGATGGAGAGGATTCCCAGTGGATGATAGATGGGGACGTCACGATGGTCTGCGCAGCACCTGCAACGCCTCGTACTGTCAAGCGATCTCCAGTCAGGCTCACAACCATTGAGCATGTGGACGAGGACGAAATGCTTGTCGATGGCGACGTTACTCTTATGCTGGATCGCCACGAGAGCCCCGCCAGCGCTAAACGTTCTCCAGTCAAGTTGACGACCGTTGAACACGTTGACGATCAAGAAGAGGTCGCCGTTGATGGTGAAATGAGTCTGTTGCTGGAGCAACCTGATCTTGCGCCTAGCGTCAGACCGTCTCCTATCAAGTTGTCCACCGCTGAAGACTATCCGGAGGAGGAACAAGCCGTCGCTGGCGACGAGACTCTTGTTCTTGAAGACCACCAGCCAACACAGCCTACGATCCCGGCGACTCCAGTTCTGGTCAACGACGCTCGCGCTTCAGACGTCACCTCCATTGATCTTCAAGACGCTGCAACTCCGCATTACGCGTTGCCTACTTTTTCGTCTACTCGCGAACCTATGGGGCCGGCTGAACCCCAATCATCGACACCCAACGCTGCTGAGAGTCCAGTTGTTGAAGCATGGTTTGACGAAATGCAATCCTCCGATAGGAAATCACAGACGTTCGCAAGCAGACCATCTGCCGCCAAGGAGCGAATGCCTGCATTGGGAACCGCTCTGACCTACGAGGAGCTGCTTGAGAATTCGACTGGAGATTCGCATACACCGGCAAGTCCAACGAATAATGAACCAGCTGTCGCCGAAAGGTATCCGGGCATTCCTTCGCGCGAGACGTATGAGAATGTTGACGATTCATCAAATGTGAGAATGACACCCAGAAGGATCTCTACAATAGTCTCGCCCGCGCTGAGGACGCAGACTCCAGAAGCTGTCGCTGCAACCACGCCACAGCCCGTCGAACGCTTTCCAGGACTGCCAGCTAAGCGATCATACGAAGAGCATGCGAAGACTGCGATGCCAGCGACTCGATTTGCTACACCCGAGCGTCGCTCAACAAGGCGTCCTGCAACGGCACAGAAGGCGACTTCTCTTCGCAAATTGGCCTTGACTTCAAACGGGTCCCGAACGCCGATCAAGTCGCCACTGAAAGCTCCAGCTGAGACACCTGCTCAGATCCCAATGACGCCTCACCCTGGAGCTCCGCTGAAGGGTGTTGTTGCTCTCGTTGACGTCTACACTAGCGACGGAGGATGCGCGACTGGTCCATTCTCGCAGCTATTGCAGCGCCTTGGAGCTAAGACGACTAAGACATTCAGTGACCGTGTCACGCATGTTGTCTTCAAGGACGGTCATCCCAAGCTATTGCAGTCACTTGTTATCCATAACAAGCAGGTTGCTAATAGCGGCTCTGCCAAGGAGATCTTTTGTGTCAACAGTCGTTGGGTGAATGATTGCGATATCAACGGGGTGCGCATGACCGAGACAGACGAAGCCTATGCTATAGATGTCGACGATGCTCCTCGAGTTGCAAAGCGCCGTCGCAAGAGTATGGAACCTATGAGTCTTCTCAACAACGGTGGCAACATCGTGCGCGATCGAAAGAGCAGCATTGGCCGCGTCTCGATTGGTCGATTATCGTCAAAGACCTTCGATATCCCTTCAGACGAGCATCATGTGACGCCGAAGGTCGATCCGGCGGACAAGGAGAATAGCGGCGACAGTGAAGCATGTTCTTCACCAGCGACTCCTGCGTACATTTCGGCACCCGAGAAACTTGTACAGCAGACAGCGCCAATGAATCGCATCCGGAAGCTCGATCTGAACGCAAGAGATCAAGCCCGACGTCTGACATTTACGAATATGGAATTTTGATTGTGGAGCGAATCGGGTTGGAGTACATGGCAGGCTCGACACTGTGGTGAATACTGGAGACTGTTAGGAATGGTAAGTCTAGCTGCTTGGTGAACTTTGTCGGGCGTGTCGTTCGTATCTCGTAGTACAGTCATTGTCGATAGCGTAGAATGTAAGCAGTCTGCTTAAATTCAAAATTGCTTGTCTCTTGTCCATATTTCGCAGCGTCTGGCGAGGGCCCAGGCATGACAGCTGCTTTTCGCCGTATTTGTACTGGATCTCTGCATACTTCAGTCCTTTGGCGTGATTATGCAGAAGATGTCACCCAGGCGTCTATCGTACATCAGCCCATATGGCAAGCGTCGTCACAAAGGCGATAACGTACTCATAGCCTTGATGGCGTCTGCATCGTGCGCTCTTAATAAGTCGGTGGCTTTTGCTTTGGAGAGATCAAGATGCTCAACCTATGTGGCATATCCACCCATGTTCAGCCAATGTGTCTTCGATCTCGCGAGGAGAGAGCATCAACCACAACGTACCAGCAGTGCTACATCTTCTGCAGCAACCTTTGTCAAAGGCTTCTTCGGCGCCTCCTCCTTCTTGACGGCGGCAGGCGATTTCTGCGTGTTCTGTGCATCCAAATTCTTCAGTGCGTCGCCCAGCGCTTTCAAGTCCACCTCTTTCTTTGCTACAGCATCGTCGTTGACCTTGGCGTCGAGCGAGGACAGGGCTTGGGCGGCTTTGCGATCTTCTTTGCTTGCTGGGAGAACGTCAGGCGCGTCGGCTCCTTCCTGGACGTTTGAAGGCTGCGGTTCTTCGGCCATTCTTGCTCAGTCGTTCTGTAGGTCAGTCGCTTGGTAGTCTATATTTGGGCTTCTTTCGCTTTGACAATAAGCTTTCGGTGATCCTTGTTCGCGTTTGAGCCGCAAGCTGGGATCACACATGCCAACCACTGACCGAACGACAAGCACCGTCGCAGACTCCTATCTCTACTGTATCGAAACTGTTGAGTCCATAATTCGTCCTCCAAATCGATAGCAAGTTTCCACCTTCATGCAAAGCACGCTCTCGCCTCTTTGTGCGGTCAGGCCCAAGCATGGCTGCCAATGCATCTAAAACGACAGACTGGTCTCCGGACAGCTGGAGATCAAAACCAATTGCCCAAGCCGTCAAGTATGAAGACGCCAATGCCGTCGAAGCAGCACTCACAAAACTCAAGCATGTTCCTCCAATCGTCACACCAACTGAAATCTGGAAATTACGCAGATCCCTGAAAAACGTGGCGCTGGGCAGAGCATTCTTGCTTCAAGGCGGTGACTGTGCTGAACTATTCGAGTACTGCCATGGCGACTCAATCGATTCCAAGATCAAGCTTCTCCTCCAGATGTCGCTCGTTCTCATCTGGGGTGGAAACCGGCCTGTGGTGCGCATAGCAAGAATGGCAGGACAATATGCTAAGCCGCGGAGTAAACCCACAGAAATGTTCAATGGACAGGAGATACCAAGCTATCGCGGTGACATCCTGAATGGTTACCCCCCTGATAGCCGCAAGATCGATCCTGATCGACTGGTGCAGGCATACTTCCACTCTGCTGCGACTCTCAATTACGTGCGGGCCCAACTTGCTTCTGGGATCGCGGACCTGCACAATCCGATGGATTGGGGTCTTGGTTATGTGAAGGATCAAGCTTTGCTTTCCAAATACACGGGAATTGTGGAGAGTATTTGCGAGAGCTTGCGCTTCATGCACACCATCGGAGCAGACACCGCAAGCCAATTAAGCAGTGTCGACCTCTTCTCCAGCCACGAGGCCTTACTACTCGCCTATGAAGAGGGTCTTACCCGCTACCTAAAACATCCGCAAAATCGTGAGAGTCCTGAGAACTCAACAAACACCAATGCGCCTTCTTCGAGCAATGCTGGCTACTACAACACCAGTGCACACTTCATTTGGATTGGTGACCGAACGAGACAAGTTGATCACGCTCACATCGAGTATGCTCGTGGAATCGAGAATCCCATTGGCATCAAGGTGGGCCCAACAACAAATCCAGCAGATCTTGGCAAGCTCCTCGACCTGGTCAATCCAAATCATGAGATTGGCAAAGTGACTCTGATTCACCGATATGGCAAGGACAAAGTCACACAATTGCTACCGAAACACATCGAGGCAGTGCGACAAACTGGACATATCGTGGTGTGGCAGTGCGATCCGATGCACGGCAACACTCGTTCAACGGAAGAAGGCATCAAAACGAGATCATTCCAAGATATCTTCGACGAGCTTTCAGCAGCTATTCGTATACACAAGCAATGCGGCACGTACCTGGGCGGAGTACATCTCGAGCTCACTGCTGATGCAGTCACGGAATGTACCGGCGGCAGTACTGGTCTTGATGATAAGGATCTGAGTCAAGCGTACACCACCTACTGTGATCCGCGGCTGAACGAGAAGCAGGCGCTTGAGTTGGCATTCCTCGTTGCCGACAGCCAACGTGATTCAGCTGCGAAAAGTGCAAGTGTTTTGAACGGACAGTGATCGGCATTGTACGTGGATGGGAGGAGAAGCGCATGTTGGTCACCTGATTTTCACTTCAGTTTGGCCGTAATAGTCTCTTCCGGCCGATGGACGACGCCTAGTATCATCTCGAGCGCCTCGATGACTTTTTCGTCCTACGAGCTGCAAGGAGATCGGGGCGTCAAGATACTTCCTAGGCTCATCTGAGAGATAGGATATCAGCATGGTCGATGGGCAGGCAGGCAGGCAGGCAGGCAGGCAGGCAGGCAGGAGAACTTCTGTAGACTCACAGAGGTTGTAATAGTGGTAATAGGCTAGGCTCGTACAGCCATGGTTGCTGATCAATAAGTGTTTTCATAAATACCTTGATGCCTTTGTGTCGGAAAGATTATTTGGGGTGTGTGTCGGGAAGATTGTTATGCATGTGTCGGAAAGATGTGTGCCGGGTTGCAGTGCGTCAGCGTCAGCGTCAGCCACGCTCGGCTGGCATTGGACGAGGGAGGGGTGCCTCGGCTGCTTTGGCGCGAGTGTCGTGAAGAAGTGCGGACGGTGCTGGTCGCGTCGCTTGGAGAGTGTCAGAGTCAAGCCAAGCCTAGGTACGGCGGCGAGCGGCGAGCGGCGAGCACCTCCTCCAGTCGGCAGCGTGCCACCAGGAGGACGGGTGCCTTAGCGACACGAGACAGCGTAAGTGATGAAGAGAGTGCTTTCCTGCTCGTCTCTGCTCTCCCACCACCTCAAGAGCCGACCCAGGTGTGGCCATAGCCATACCATACCATCTCTTGCATTCGCGTACCGTGCAAGCCCGAACGCCAGCCCAGAGTGCAGACATGGCCCGTATGATGTACGCCGCTGCCGTCCTATGCGCTGTTGCTGATCGTCCACAGGCCTGCCACGCCTCCCCAGCATAACACCCACGACTGCCGCCCTGGCTGCAACGGCAGCAGTATATCTCAACGGCCGATACCAGATCACACAAGACCTGTGGACCATCATCACCGCTTTGAAACACGCCGCCTATCTGAGCAGACTCGAGAAGCAAGACAAGATCAATGTCTTCTATCGATTCGAAGCGCTCGCCAAAGATCCAAAGCAAGCCAACAAACTTTTCCTGATTGTGCCTAAGGACGAGAGCAATGCGAGCGCCCAGACGGAATGGACATATGGCCAAGCATATGAGCTCACCCTCCAATATGCGCGATGGCTGAAAGAAGACATGCACATCAATAAAAACGAGATCATCGCGATGGATTTCAAGAATAAGCCCCAGTTCATCTGGCTGTGGTTCGCTCTCTGGTCAATTGGCGCCATTCCTGCTTTCATAAACAGCAATCTTCAGGACAACGCCTTTGTACATTGTGTGAAGCTGTCTACCACAAGATTGCTGATCCTTGATCCCGGCCTGTCACAATATCTCACCGAAGAAGCTCAAGCTCAATTCAGCCCAGACGAGAAAGGACGTGCCATCGACACTGTCATTCTAACTTCAGACATTGAAGCTCACATACACAGCTTGCAGCCTTACAGAGCACCGGACGCAGACCGATCCGGCGCCACAGCAGCAGCAACAAGTCTTCTCATCTATACCTCGGGAACCACTGGTCTACCAAAGGCCGCAAATGTCGCTTGGGGAAAGCCTCTTTCAGGAGTCAATTTCTTCCCCAAGGCTCTTGCATTGACGCCGGATGACCGCTACTACACTGCAATGCCATTATACCACTCTTCTGGATCGTTGCTTTGCGTGTGTCAAGCATTTGGACCCGGCTGCGCCATCGTTCTTGCGCCCAAGTTCTCCCCTCGAACACAAATGAAGCAGGTCACCGAAACCAAGGCCACCGTCTTACAATATATTGGCGAGATGTGCCGCTACCTTGTCACAAGTCCACCAACGCCGTACGATCGTGCCCACAACCTTCGACTGGCATTTGGCAACGGAATGCGTCCAGATGTGTGGCAGAAGTTCAAGGATCGCTTCAACATCGGAACGATTGTGGAGTTCTATGGCGCCACAGAAGGTCCTGGCGCATCGCTTGTATACAGCAGCAACGGCTTCCTCCGTGGAGCGATTGGCAAGACTGGCCCCATCACTCGCACCCTTTTCGGAGGCAATTCCGTCTTGCTGAAGCATGACCATGTAACAGATGAGCCTTGGAGAAATGTCAACACCGGATTCTGCGAGAAAGTCAAGACCAACCAGCCTGGAGAGCTGTGCTACCGGTTAGACCCTGAGAACATCCAGGAAAAATTCCAAGGCTATTACGGAAACGACAAGGCTTCGGGGAGCAAAATCATTCGAAACGTCTTCAAGAAGGGCGATGCATACTATAGATCTGGTGACTTGCAGCGAATAGACGCTGATGGGCGATGGTGGTTCGTTGACCGCATTGGCGACACGTTCCGATGGAAGGGAGAGAATGTGAGCACAGCTGAAGTTTCAGAAGCACTCGGTACGCATTCTGCATTGTCAGAAGCGAACGTGTACGGAGTGCAGCTACCCAACCACGACGGAAGAGCAGGCTGTGCCGCTATAGGTCTCGCCGAAGGTCAAAAGATGGACGAGAATTTGGGTAAAGAGCTCGCAACGCACGTGCGGAAGCGACTGCCGCGTTATGCCGTGCCGATATTTCTTCGACTTGCAAAGGAATTCGAAACGACTGGAACCATGAAACACCAGAAGGTCGCTTTGAGGAATGAAGGTGTCGACCCGGAGAAGACTGGCGATGACGAATTGTTCTGGTTGCCTCCTGGCTCGGACGGATTTAAGAAGTTCGAGAAGCGAGACTGGGAGAAGATCACTGGTGGCAGTGCTAAGCTTTGAGATAAACACAACACCGACAGCATTTCCTACACACTAGTTTTGCCTGATGCATATATCAACGGCATTGCTACGACCTCTGTGGAAGGTCCTTTTTCCTTGGACTTCGACATGGATATATTACGACACGACGAACCCCAAAGAAGGCTGATTAGCTAGCAATTCAGTTCGTGTTGATTAGCATTCTGCTTCCACGTCCTGATGTTATCACAGCCCACCATAGCAAACTGATAGAGTTGCGAGACGGAGGTTAGAGAGAGAGGAATCGGACCAAGATAACGGGGGAAAATCGTTGCAGATCCAAGCGAGATCATATCCATGCCGCCTCATATTTGAATATCGTACAAATGTTCCTATACCGTATCAACTAGGTTTCGCTCCCATTTCGTTTGCTTCCACGCTCCGCCCTCCCTTCCCCCTCCTTTTCCTCAACACACACACACAGACAATTGAATTGTGAACAACCATGTTCCGGCCCCGTGCTTCTCTAGTGTTCGCGCAAAGAGTCGCGAACTAAACAAGTAAACAAAAGTAGTGGCCCTGGGCTTTCTCTCTCGCTCTCGCTCTCGCCGCGCGTCCTTTCCGGATGTAGTGGGAATCAAAGCAGGTAAAAGCAAAAGACGAACCAAACTCCTATGAAGAACGCCGCGCTGTGGGAATCAACAAGGAGGAGGCCGTTGCTAAAACAACAGACACAAAACACTATAGTGGTAGTTGTCGTCGTCGGATGATGATGCACCTGACCCAATGAAGAGAGACACACCCAGAAAAATGCCGCCTTGCCTTTGCGCTTGCCCAATGACGAGGAGACCGCCGATGCCGCTGTAGTGAAGAACTCCCGACGCCGGTTTGAAGATGGACAGGAACTGATTGATTCGGTCAAGGAGGTCACGGTTTGGGCTTCTTGGCCATTCGGGGGCTTGGTTTGACTCGGTTCGCGTTGGCGTCACTTCCGCCATCGTCGCCCTCAACTTTGACCGCGCTTCTGCGTCGCTTGTTGTTGTTAACATTGGGACTTGTATTTTCGCTCGCCACGCTGCTGTTTGTACCTTGCTGGCTGTGCTGAGGCATCATCTGAGGAGCAGTCATGCTTGACTGGTGCGGTGAGGGTGTGTGCGAATTTGGCATACCCATGTTCGGCGCGCCTAATGTGCCCGGTGTGTTCCCCAGGTGCGGCGAGCCATTCATGGACATCTGCATGTTGCCCATACTGGGTGAGCTGAAAGCTTGTCCGTTCTGTGGCATCTGCATGTTGCGCATGTTGGGCGTCGTCGAACCTTGAGGTACCCCGTTCGGAGGCAGATTGATCTGTGGATTGCCTGGTTGAGATTGGCCGTTCGGCTGGGACTCGTACTGTGCAACCAGGGCTTCCAAAGCTTGTTCTGGTCGCATCTTCTTGTCTTGAGCATAATGCATGAGGTCTGACATTACATTCATCGTTTCACCAATCTGCGATCGATTAGATTATGATTGGATGCCACTGGACATGTGCAACAGCTCTCACCTCTAAGAAATGCTGCACCTTTGAAGTGAAGCCCATGGTGCCTTTCGGTGTCTTTGGGAAGTGTTCTATCGTCAGTCTGCTCTCGGCCTCCTGCAGCTTCTGTTGAGCTTTGGGTAACTTGTTTTTTGCCATCTTCGGAGATGCTTTATTTGCCATGGTCGGGGAGAAATCGCTCAGCACCTTCTCGATCTGGCCTCGCGAAATGACTTCTTCTGTACCCGTCGTTTGAAAGGAAAGGATGTCGATCTGGTCCGAGCCGGCCGAGAACAGGACATGCAGGGAACCAGTCATCTCCAGACGTGCGCCATTTGGATAGAAAACGGAAAAGGTGGCGTGCTGGCAGGACACCTGGAGGCTTCCATTCGCGTGAGGTACTTCTCGCGCATTTTCGGTATGCAGTCGCAAAGAGCTCGCGCCTGAATCGAAGTATGTGTAGAAGTACCTTGCAACATTTGGTCGCAGCACTTCAAACGTCTTGACCTTGCCATGTGGACCCGCGTCATCGAAGCTGTGGATCAGTCGGCCTTCCGGGGCGAAATGCTTCTCCACGAAATTGTGCCAATGTGTGACATTCTTGCCATTTGCGGTTTGGCTTTCTATGTCCGGGGTGAAACTGGCGAGGTGAGTGCTAAAGTTCAGCAGCCTTAAAATGAACATGCCGCTTTGGGATGTAGGCTGTTGCTGTTGCGCCGCTTGCATCTGGCGCGCTTGGAAGGCTTGCTGACGTTGAAGCAGTGCAATTTGTTGCCGCTGCTGAAGACTCATGGCCTGCTGTTGCTGTGGAGTCGGTTGCTGGCCCTGTTGTGGTTGACCACCTTGTTGTGCTTGAGGCTGGCCTTGTTGAGACTGTGCCTGCTGTGGATGTTGCGGCTGCTGGCCAGGCTGCGCTTGCTCATTGGGATTTGCCATCCGGGATTGTGGACGCATCTGCTGTGCTGCTGCTTGAGCAGGCGTGCCTTGCGGGTTTGCAGGTTGCTGCTGTCCTTGATTGCTTTGCTGCGAATGCTGTTGCTGCATAGCCAATTGCTGCGCCATCTGGTTCTGGTGCTGCTGTTGTGCTTGCTGCTGCTGTTGCATACGCTGTTGCATCATCTGCATTTGTTGTGCTTGAAGATGTGGCGTTAATTGTACAGCCTGGCCACCCTGCTGGCTCATCGCATGCTGATTTTGTTGCTGTTGCATTTGCTGCGCCAATTGAGGATTCATTTGCATGCCCGGCTGCATCATGCCATTGGCCTGCGCCTGCTGCATCATCTGCTGTTGGCGCAATCGCATCTGGTGGTGTTGCATTGCTAGCTGCGGATTCGATTGCACTGTTCATATCCATCAGCAAGACTGTCTACACCGATCATCACAGCGTTCCACGTGATAGCACCTGAGCAACATTTGCAGATGTCGCTCAGAACACATGTCGGGGACAAGTACGCTATGTCTTTGGCTAGTTACTTACTTGCTGCCATCTGGGCCTGCTGGTGTGCCAGTTGTTGTTGCGGTGTTAAGTGGCTCAGCGCCTGTGAATTGGGTATACCGCCAGCCATGCTCTGGCCACCCATATGCGCAGGCATCGCCATACCTGCACCTGGATGCTGGCCTCCCATTCCTCCTGGGCCCATGCCGTTCCCGCTAGGCTGCATGCCCATCATTCCTGCTTGCTGAGGAGCTCCTGAGACGCCCGGGTGCATCTGCATTGGTTGACCCATGTGCTGGCCTGGGTTTGGAGCCATGCCCGGATGGCCATGGGGCATGCCTGGATGCATGCCTCCAGGCGTAGGCTGATATGCGGCCATCATCTTGTCCTACACCGCGTATCACTGCAGGATACTGGTGGAAGTCTAAGCGGCAATGTATGCTGTGCTAAGTATGGTCGCGAGTTCGCGCGTAGTTGCCGCCGGCCTGAGAGCGGTCGAGCAGCAGTCTCCAGGCCGGACAGACAATGCATAGGGTGATTCGGAGGGAGCCTCGACGTGGTGGGCGGAAGTGCGCAGGCCTAAACACGTGCTCTTGCTTTGCTTTGCTTTGCTTTGCTTTGCTTTGCTTTGCTTTGCTTTGCTTGCTTGCTTGCTTGCTTGCTTGCTCGCCAGACTAAGTAGTAAGCGGGATGGAGCTGCTTCTGGTGCTGTTGCGGATCCGGGGTGGATGGCGATGCGCGCAGTTCGGTAGTGGGGCTGTATAGCGTATATTCGTGGTTGCGCGATGGGAGGAGGTATCTTGTGTGTAATACAGTATGATACGGGCCGAGTATTCACGCGCATGCAGCAGAGAGGGCGAGCAAGCCGAGTGAGAATCAGCGCGCCGGCATCCAGCAAGCCGGCAGAGCGTCGATCGTTCCGCCAGTCGGGGCGCGTGCGTGGGAGTCGCAGTGGCAGTCGCAGCGGCAGTCGCACTCGCAGTCGCAGAGGCAGTCGCGGTGGGCACAAATACAGTAACAAGGTAAGTCCGGCTTCCCGTGGGCGGTCGACAAGAACTAAACGGACAGCGCTCAGCGGCGACGTCGCATGGCAGCGGGCGTCGCGGGATGCAGCGCAGGCAGGCGATTGCAGTGATAGAGAGGCGCGCAATTGCTGCTCTGCGACGAGGTCGGGAACGGGCACGGGCACGGGCACGGGCACGGGGAAGCGCAGCAGGAGCGTTGCTTCGTCGGCCGCGAAAGTGCTGGCATCATACCGGCCACCACCACATCACTGTCCGCTGCTCTGCATTACCACCACTCTGTACAGACATGCACCGAAATATGCCATACGTCGACAAATGATCAATCGCGACACCACCGACCCCGCACATACAGCATGTTTCTGCTATACCGCTGCATTCATCCGCTGCACTGTAGAGACGTCGGCGGACGCACCCACGCATTTTGTCCCCGCCTCTGCTAGCGGCCGTGGTGCGGCCCGACCAATTCTAGCGCGGCACCATTTCTGGAATCTGGCTCTCGAGATTTTACATTTCTCTCGTGAACAGCTTCATCCCTCCAACATCAACTTCTTCCCATTCATCATGCCGGCTGCAAATGGTAAGCTCCTTCTCCTCTCAGCCGCATCACTCCTTTTTGGAAGATGACAACCAAATCATTGTCTTCTTTTCCCAGCTGAATCGCCCTTGAAGAAACCAGTCTTCCCGTCTGCCTTCGCCGGTGGACGTATACTTGCCAGTAACCTTTGTCTGACAACCACGACATGCATAAGACAGATCACTTTGACGTCTCTGTAATGCCTCTGCTAATTTGATCGTGATGCAGGTCGACTCGCGATTTAGCTCATCGCCCGCCGGGGTCGAGCTTTGCAACGTCTCAGGTCGCAAGACAAAACAGTCCTCCAGCCAACGCCGAGCTACTTGCACTTTGTTGGGCACGCGTTATACCTGCGTTGGTGTTGCGGAAAGAGCACGTACAGGTCTCGCACCCGCGTGTGTGATGGCTTTGACTACCCACGAGCCGCCCGCTGCATGTCTGCGACACAGCAAGAGACGAACACTTAAAGCAAACGTGAGTACACCACCCTTCTGCACACCTTCACGCGTCATTGTACGCTTCCCGCTAGATGATGAAAACCATACCACATTCGCAGTTTCCACTCGAGCCTCCGCCACGAACCTATTATAGGAGGCAGATGAGGGCGCAATCTTCCTTGGATGTCTGACCCAACCCAGCAACACAACTCTTTGCAATTCCATCTTCGCAAATTCAATCATGAGAGACTTCGCTGACCGTGATATCAGGCCCAGCCTCCTCCCCTGAGGCCACTTGCTGTGTTTTCATCTTCTCGTGCATTGACTCCGCATGGGAAGGAGAAGACTGCTGTGATCACCATGAACTCACGCTTCACACGCTGTGAAGCGACAGCCACCAGCACAATCAATCACTCCGAACACGGTTGACGTGGCTTCACCCATTGATACATGCAAGCTCGTTGCTACTCAAATCACTATTCTGCGCCAATCTATGCGTCAATCAGGTTCTCGCTCTCTCCATTCTGCTGCTGCCCTTGCTCTCCGTTCTCGTTTGAGTTGTCCTGCGTGTCTTTCGAGCCCTTCTTGCTCTGCCTCTGGTAGTACTGATCCAAGACCTTCTTGGGAATACGGTTCAGAAGCTCCTTGGGATAAATTCTGAGCAGCTCCCAAGCCTGATCCAGACCGTCGAAAATGGATCGCTTCTCGTAAGCTCCCTGCGCGATGTATGTCTTTTCGAACTTTTCCAAGAATTCAAGCGAAAGTTTATCTTCGTTTGACAGAGCTTCCTCGCCCACGACAGCCTTCATAGATGCCGCGTCACGACCAATGGCGTACTTGGCGTAGAGCTGGTTGGATACATCGGAGTGGTCCTTGCGAGTGTGGCCTTCGCCGATGGCAGACTTCATGAGACGGGAGAGCGATGGAAGGACGTTGATCGGTGGGTAGATACCCTTGTTGTCGAGCTGCCGGTCGACGAAGATTTGTCCTTCCGTGATGTAGCCAGTCAGGTCGGGAATAGGATGGGTGATATCTGCGAACGGCGTTAGTCATTAGTGGGGCTAAAGCATCTTGCCATATACGTACCATCGTTAGGCATGGTCAAGATCGGGATCTGTGTGATGGAGCCGCTGCGTCCTTGGACACGGCCGGCACGCTCGTAGATCGTGGACAAGTCAGTGTACATGTAACCCGGGTAACCACGTCGACCTGGCACTTCTTCTCTTGCTGCCGACACTTCGCGCAGGGCATCGCAATACGACGACAGATCTGTCAGGATGACAAGGACGTGCTTCTCCAATTGATAAGCATAGTATTCGGCGGTTGTAAGAGCAAGACGAGGAGTGATGATGCGCTCAATAGTCGGATCGTTGGCCAAGTTCAAGAAAAGAGTGACACGTTCCATACTGCCATTCTCTTCGAAGTCCTTGGTGAAGAATCGTGCCGTATCCAAGTTGACACCCATGGCTCCGAAGACGATAGAGAAGTTGTCTTTGTGGCCGTCGTGCACGCCCTTTGTCACGCCGTTGTTCTGCTGGACGAGGCCTGCTTGTCTGCAAATCTGCGCGGCGATCTCGTTGTGTGGAAGACCGGAGGCAGAAAAGATCGGGATCTTCTGTCCACGCGCGATCGAGTTCATGGTATCGATGGCTGAAATTCCCGTCGAGATCATCTCCTCGGGATACACACGCGAGTAAGGGTTGATTGGCGATCCGTTAATGTCCAGGTAATCCTCGGCCAGCACCTTAGGTCCTTTGTCAATGGCTCGTCCAGAACCATCAAAGATACGGCCCAACATGTCCTCGGAGACTCCAAGCTTGAGACTGTGGCCGGTGAATTCGACTTTCGTCTGAGTGCTGTCAGAATCCTCAGCTCGCCTTGTAACACCGCAGATCTTCGTACCTTCTTCACGTCAATTCCTGATGTTCCTTCAAAGACTTGGACAACAGCACGATTGCCTGGTATTCTAGGTCAGCTTCCTCGTTCAAGCTCTTTTATGTCTCTCGCTACTGAGCGTACCTCTTGCTTCCAAGACTTGGCCTGATCGCTCTGTGCCATCTGGAAGGGTCAAAGAGACAATCTCGTTGAATCGTGGGAACTTGACCTGTATACACTGCTCAGTTTGTGCTCCTGGCTGAGGCCCAGCCAGATCCCCCACGTACATTCTCCAGAATGACCAGCGGACCATTGACACCTCCGATGGTATTATATCTGATGCGAGGTGTAATCCTCATCATGCGAGGGTCGGCATCCTCGCCTTTCGCCATGCTTGCGCCTGCTCTTTACGCTGTCTTCCGTTTCAATGGTTGCTCGGCAGCGACTATGCTCGACTCGGTCGACGATGACGCGGAAGCAGATACTGAGAGACGCCGCAGTCGCAGACCAGCGGGTGTCGAATGGTCGTGAGGTGGACAATGGCGTTGCTGCGAGATTGTCCAAGCTCAGGAGCGGTTCGTCCCGTCAGCGTCATCCATCTTCAACACCAACTTGGACCTCGACTATCTCCCATCAGACCCTTGCTAAGAGCGCACGAGCCACCGGTTTATTTACAAACCCCTTGCGCAGCAAGGGTCTGACAGCAAAACTAGCGATCGGGTCAGATTCAAGATCCCCATTTTGCGACTTTGCACACAACGCGATATATATTAATATTTTATAATACGGGCGTAGAGTAGGCAATCGGATATTATTCTATCTAAAAATTACATTAATGCGACGTTAGGTTATTGTATTATAGCTTATAAGCCGACGGTACTACCTAGCTAAAAGCCGGCTTTAGTAATAGACTTAGTCTTACTAAAAACACCTATTTTAAGATATAGCCTATATAATATAGAAATACCCGGAGGTCCTAGCGGTACCAATTCTATAATAATCCCCGTTTAGTATATATATATACGATACCGTAGTATTATATTGTATCTAAAGAGCGGAGGTTACTTCTTACTATATACTAAGGCCTAGCTTTGTCGACTTTATATATGTTTCTAGTCCGTACGTCTTTATGTGTTTGCTTATAACGCGTCGCTCGCGGGCACTAGTCGCTTCTATTGCAACCTGTTCCTTTAACGCCGTCGCTATTAATCTTGTCGTAACAATCTAGCACTTAATCTAGTACTCAATCTAGCACTTAATCTAGCACTTAATCTAGCACTTAATCTAGTACTCAATCCAGTATTTAATCTAGTATTTAATCTAGTATTTAATCTAGTATTTAATCTAGCGACAATGTCGGACGATAGCGATACTATTATAGCTAATATAGACGATAAGCCGCTACTAATAGAGCCTTCTAGCTTGCCTGTGCTACTATAGTAATATAATGCATTCGATACGAGCGAGCTCGGCTTAGCGCTGCCACTAGACTAGCTTACAGATATAGTAGTAGAATATAGCCTTATAGAACATAGCTCTTACTAGACGAGCGAGCTCTTAGCGCTACTATTAGACTAGCTTAAAGACATAGCAGTAGAATATAGCCTCGTAGAATATAGCCCTTACTAGACGAGCGAGCTCTTAGCGCTACTATTAGACTAGCTTAAAGACATAGTAGTAGAATACGGCCTTCCGATAGCGCTAGCTCTAGTTGTTCTAACCCGCTAAGAGCGCCGTATAGGTCTGCGCGCTAACGTCGCGCTACCTATTGTCGAGGATAAAGAGGAGGAAATAAATAAAGATAATTACGAGACTAAGGATTAGGATAATAAAATAAGCGATAATAAGGTCGAGGCTAAAGCCGCTAGTACTAAAGGTAGCTAGTTCTTTCGACTAGAAGATAAAGGAGACTTCTTAGATAATAATAATGTCGAGCCTTAGATTGTCGGTACTACTCGCCCTAGTACCGCTCGGAAGCGCTAGTTTCCTACTAGTTTAGCAGCTAAGAAGAAGAAGAAGCGTAAGAGTCTAAAGAGTCTACCGTAGAAGTATACTAATATTATAGACCTGCTAAACTACGAGTACCTTACTACGCTAAAGCTGCTCTTAATATAGGCAGGAGATCTAGGAATAAAGACATAGCGCCGTCGTATCGATAAGATTATCGATGTCTTCTTATTCGAGGGTCTCGTAAGTACTCGTAGGCTCCGTTCTAAGTTAAAGAGGCTCGTTAGTAAGAAATTCTTTAACTAGTACGATCTAGACTCTACTATCGATAGATAAGAGAAGCTAAGTAAGATAGACAAAGTTATTAAAGACATAGCGCTAACTTAGTATAGTGTCCTATAGGGTTTACTTCCTAATAAGCGCTATACTACTAAAGATATCGCTAAGGAAGATTAACCTAGTATCCGAGACAAATTTAGCCGCTAGAAGAAGCGCATCGCTACGATTACGTAGGTAGTTGCTCGCTCGATTTCGCTAAAGAAGGCATCCTAGTTTAGCAGGTCCTTTAGGCTATTCCTATATACTAGTAGTATTAAGCGACGAGTCGTCGATGTCCTTAGTACGATAGGTCTGTGTCCGGCCTATCGTATACTATAGCGGCTTGCGAGGAAGACTGCTCGTACTAACCGAGAACGGGCAGTTAAAATGTTTATTAAAGGTAGACATGTAGTTGTATACGACAACTTTTATGTCTAGGAGAACCGGAAGGCTATCTAGACGACTAGTAGCAATACTAAGCAGCGTAATATAACGACCTCGTATATTGCTAGGCATTAAGCCGTCTAGAAGGGTCTAAAGAAGTATATACTAAAGCTAAAGAAGAAGATAAACCCTCGGATTATCCTACGTAAGATCTGCGCTAATAAGTATAAGAAGGCGACCTCTTTATACTATATCGACTAGGCTATAGGATTCCTTACTAGCGATAAGCTACAGTATCTGTTTAAGGAACACGACAGCTTTAAGGGCCCTAATATAGACGATCGTATTCGCGGCGGTAGTCTAACTAAGCGGTTCCTATAGCGTACGATCCGGATTAAAGACAAGAAGGATAGCAAGACTCTAATAATCTTACTGCTAGTATCCGATTATAACGAAGCCTCGATTAAAGATACGTACTAGGTATATAACGATATCTTCTAGAAGTTCTTAAAGCTCGATCTAGATAATAAGGCGTTCTAGGACTAGCTTATTATCGTTATCGGAGACTAAATAACCGTCGATCGTGTCTATAGTATTAGGCTCGGCAGCGTCGAGAGCACGCGCGTATACGATAGGAAGGACTTTATCGTCGGTATACTAGCCTTCTTCTATATCGAGATAAATGCGTACTATACTCCTCTACGAACCTATTACGATACTAACAAGGCAGGCAAGCACCTAGCCTATACCCTTAAGGACATCGCTAAGTATTATACTATCCGCCGCTTTAGTAGTACTAAGGCAGAGTACTACATCGTTCGACAGGTAGTATTCGCAGTATATCGTACGTATGTTAGTGCCTAATTTCTTTAAGAGGCAGAGGAATAGCTCGGATTCAATTTCGGTGCTCCTTAGTTTACAAGTATAAACTGTATCGAGGTAGTAAAGGCTCTAATTAAGGATTATCTTATACCTGCGTAGTATATCGATATTATAGAGGCTATTTATACTAAGCTCTTTACGCAAGCTACTTAGACTAGGCTAAATATTAAGGGCGAGATAGAGGATCTATCGTATACTACGATAGCCTAACTGCTATAGGAGATTAAGAACTTCCTAACTGTATATATCGCTATCCGCAAGATAGACCTTGGATACCTACGCCGTATAGTCGAGCATCTAATTCTAAACTTCTTCGGTGCCCGATAGCTTAACTATAGCCGTAAGATAGTTAACCTGTCTTAGCTACTAAACATATCTAATGCTGTCCTATAGGAGGCAATCCTAGATTTAGCTATCGTTAATCTCGGCAATAGTAAGGGTGTTACTACTAATAAGATACTTAAGCTATATAATAAGGATTACAAGCTCGATATCTAGGCTCGTAGCAACTTAACTTATAATGTCTCTACTATAATAGAGCTAATCTCGCAGAACCGAGAGGCATCGTAGGCCGTACGTAGTATATTCGAAAGTATTAGACTAAAGGGTACTAAATACTATATAGAGAAGGATACTGCTAAGCAGGTATAGGCTAGAGCAATTAAGAAGTACTAAGAGGGCAGTATAATACCGGATAAGTACGATCCGGATGCTAATTTTACAGATCTAATCGAAGTACTAAAGCTAGATCTACGCCCTATCTCTAATAATATTTAGTAGATTAGGGTAGGGCTAATCCCTAGTGCATGCGAGTAGCTTAACAATATTAACTAGCGTCTGTTAAATAGCGTAACCCGTAGCGCTCCTAATATAGCTACTAATAGTATAGACAATATCGACGGCGTAGATATAAGAGAGCGCGTTAGTAGTAGTACTTAGTAGGGACCTATATAAGCAGGCATTGTCGATAATGCTACAGCTGCTATATACTAGCTATACGTCGACGCTAAGGGCTTTGCTAACCTAGACCTAGATATAGTAGATCTAACTAGTAGTCCCTAAAGGCTCTTATAATAGTAATAGGTAATAGTAGCGGTTATAGCGATTAAGGATTAAATGAATCTAGCTTTTGTATTCGTTTATAGTAATCTAACCTACTATATCTACTATTTAGGCCTTCCTTACTATAGCTAGCTAGGCTAGGCTAGGCTAGGCGTACGATAATAGCTTAATAGCCGGCTAGGCTAGGCGTACGATAATAGCTTAATAGCCGGCTAGGCTAGGCGTACGATAATAGCTTAATAGCTAGCTAGGCTAGGCGTACGATAATAGCTTAATAGCTAGCTAGGCTAGGCGTACGATAATAGCTTAATAGCTAGCTAGGCTAGGCATACGATAATAGCTTAATAACTAGCGTTACTAACTAGCGGCAGTCGGAGTCTTAGTTAGAGTAGAGGTCCCTACTATTAGCTTCGCTTTAGACTTAGTTCCTATATGAATTTAGAGCGCCTAATGCTAAAGAAGGCCTCCGGTAATTTCGAGAACTACTAGCAATTCTAGCCTTAGGCATTTAACTAGTAGCAGTCGGCGGCTATTGCGTTAAAAGTGCGATAATATATAGCCGTTATTGTTGCCTTGCTATTATAGCGTAAATGGCGCAATCCTATTAGTAGAGGCAAACCTTATCTACGAGGCGTATATAGATATCCGCTTTCTAACCTTAACTTCTTCTTCTTCTATATACATACTAATACACTAATACCCCTAGTAACATACTAGCTGTCGGCTCTTAATAGCAATAGTGTCGATACCTCTTTATCGTATATAGGTAGCTCTATAGCGATTAATACTATCTCCTAACTAGTCCTACGGCTTGCTACCGATAGAACCGCTTAAGTTAGTTAAGGTTCCTCGGTAGGTAGTTTATTTAGTCCTTTTAGTCTCCGATAGGCTTTGTCGACGCAAGACGTTACGAAGGCGACTCTCCTAGCGAGTAGGTTGTTTTCTATAGCTTTAGCGGGCGTCGACTACGCATTTAACCGAAAGAGTATAGTTTTTATTAGAACATCGCAGTCTTAGTGCAAACTGTAGAGGTCTTAGATAGATTAGCGGAGGTAAAAACTCTTTAGTAAGGTATACCTATAATACGGCTAACGGTCTAACTCGGTAAAAACTCTTTAGTAAGGTATACCTTAAGTAGCGGCTCGATAGCGACTCTTCTACTAAGTAGGTTAATAGGTTCG